GTTCCGGAAGGGGAGTTTTAATACGAGGGGGGGTGGATTCTGTACTGGAGGAGGAAGCGGAAGTGGATGGGGGCAATAGGGGAAGGGGTGCAGAACTTCCTGCATTCGCGTCACTTCCTCTTAAAGGAAAGTAAGGAGGCGGCAAAGGGATCTCGGACTCAGGGGGCGTGTCCAAAATGGGCCTAACACCGGTCCTAGTGGACAAATAAGTCCTGGCCACCATGAGGCGACATTGCTCCTCGTGGCATATCCGGATCCATTTTGGCGAGTCGTTTACGGCCTGCCTCCAACAATCAATGTATGGAAACTGTCCGTAAAGTTCAGGCCTACCTGATACAGCCACGTGTACACGCTGTACCAGGGTTGGATCCAAACTGCCACGCGGCGGCCATGCCGCAACCAAAGTAGGCCACTCCCTAGTGCACAAAGTGACCAAACGAACAGGAGACATTTTAACCCCAAAATCACATATTTTGAATCCCTTTTTAAAATTCTTTACCATACAACCTAAGGGATCCGAAATCGTTGACTCTGACGCGCCCATACTTATCAATGGAACGTCGTTGACAGCGAATACTATGCACGCGTTCTTATTCAACAGTCACACCCGTTTCCTCTGGCAACAGCACCACGTGGTACAGTTACCAAGTGAAACGTACACAATAACACAATAATCACTCAGGGAATTCCCGTACACACAGCTGTTACACCAGTCACTAAATAATCAATATTATGCCCTTTGGCGAAACTATACAGTCACCCACGCTATAATTCTCTATATATGAATTACCCGTCTATAACACACCCCAGTAACATCGTCTTTTACTAGTATCGGTTACAGTACGGTTAGCATAGGTCAAAGCACAATTTAAGGTCACAATACAATTATTAGTGGTTATGGTGTTAAACATGCAATAGACGACAATGATTAGTACTTATATACAGTGTCAGTAAATATACAGGGTTATGGTACCGTGCACTATGATACAGCAACACACTATTAACACTCTCGCTAGACGGCTGAGCTCGCGCTATCTAACAAGATATACACTTTACTAACAATCTTTAACACATTTACAATCCCAACTAAACTATTGGCCAGTACCTTGAATGGACTACCTAAAACTATATACACCCGTTTTGGTTAGCCACACTGCCCAAGCACCACATATAGCGAACTAGAGGGCAGAATTTACAAAATTGCCCTTCTAGTCTATTTACTCTATCAAAAGTCTAGTGGGTTCCAAATTTACACGCCTTCCCACTTAGCCAAGATAGGTTGAGAGCTAGCGAACCGAATTTACACAGGCGCCGCTTAGTCTCCCGGTCCCTCCGACCTAGCGAACGTAATATACACCCTAGAACGCTAGTCTAGACAAGACACCGGTGTCCGGCTAGGGCTATTTACACAGGACCCCGCCTGACTAACCAGATCAAACGGTCTTACTAAAGAGCGTTCGATCGAGCGGTGCGCCTTCGCTCCTTCCCTCCGACAGAGGGGGCAGATTCCATACACAGATTTAAACCCCTTTTGGGCCTACCGCACAATCGGTATACCCCTAGTGGGTCTGCCGTCTAAAACAACAGTTGTCTTACCTCCTCGTTCCTGAACCTGAGTTCACACTCATCGACGGGGACACCCCAGCACTTCTTACGTAGAGGCCGATGATCTCCTGGACAACAGACCAGTGGCGCCGAGACGAAGGGAGGTCCACGCAGAAGTTCAGGGGTGCAGCCGTAGAGAACGTGGGCAAAGATAGACCGTCTCACGCCTCTGCCTCTCAGCTACCGTTGAACGATGAGCTTCCCGGCCAATGCACCAAATGATACCGGAGAAACTGACGGAAGCAAAGCACAGAGGGATGGACACAGGTTTCTTCAGGAAGGAAGAGATTCTTTATTGGATCACCGATCGGGACTCAGAGGGACTAATGTCACCAAAAATACAGCAAGTTCTGAGCCCTGAACAATAGTGCAGGCTCCCTATATAGGCACATAACTCCTCCCATATTAAGCTCCACCCGCACATTCTCTTGACCAATCATTACAAATAAGAATTAACTTCCTGCTTGACTGGCTTGTCCAGCACAATGGAGGAGGGGAATACTACATCCTGTATTCTTGCACATCGTGCAACCAACTGATCGATACGTCAGCATATGCACGTACACATGCCATGTGGTAATCTCGGCCTACTAAATTTATTTTTACCGAGATTCCACCACATGTCCATTCCAGATCCTCTTAACTCATTGAAAAGGCTTGCACCAGTCCTCAGATCGTACTTATACTACCATGTCTCACAATTAGGACTTGCATAGGTCTGCATCGTACCTATCTCGTACCTATCATCGTATTGTCTCCATTCCTTTCAAAACTCATGAAACCTCAATACTGCAACAAGACGTATCAACTAAACAGTTAACAGTCTTTCCCTCCCCACACCTCACCTCACCAAGCTTCGCTTCACTTCCTCTTTTCCAAATGTGCCATGCATCAATTAACATTTCATTTTATTTTGAACTCTCCTAGTAACCAGCATTTTCTATGTATGAAATTTTTTTTACTATTACCATTTGAGTGATTTTCCCACACTCCCCTGTATGTGTTTGTGAGCTGTGAAAAATTTGTAGAATTCTGCACCTACAGTGCTGTAAATGTGTGCCTCCATCTTAGCCCAATATCAATCATCGTCTTAAAAGGACACTATAGGCACCCAGATCACACAGTACACAAACACACTCTGCATTCATTATATACACACACTGCATTTACTTTATGCACACTACACACACACTGCATTCACTATACACACAGTACACAAACACTCTGCATTAATTATATACACACTACACAAATACACACTGCATCCACTACACACACACACACACTACACAAACCCACACAGCTCCCCTGTCTAAAACACACTGCAATATGCATGTGGCATGCATATTTTGTGCATTTACCTTTAGAAACAGTTTATTTTTTCAAAATGGTAAATGTACAAAATATCGGCAAGTTATTGGCTATCGGCCTGAAAGTTCACAGATTATCGGTATTGGCTCAAAAAAAAAAAAAAATCTAAAATCGGTCGATCCCTACTAAAATCTACTGGGGATTTGGTTGACTAAAACCAAACTAAAACGGCTTTTGCCGCCAAAATTAACACTGCAGCACAGTGGGTGTGGGCACATAGTTAATATTATAACAAGCTATAGTTAGATGGGGTCACATTGATCCTCTTAGGCATTTTTTTTGCCTTCTGGATGCAGGTAGCTGGCTAGCAGCCACATAACATAGAGGATCACTAGTCGCACCACAACAACTTCATCACAATGAAATTCATATGGTGCAAGGGCACTCTCTTACCTTAAAGGACCACTATAGTGCCAGGAAAACATACTAGTTTTCCTGGCACTATAGTGCCCTGAGGGTGCCCCCACCCTCAGGGACCCCCTCCCGCCCGGCTCTGGAAGGGGGAAAAGGGTTAAAACTTACCTTTCTCCAGCGCTGGGTGGAGAGCTCTCCTCCTCCGATCCTCCTCTTCTCCTCCCATGTTGCTGAATGCGCACGCGCGGCAAGAGCTGCGCGCGCATTCAGCCGGTCACATAGGAAAGCATTCATAATGCTTTCCTATGGACGCTGGCGTGCTCTCACTGTGATTTTCACAGTGAGAAGCACGCAAGCGCCTCTAGTGGCTGTCAATAGGACAGCCACTAGAAGAAATAGGGGAAGGCTTAACCCATTCATCAACATAGATTCATCTCTGAAACTGCTATGTTTATAAAAGAATGGGTTAAGCCTAGCTGGACCTGGCACCCAGACCACTTCATTAAGCTGAAGTGGTCTGGGTGCCTAGAGTGGTCCTTTAAGGCTGTCCGATTGCTCTGCCCCTCTACTTCCATTACTGGTATCAGGAAGCCTCAGACCAGGTGGGGCTGACAGGTGACACTCTTAGCCATGAATAGCACCCCTTATCAATTCTGAATGAGGAGATAGTCACAGGCTGAGCGTGTCACCTGATACTCTGTCCAAGGCTTCCCGATTGAAGACTCAGAGAGGAACTAGTTAGATAGAACTCAAGAGAGGAACTTGTTAGATAGAGCAATCGGGCGACGTCTTCCACAGTTCAACAATTCATTAAATGATTTAACCACTTAAAGGGACGCTACAGTCACCAGGACAGCTCAATGTAGTGGTGCCGGTGTCTACAGCCTGTCCCTGCAGGCCTTTTAATGTAAACACTGCCTTTTCAGATAAAAGCCAATGCTTACATTGCTGGATAGTTATTCTATATAGGGTCAGTTGCACTGATCTTTAATGAATGAGGCCAAATGGTGCAGATTCAGATCAAATTAATTTCAACTGGATTTGGTCGCGAATCTGGTCACTTTTACTGAATTTGGCCCCATCAGGATAGAATTTGGTGCTAGTAAATAACACTGTAAAAAAATCTCTCTTTTACTCCAGGCCCTGTGGGTTTCTTACTCTCCACCCCCCGGCTGCTATGTGTTTGTTTTTTCTCCCATGCCAGCTTTCTCTGTCTCTGTTCAGTGTGTGTCAGCTATCAGTCTCTCCTCTATGCCAGGTCTCTCTGTCTCTGTTCAGTGTCTGTCAGCTACCAGTCTCTCCTCTATGCCAGGTCTCTCTGTCTCTGTTCAGTGTCTGTCAGCTATCAGTCTCTTCCTCATGCCAGCGCTCTCTGTCTCTGTTCAGTGTCTGTCAGCTATCAGTCTCTCTCCCATGCCAGCTCTCTCTGTCTCTGTTCAGTGTGTCTGTCAGCTACCAGTCTCTCCTCTATGCCAGCGCTCTCTGTCTCTGTTCAGTGTCTGTCAGCTATCAGTCTCTCTCCCATGCCAGCTCTCTCTGTCTCTGTTCAGTGTGTGTCAGCTACCAGTCTCTCCTCTATGCCAGGTCTCTCTGTCTCTGTTCAGTGTGTGTCAGCTATCAGTCTCTCCCTCATGCCAGCTCTCTCTGTCTCTGTCAGCTATCAGTCTCTCCCCCATGCCAGCTCTCTCCGTCTCTGTTCAGTGTCTGTCAGCTGTCAGTCTCTCCCACATGCCAGGTCTCTCTGTCTCTGTTCAGTGTGTCTGTCAGCTGTCAGTCTCTCCCACATGCCAGGTCTCTCTGTCTCTGTTCAGTGTGTCTGTCAGCTATCAGTCTCTCCCCCATTCCAGCTCTCTGTCTCTGCGTCTGTCAGCTATCAGTCTCTCCACCATGCCAGTTTTCTCCCTCGCGTGTGTCATCCCTCTCTTTTCTTATGCCAGTTTTCTCCCTCGCGTGTGTCATCCCTCTCTTTTCTTATGCCAGCTTTCTCTGCCTCATCTGTGCCATCTTCCTCTCTCTTTCATGTAGTAGCACTTTCCCCCCCTCCTAAGCCAACTGTCTCTACCATGTCAACTATCACAATGTACTGTGCCACTTCTTTCCTGTATCAGCTCCCTCTACATGTCTTTCCCATGCCAGGTCTTTACATGTCTCTCCCATACCAGCTCTCTCTCTTTCTGCATGTTTCTTCCATGTTAACTCTCTCCCAAGTCAGCTCTCTCGCTGTCAAAGCTCTCTCTCTCCAGAATTCTCTCATTCCCTTGCTGTATCGGTCTTCTGCCCCTTCCTGAACCCTAATTCTAACTAACTCTGTACTTCCCAGCTCCCCACTGCCCCCTCTCCCCAGCTCCCCACGCGCTTCCCTCTCCCCAGCTCCCACTTGCTGCCCACCCCTAGCTTCCCACCTTCTGCTCCCTCCTCCCCTGACCACTGCTGCCCCCCTCTCCCCCAGGCTCCCACTGCCCCCTCTCCCCAGCTCCCACTGCCCCTCTCCCCGGCTCCCCACACGCAGCTCCCTCTCCCCAGGCTCCCCACACTGCCCCTCTCCCAGCTCCACTGCCCCAGGCTCCCACACTGACCTCCTGCCCACACCCCAGCTCCACTGCTCCTCTTCCCCAGCTCCACCTGCTCCCTCTTCCCCCCACCGGCTCCACGCCTCCTCCTGCCCCCGCAGGCTCCCCACTGCTGCCCACCCCGGCTCCACTGCCCCTCCTCCCCCAGGCTCCCTGCTGCTCCTCTCTCCCAGGCTCCCCTGCTCTGCGGGTTCTGCCTTAATGGCCCAGACTCTGCATCTCAGTCACTTGCAGGCGGCTCCTCCCCGGCTGATCTGCCATCGCTCTGTGTGAGACCTAACTTCACTCCTCACAGACACAGTGTATCCATCCTCTTCTGTATGTAGGCCTCCTCTCCTCCCTCTCTCCCTAAGCTCTCTCAGACTTTCCTCTCCCCTGTCTCTCTTCCCTCCCTCTCTTAGTCTCTCACTCCCTCTCTCAGTCTCTCCTCATCTCCCCCAGTCCCTGTCTCTCCTCCCTGTCTCTCAGTCTCTCCTCCCTCTCTCAGTCTCTCCTCCATCTCCCCCCCAGTCCCTGTCTCTCCTCCCTCTCTCAGCCTCTCCTCCATCTCCCCCCCAGTACCTGTCTCTCCTCCCTCTCTCAGTCTCTCCTCCCTCTCTCAGTCTCTCCTCCATCTCCCCCCCAGTCCCTGTCTCTCCTCCTCCAGCCTCTCAGTCTCTCCTCCCTCCCTCTCTCTCCTCCCTCTCCCCCAGTCTCTCCTCCCTCTCTGTGTTCGGGCCCCACCTCTTCCCCAGGCCCAATCTTTCTCCGCCATGTTAGTTTTTCCCGGTCCCGGCCTACTGACCAGGCCGTCTCCCGGGTTTCTAGCTTGGCAGCGGGCGCAGCTGGCCCCCAGGGGCCCCGGCGCGTGACCGGCGGACAGAGCGAGGCTGGGTGAGTGGACAGGGCCCGGACAGGCTGCACGGCTCGGGGGGGCCAGGGCTTACAGACACAGGAGCTATGTGCACAATATAACCCTATATACAGTCTATATAATACCTAGAGCAAACCCAGCCTAGAACTCTACCTCCAGGAGGGGATACATAACATTCTATTTATACATAAACATTATATATATAGACACACTATAATATATATATATATATACACTATGTAGCACCAACTGCTGTGCTATGTGTAGTCATAGACATTTGTTTTATTTATTGATCATTGCAGGAGGTCTGCCTAGAATTGGGACTATTTCCATATATATTATATATATATAAAAATTAAAGGGTGATAATACAGGCAGAGAGCTGGGTTCATTGCATATGGATGTATAGGTAGAGAGGGGCGTGTATATGATCTGTGTTGCACTTATATTTATATGGTTGTAGGTAGGCTATGTGTGAAGGTCCTAACTAAAAACCTTAGTTTTTTTTGTGTGTGTATGTACATATAGAAATTGTGATTATATATATATATATATATATATATATGTGGTTTTTTGGGGAATATATACATACACATAAATACACTGCATGTTTTATTCACTGGGCAATTTGCATTTGTTAGGAAAAGCATGCATAGTGTGTACTTCTGCAATGTATGAGATCTAGAAAGACCCTCATTGCTTTCAGTAATATGTGAGAGTTTGAAGGAACCGAATGCTTTCTTTAGTAAATGAGAACTGGAAAGAACGTTATGCTTTCTGTAATATAGGAGAGCTAGAAGTAACCTCATGCTTACCCTTTGCACACTAAATATAACATGACCCTTCATACAGCCAGCTGCCCTGCCTGATGCACTAATTGCTTGGTGATAAAAAGAATCGCAGCAAAACAATTAATAAATAAATTTGGGATGGTAGAGCTCCAGGTGTAACCTGGAAATGTTCCTTGTGACAACCACATATGGGTATTAAATCAGTACTCCTTTAATAGGGGCTAAGGTGCACACTGCTGATCTGCCACTGTTGCTGTTTTTAATTTATCAGGTACTCATATAGTGAAGAGGGACACCTGCAGGGACAGAATATAATATATTGAGGACCTTCTATCGCACTTGATAAAACTTCCCTTGACAGATGGTGATGTGAGTTATAATCGTCACATACTACAAAGCACATCAGATTTGCTCAAAGTAGGGCACCAGCAGGAGTACAATGTAACAAGCAAACATTTTATAAGGGTACTTTATTGCACTCGCTCATGTCTAAGCCAGTAACTTTTTAATCAGATTTCTTATGTTTGTGCGCAAGGTAATAAGTGACACTAAAATTTAATTCAGAGTCTGTTAAAGGACCACTCTAGGCACCCAGACCACTTCAGGTTAATGAAGTGGTCTGGGTGCCAGGTCCAGTTAGGGTTAACCCATTGTTTTATAAACATAGCAGTTTCATAGAAACTGCTATGTTTATTAATGGGTTAAGCCTTCCCCCAAAGCCTCTAGCGGCTGTCTCATTGACAGCCGCTAGAGACGCTTGCGTGCTTCTCACTGTGATTTTCACAGTGAGTGCACGTCAGCGTCCATAGGAAAGCATTGATAATGCTTTCCTATGCGACCGGCTGAATGCGCGCGCAGCTCTTGCCGCATGTGCGCATTCAGCCGACGAGGCGGAGAGGAGGAAGAGAGCTCCCCGCCCAGCGCTGGAAAAAGGAAAGTTTTTACCCCCCTTCCAGAGCCGGGTGGGGGCACCCTCAGGGCACTATAGTGCCAGGAAAACGAGTATGTTTTCCTGGCACTATAGTGGTCCTTTAAGGAATACTCCAAGCGCCAGACCACTTCATTGATTTATAGTCATGGTGCCTGGAGTCTATACATCTAATGTTTCACTATAAAACACTGCACAAAGTTTAACCCCTTTGCTGCTGGAGGTGTAACTCCACCATTGGCATCGTCATTTGAGCATTATTAGCCAACACGGAACACAAGTTCTAGTCTGGCTATGTCAATTCTGTGCATATTGTTATGCACAGTGTTGTATTCATTGGCTAAATGTGGTCAGCTGATACTCTCTGCTACTGAAAGCTTGGCAGCGTTGCATCGGATGTCATAAGCATTGCAGAAAAGGAGACCAGGTGATCTACAGGGATCTAGTTAAGAGGGAAAATGTTTGTAAAACTGTTTTTCCAATTATTGGGAAACTTCACCTGGGTATGCCTATAATCATAATCACTAAAGTGGGCTTTCTTGACAAGACCTACTTTATTGTACCTATTCAAATGTGTGTTAGCACATAGCTTGTTGTGACTGATCTTTCAGACCCCATACAATGGGAGCAGCTTTTCACATGTGGTAGTTGAACCCTTCGGTGCATCCGACAAGACACGTGGTCGTTAAATATGTATTCCTGACACTATAGTGTTGAACTCTTTAGGGGACTGGCCCCCCTCAGATCACATGGGAAAGGTGTTTTACCACCACTTTTTTTTTTTTAAATCTCAACCAATCGTACAAAAGGAAAGCATTGGGAGGCTGTTGCACATGCACGGCAAAATGCCACGCTGCACCAATCAGCATCTGCTCAATCAATGCATCTCTATAGGGAATGTTCTTATGCAGTGTGTGGCGACGTTAAACACAGCAGTTGATTAAAAAGCAAATCTAATTGCTGTCTGACTGCCACAAGAGGTGTTCCTAGACAGCAATGTAATCACTTTTTTTTTTTCTGAATAAAAAAAGACAGTGCTTAGCCTGTAGGGACAGGCTGTAGACACCAGAACCACTACAGCCCCTCAAGCAGTTATGGGTCTTGGAATGCCCTGGACCCACGCAGTCAGGGTTATGCATTAGAATTCAAATTGGCAGGAATTTAAAGTGAATTTTAAAGGCCAGAATAGCCAAACAGGAAAAATTCAAGTCAACTGTGCTTTCAGTTTGGCTACGTTTTGCCCTTTAATTTGAAACTCACTTTTGCATTCCAAACAGTTTTGGAATCCCTCTCTCCCAGGCACCTACACCGCATCTGGTCTTTTTCTTTAGACAAGTTATCTTCATTGAGCTAAGGATTGCCCATCTAGGACCATGCTCATTGGCTGGGAGCACTCAGCTGACACTCTCAGCCAATAAAAGCAGTCCTGCTCAGTTCAGTGGAGCAAACAAGATTATCCTTGGATTTCCCAGTGGAACCCAAATATGTTATCAAACTGTTCCTAAACACTGTCAAATTACGCAGGGCACCTGGCTACACAACTACAGGCAGTATGCAAAATTCAGATTAACTCTGTCAATATAGAGTTGGAAGGCTTTTCCAGAATGGCTATTTTGGCCTACATTTGGTTTTCAGTTTGGTACAGTGAGGTGGGTACTGCTAAATCTCAGTATTAAATCTCTGTATTAACTAAATGTCGTGATTTAAAAACTCAATTCTAAAAATAGGGCAAAAATATCTGGTTTGGAAAAATCCTCCATCTCAGCATATTTTAGCCTGAATTATTTTTGTAACTTGATTTTCTGTTCACTTAGCTCTACAGTTTAGTAAATAAAGCTTAACCTTATTTAAAAGGTTAATGTCAGAGATGTTTTGCTAGTTGCAAATTTATTGCTTTGCTCCTGTATGTGAACATTTGTTTCTGATCATTTACTTGTAAGCTTAGTTGCGTATTGTATATCAATGGAGAACGTGTTTGCAATGTATAAATATAATCATCTTAAAATAATTGAGAACATCGGGTATGGAATGTGTTTAAATGCCACAGTAAGGCCTCTCCAAGTAGTGCGCCACTTCATACCATGTCTCTAAGGCTAGACTGAATGCCATCTATGTATATCTTTGTCAAATTCCAAGCAGTTTGGGAACAAGACCTTTGTCCATTCTTTGTTTGCACTAATCCTAGTTGTCCATTGTTGTATTTGTAAACATTCGAGGAGCACAGGCATCTATTTCCTCTCTTGCAAACACTTTGGTAAAAGGTAAATCCCAAAAATCTAAGCACAGCAGGGTTTTATGGATTATGTAGATCCCCAATCTTCATGATGGGGGGAGGGGATATGTATAAAAGTGTTGTAAAAAGTGTCTGATTAATACCAACATTATTTTGATTTGCATTTATGAAAGTGATGATAAAAAAAAAAAAGTGTTTTCGTTATGGTGAATTTCACCAGTTTTAACAGAAACTTCCATTTCAGAAGACTGTCATATCTACACTGGCAGGAAAAAAAGAGAACGGAAACTGAACAATTTGTGGAAAAAGTGGCTGGAAAAAAATGGCGTGTATTCAAAAATTAAATTTCTGATGCAAAAAAAAAAGTAACATAAATGAAATTTTTGATCAATTGTGTCAAATTGTTGAAAAAGTTTCATAGGCACTTTGATGACCCTTAGCTGGTGTGTCTGCAGTACTTGTTAAAGGGACACTACGGTCACCAGAACTACAACTTACAGAATTTGTTCTGGTGAGTAGAATCATTGCCTTCAGGCTTTTTGCTGTAAACACTGTCTTTTCAGAGAAAATGCAGTGTTTACATTACAGCCTAGTGATAACTTCACTGGCCACTCCTCAGATAGCTGTTAGAGATCCTTCCTGGGTCATGGCTGACCCTATAGTGATCCTTTAATAGAAGTCACTTGGAAGGTTTCTCTTAACTTGGACATGTTTCAGTTCTTGTTTTCCATTAGTGAAACTGCTCACTACTAGGTCTGCCACACATGTGCCAATCGATGTTCTACAGGTATTTCATGGAAAGCTGTGTGAGCATAACTGCACACACAGTTTTCCTAAGCGTTGGTTATTGGCTTTATTTTAATTTACATGCACATGCTTTGGGTACACTGGGCAAAGCATACAGTTTTGTTAACTGGTATGCACGAGGTGCCTATGGCAGTGTTGGCGAAAGCGCCAAGCTCTAGGCATGATGGAATAACTAGAACACGGAAATTCAACGTAGGTAAAGTCCTCCCTCTCCTTAACTCCACTGGTTTATTCACCGGCGTAAAAATTGCGATTGTTACTGGGATGAAGTTCTGCCTCAAGAATGATTTATTGCATGGTAAATGAGAGTTCAAAGGAGCCTCAAATTAATTGTGGGAGAAACAGGGTTAGCAAAAAGGCTCTAGTGTCCTGGCACCCTCCAATATTAAAGGAGCACTACAGTGCCAGGAAAACAAACCCGATTTCCTGGCACTATAGGGTTATTAGGTCCCCCCTCTGGACTGAAGGGGTTAAAACCCCTTCAGCCACTTACCCTAATCCAGCGCCGGGCTCCCTCTGCACTGGTGACCTCTCCGTCCCTGCTGACGTCAGCTCTCGAGTGGAGCCGAATGCTCATGCGCGGCCAGAGCCGCGCACGCATTAAAACCGCCCATATAGCCCCATGGGGATCTGAACTCACGCTGCGTGAGTTCAATGCGATTTTCACACTGAGAATCGTGGAAGCGGCCTCTGGTGGCTGTCAGGTAGACACCCACTAGAGGCTGGATTAACCCTGCAATGTAAACATTTCTCTGAAACTATGTTTTCAGCTGGAGGGTTAAAACTAGGGGGATCTGGCACCCAAACCACTTCATTGAGCTGAAGTGGCCTGGGTGCCTATAGTGGTCCTTTGAGTCCACAAACCTTTTTTAGAATACTTTGACAACTGACTTGAGTTCCTCAGTGGAGCTAACTGCTCCTGGCTGGAGAATCTGAGACAGGTAGTGCAGCTGTGTTTGCCCAGAGGGACCCAGGCAAGTTATCGAACTGCTCTTCAACGGTTTGACTACCTACTCTAGGAGGGTAGGTCTCCTGGTGTGTCATGTTTCAAATTCAAAAATGTTTTCTTCTCCAAGTGAAAGTATTGATTAAAATTTAGGGGTTTGGAAGTTTATGGGGATGAGGAAACAGCTGATTTACTGTGGAACAGTTTGACTTAGCTAGCTCTATTCATATATTGATTTGTATTACTTGAAAAGAGCCGTTTCATGCTTACACTTGACTGACAGGTCCACATTAGCCTACTCAGTTTTTCCTGACTAACTTGGGTTAAAGAAGCACTCCACGTATCATAACTCACAGTTAACATAACTTCACTAGAGATGCAGGCAAGCTGGAAGCTTCTTCTTAGGAACTTCTGTTGCGTCTCACGAGCTAAGCCCTGCACTGCCGGGCCTGGTTTAGGGAGCTTCCTGCTATCCTGTATTTGTAGTGTAGTTGGGAGTAGTGCCCAGCAAGGTAAGAAGTCTTAACTGTTCAAAAATGTTTTGGCTACTTACAATGGTGGAGAATCCAGGCACAGTGTGCTGTAGTGGTTATGTAGCGTTTTCCTTTAAAGGACCACTCTAGGCACCCAGACCACTTCAGCTTAATGAAGTGGTCTGTGTGCCAGGTCCAGCTAGGCTTAACCTATTCTTTTATAAACATAGCAGTTTCAGAGAAACTGCTATGTTTATGAATGGGTTAAGCCTTCCCCCAAAGCCTCTAGCGGCTGTCTCATTGACAGCCGCTAGAGGCGCTTGCGTGATTCTCACTGTGATTTTTCACAGTGAGAGCACGCAAGCATTCATAGGAAAGCATTGATAATGCTTTCCTATGCGACCGCCTGAATGCGCGCGCAGCTCTTGCCGCGCGTGCGCATTCAGCCGACGGATCGGAGGCAGAGAGCTCCCCGCCCAGCGCTGGAAAAAGGAAAGTTTTAACCCCTTTCCCCCTTCAAGAGCCGGGCGGGAGGGGGACCTTGAGGGTGGGGGCACCCTCAGGGCACTATAGTGCCAGGTAAACGAGTATGTTTTCCTGGCACTATAGTGGTCCTTTAATGACGTGGAATAGGTAAAAATGGTGTAGAATTAATACAGAATCAAAAAAATTTACGCTGCCTATAAATCCATTATAGTGGGAAATATTGTCAGGAAAAGAACACTATCAATCATGAGCGGATAAACACACACTGTATTTAGCATTATGCCGTTTGAAAACATATCCAATGTTTTTCAGAAGACATCACTGTTCCTATTAATGTTGTTGTGAAACTGCAGCTTATTTGTGACTACCCACTCGCCTAGTGACACTGTAGCTTCTGAATTATCACAAGGCTGCTTACGATAAGATATCAGTTCCAATCTGATGTCCAAAAATGTTTCTCGATATTAACCACATTAGTGTTTTTTGGCGATGTTAGTTCAGTAGGAGTGATGTATACAATCATTTTTGTGAGAGAGAGAGAGAGTGCAACCCAACACCATTTTTCTGCACATTGTTTTCTATAAGTATGGAAGCAGTGAACCTCTATGAGAGCAGGGCTTCATTTTAAATACTGTTGTAGATAATGTGTAGACATGGGTGCAAATGTGCAATCCAATTCTCTGATGTCTGTAGTTTTTTGTGCACAAACAATGCAATAATTCAAAGTTGTGGTGCTTTCTTGTTTTCCTGTACAGGGAGCAAAATCTGGTTAATTACCATGCTTAGTGGTTATTTGCAGATCTCTTCTCTTATGAATGTTTTAGCCCTTGTTGCTTTGCATTCATTGATTGACAATAGCTTACACCTTAAAATCAGGTAGCACAAAAATTAGCTAATAACATGTCGTTTGGAACATATGGGTGGTAAAAGCTCAGGGCATCAGAATACACACATGCGGAGTTAAAGGCTCACTGCAAAAAAGACAAGAATTGGAATTAGAAAATACAGATCATTGTAATAATGTAAAGCACTGTATTTTGTTGGCGCTATGTAAATGGCGGTAATAATCTAATTAAAGCTTTTAATGCTAATAAGTTTTCATATATTGTTTCTTCATTGAGAGCAAAGCTATTCTGCAGCATTGTAAACAAATACTGTAGGCGCAAAGGAGCACATGGAGCCTGGTGTTTGACAAATATGCATATTGCTACAGGAAATGATACCGGTCTGTCAAGAATGACTACAGTGTTCATCTTGGAAGAAGATAAACTTTTTATGCTTCGCAGGAGCACACCTAGTGGAATTGGAGAAGAGACATGCTGGGATTGTGACAGAGAGTATGACAGTGTGTTTAAGAGTTTGATTGTATTCCTGTAAATTAAATGAGGGGCACTTGCTGCAACCTGCCTTGCTCAGACCCAGGTGTATGTTGGCCAACAGGTGAATCAGGAGTGCCCCCGAGTAGGAATCTGGTTCTACAAATACATTATAAAACTTTAATTACACATGCACAAACAAGAATTATGAATACTGCCCAGGAGCTTGATGGCCCTGCTTGTGAGCTTACGTACGAAATGATTAATTGGGATAATTGAGATACAAGGTAGTGAAAGCTAATAATTATTTAAAGTGGTTGTGTTAAGCAGTGAAGCTGTTTACCCAACGGTGTTAAAGGACCATTATAGTGCCAGGAAAACAAACTCATTTTCTTGGCACTATAGTGTCTTTAGGTCCCCCCCCCCCCACCCTCATGGTCCCACTCTCGCTGGGCTGAAGGGGTTAAACACTTACCTTTCTCCAGCGCCAGGCTCCCTCGGCGCTGGGGAACTCTCCTCCCTATGCCGACGTCAGTGTCGAATAAGCGTGCGCGACAAGAGCCACACGCGCATTCAAACAGTCCATAGGAAAGCATTTCTCAATTTTCATAGTGAGAATCGCGGAAGTGCCTCTAGCGGCTGTCAATGATACAGCCACTAGAGGCTGGATTAACCCTAGTGTAAACTGCTATGCTTTCAGCTGCAGGGTTAACAGTAGATGGGCCTGGCTTCCAGACCACTTCGTTGAGCTGAAGTGGTCTGGGTGCCTATAGTGGTCCTTTAATGCTTAAATGGATGAGCATGCTGTATCCTTTAGGATACACTTTAAAGTCCTATTATATTTTTGTTTAATTGGAGGTATATCTAAAATGGCTTGCAAAAGCTGTAGATCTCTTGTCTGAGTCCTTCGCAAGCCCATCGCTTTTTTCCCAGGCCACACTTTCTGTGGCTGTCCAATCACAAACTTTCCAATGCAGCTCAAACTAGGAAGTAGCAAGACCGGTTGTTTGACAGGTAGGGGCTGCAAACAAGGTGCATTTATAAAAGGGACAATTCCTGTTGAAGTCTAAACTTTAATGAAGTGGTCTGGGTGCCAGGTCCAGCCAGGATTAACCCATTCTTTTATAAACATAGCAGTTTCAGAGAAACTGCTATGTTTATGAATGGGTTAAGCCTTCCCCCAAAGCCTCTAGCGGCTGTCTCATTGACAGCCGCTAGAGGCGCTTGCGTGATTTTCACAGTGAGAGCACGCCAGCATCCATAGGAAAGCATTGTGAATGCTTTCCTATGCGACCGGCTGAATGCACGCGCAGCTCTTGCCGCGCATGCGCATTCAGCCGACTGGGAGGAGAGGAGGAGGATCGGGGGAGAGCTCCGCGCCCAGCGCTGGAAAAAGGTAAGTTTTTCCCCCTTTCCCCCTTCCAGAGCCGGGCGGGAGGGGGTCCCTGAGGGTGGGGGCACCCTCAGGGCACTATAGTGCCAGGAAAACGAGTGTTTTCCTGGCACTATAGTGGTTCTTTAACAGTTTTTTGCCTGTCTACTACCAAAAAAGGACCAAAAACCCTAATTAACACATTCTTCTAATTTAGTCTAAAAAATACATTTAGAAACCAGTATTGAACTTCATTAAAGAGACACTATAGTCACCAGAACAACTACACCTTATTGAATTTGTTCTGGTGAGTAGAATCATTACCGTCAGCCTTTTTGCTGTAAACACTGTCTTTTCAGAGAAAATGCAGTGTTTACATTACAGCCTAGTGATAACTTCACTGGCTACTCCTCAGATGGCTGTTAGAGGTGCTTAATGTGGCAGTGCTGCACAGCAAACTTATGTCCTCTTTTTGCTTCCTCCCTAAACAAAAAAAAGTGCATGTTTGCTATTTCTAAAATCTGTTTAAATTTAGAGAAGTGGCTTGCAACTCCTTGGTCAGGATTCAATAATCCTATACTGTTGCTATATCAGTGATACCGCTCAAGATCAGAGCAGGTACATCCTATTGATCAGGCCCCAGACAAGTAACCACAAAACATTAATAATGTGCTAGCACTGACTTCATAAGTGAATCAAAGAAAACCAAATTGCAGAATTTCGTGGGTTTTTTTTTTTTTTTTTTTTCCATGGGCTTTTTTCCCAGTAATTTTTGCCTAAATTTTACAGTTCAATTCAGTTCACTAAAATTCTGAATTTAGTGAATTATCTTCAGTTTATGATTTGACCCTACTTAAAAGGAACACTAAAACTACTACAACATGATAAGTTTGACAACTTAGCTCCATCGTGAATGTCCATCAGCCATCACTCAAAATGTCTCTTCCAGTACATCTTTTTTTTTTTCAAATTACTTTAGTTATGTTTGCAGATTAATGAAAGCTGTCTCAAAATTATTACAATGTTGGCAGAGTCTGTCCTGTGTTCATTCAGCTCTCACACAAATGTGTTTTTAAAAGATGGGAGCACCTACATCTGTAACCGGTTTAGAGTCAAAGTGTAAGAATGTTTTTTTCATATACCGGTGTGTGTGTGTGTGTGTATATATATATTCTATTTTAAAACATGCACCTGATATTACACAAATATATTGTTTCACTTCATAGGCAGAGAATCTATTTTTTTTTTCTTCATCTGACCTCTGTATGTTTTTATAAGTAAGAACATGCTATGACTGTTCTTGGAATCAACAGCAAACCAGAAAACAAACTAATTTGAAAACAGAGTTAAAAAGTTTAAACATTATTTGTTAAGGGAACACTATGCATGTTTTCTGTTCCTAATGTTTTAGTGTACCTATCTAAAGTTTTGTAGGTCTTGTGGTCAATTAGAGGGTTAAACACCCTTGCATGGTTAGAATAGTTAAAATTAAATATAATAATTTCATCATTTATTGAACAACATTTTTTTCACACACGGTGTTATATCCAATTCTCCAGCTATATACATGCACCTTTGGTTGCAAAGTGTTTGAAAACAGTCTTTTTAGTTTTCTCTACTTTTGTGCATGGAGACTGTCCTTTTTCAAACACAGTCTGACCAAAGATGATAATAATAACTAGTATTTATATAGCGCCTTTCTCCCAGTGGGACTCAAAGCGCTTGTCTGCGCACGCTCTCTGAATTAAAGGGACTCTCCAGTGCCAGGAAAACAATCCGTTTTCCTGGCACTGCAGGTCCTCTCTCCCTCCCATCCCCGGTTGCTGAAGGGGTGAAAACCCCTTCAGTGACTTACCAGAGGCAGCGACGATGTCCCTCGTCGCTGCTTCTTCCTCTGCCCATGCTCCTCTTCCTCATCACATCAGCCGGCGGGGGAGACTGATCAATGCCGCGCACGCGCATTAGACCTCCCCATAGGAAAGCATTGAAAATGCTTTTCAATGCTTTCCTATGGGGATTTTAGCGACGCTGGAGCTCTGTGCTATAATTCCTGAAGTGCCCTCTAGTGGTTGTCTAGTAGACAGCCACTCAAGGAGGCGTTAACCCTGCAAGGTAATTATTGCAGTTTATAAAAACTACAATAATTACACCTGCAGGGTTAAGGGTAGGGGGAGTTGGCACCCAGACCACTCCAACGGGCAGAAGTGGTCTGGGTGCCTGGAGTGTCCCTTTAACCAAATCGGCAGCTGACTAGTAATAGATGTTATTATTACCTAATTGATGGTACTCATTTTATCGACCTCGGAAGGATAAAGGGCTGAGTTGACTCTGCCGGGATTTGAACCTGTGACCTTGCATTTTTGAACAGGTTTAGATTGTATATGCTGAAGGATCCAGTCGTTTATTAAAAGTAGGGTTGTATTTTGTCACTGTTATACATATACTATATATATATATATATATATATATATATATATATATATATATATATATATATATATATATATAAAAATAAGAAACTTTATGTTTCCTTTTAAAACTTGATGAAAGGATTAGTATATTAAAAACAAAAAATTTTTTAGGTGAAAGCTGACCTTTGACCAATGATATAAATATTATATGCACTGTCGTCTATATCGATGAGTATTTTAATACATCTAAGGTTTGTGTTTAATCAATGTATCACTGTAATATTTTTATTCCTACCTTTTCAGTTTAGCCATAGCAGTAGGGGAGACAGAAGCCTGATTGTATCTACCTGGCTTGGGTTATTTATGCCAGTAAGCTACACAGAACTGACTTTTCATTTCAGTGCATCTAGCTGAAGAACACAGTTAACATAACAAGGATAGAAGCTATAGATTTCACCATAAGTATTGAATTTTGTATTTCAAATTATGTACATAAAGATTGATTTGACACAAAGTGTATCTTTCAAATCAAGCTTTATGTATTGTTGCATCACACAGTCATGTATACAAAATAACTACTGCAGTAGTATCTTCAGAAGGATATTGATACCTTAGAGAGAGTTCATAGAAGGGCTACTAAACTGGTTCATGGATTACAGGATAAAACTTACCAGGAAAGGTTAAAGGATCTTAACATGTATAGCTTGGAGGAAAGGCGAGACAGGGGGGATATGATAGAAACATTTAAATATATAAAGGGAATCAACACAGTAAAGGAGGAGACTATATTTAAAAGAAGAAAAACTACCACAACAAGAGGACATAGTCTTAAATTAGAGGGACAAAGGTTTAAAAATAATATCAGGAAGTATTACTTTACTGAGAGGGTAGTGGATGCATGGAATAGCCTTCCAGCTGAAGTGGTAGAGGTTAACACAGTAAAGGAGTTTAAGCATGCGTGGGATAGGCATAAGGCTATCCTAACTATAAGATAAGGCCAGGGACTAATGAAAGTATTTAGAAAATTGGGCAGACTAGATGGGCCGAATGGTTCTTATCTGCCGTCACATTCTATGTTTCTAAATTCTGTAGTTTGTTCCTTCAGCACCCCCCCCCCCCATTTATGCATCGTAATATTCAACTAAAGTTCTGTTTTCTCTATTATTCTATTTACTTGTAGTTAAACTAAGAATGTTTAAATGGGGCCAGAGTTAGCAGGACCTACCAGAAAAACTTGTCAAATGGATGGATTGATAAAAAGGGCTAGTTTGTACCTTGCTATTTTCTTCTCCCCTGACTCCAAAAGTTTTATTTTGGGAGTGTGGGAGTGATGGGGGTCCTCCATAGAGCCCCCCATATCAAGATATTTAAGCAAGGGACTGGAAAGGAAAGCTTCTAAAGTTTCCATTGTTTATACAGTGTGGTGGTCCTCTGCTTTAGTCTCTCTCCTGGGAGGTGAGAGCGCACTGACCAAGTTCTGAGTGTTCTATGCCGTATGCAGAATATGGATAATACAAATTTTCCAGCTGATTGACTGACAGAAGCCAGAGTTGGAGCTCTTGTCAATGAAGGCAAATTAAATATCTCAAAACTGGCAGAACTTGTTTAGTTGATAGTTGCCTACAGGGTCAATGTAACCCAGTAGTCTAATCAAAATATCTCAGATCTGGCAGCTCTTTTTGTGCACACTCCTGCGCAATCAGGAGTGTGCACGAAAAGCTACAAAAGGTGCTGTAACCATATAAGTAAGATGATTTGGTTATGGTGCCTGATATGTACCTCTGCAGTTAAACAAAAAAATATGGAAATATCCCACCAAGTGCAACAGTACCACCACCCAGTGTATAATATTACCATAGACTGGTAAAGAAACATAACTAAAAAAGGGACTATAGCGGGTGTACATTATGGGTGTCCCATTTCAGGCTCAGAATATTAACTGATTTTGTGTATTTACGTGTTATCTGGCTACTAGATTAGTCTGTTAAAGTGCTGTCTAAGCATCCCCCAAACTGTATTCCATAAAAGCTTCTGTGGCTCCCACCACTTTTCCATGTAATTACATATTTTAGCAGCACCAATGGAACACCGTTTTATATTGTCTGAAACATGGTGGGGTTGTAGTGGTTCTTGGAAGGAATATTACTGGTCTCTGCATGCATATGTGGATACAGCCCTGTTGTAGCACTAGACCTATTTGATTCCTTGCAAGTCTAATGGCTAGTGTATAGTACATCTGAAAGGAGTATGCTGCCCTTTAGAAATACAAAAAGAAAAGTTTTGGAGTGGCCATTGGAGTAACTAAATGACCTCCATTTGTTTAAATATACATAGGGAATAAGGAGAGAGCGCAGTTAACTTCTTTTTTTTTTTTCTTTGCCCTTTAGAAATAGTTGCTCTCTTACAACATATCTACTTAATGTACTTCCTCAACAAGCACTGAATAGGGGTGCATTTATTGAGCATCCTTTATCTACCAATTTCCTGAAATATCTTCTGATTATGGGATTTTTATAGCTTGAGTTCGCTGGTTTCCTTTATATGTGATTGGTATCGGCTAAAACTCCCACCAAAAACTGCTATAAATAATTATATAATCCATAATTTTAATTATATAAATTCTACACTAGAGACTATTTTTCAAAAATACTGCTGGGCGCTCCTCCTTGCCTCTACCATCTTTGGCTGAAAGCTACTTTCCATTTCAGGATATAATTTTGGGACTGAATGGTTAATTGATGTAAATAAATGGATAGTAATTTTCTTCTATCTTTGTTGCAGTTATTGTCACACCACCAGTCATGGGGGACATGAAGACTCCAGACTTTGATGATCTTCTGGCAGCTTTTGATATTCCTGACGCCACAAGCCTGGACCCCAAAGAAGCTATCCAGTCTACAAGTGATGAACCAGAAAATCACCTTAAGCCCTCAGGAATGTGCTTGGATGAAAACTTGTCCTTGTCTCAGTCTGTGCCAGCTCCTGATGTTCCTGCGGTCAGTGTCATTGTAAAGAACACCAGTCGACAAGAATCCTTTGAGGCAACTGAAAAGGAGGGTAACCACATGGGTTCAACTCTTCTGCAGAATGGCTTCCGTAGCCCAGAAGTGGGAAATGAACCACATGCTCCTGAACAAGCGTATGTCAAATTTGAACCAGGCTTCATTAATGGAGACAGTTCAAGAGGTTATAATGACAAACTAGAGTCACATAAGTCAGAACCATTACCAACGTTTAACCAGTTTAGTCCAATTTCTAGCCCTGAACCTGATGACTCTTCAAAAGATAATGGAGTTTTGAGCAAACATAAAGCCGCAGAAAGTTCTTACTTCCCACAGTCCTCTATTTACGTCCCTACAGATCCTTGTGTTGTGGATTCTCTGCGGAAGCCTGCAGAAACTGAGCTAAGCATGTTTGATGAATACTGCAAGAAGGAGCAGAAATCTGACAGCAAGGAAATGGAGAAGGAGAGGTCTGCAGAGCAAACCAGAGACGCAGATAAATCCAATAGTTTTCTTAGTGTGTCTTTGCCGTTTAAAGACGTTCAGGAGAATACCACAGCTGAAGATAAGGTCTTTTCAGAGTCAAGTGCATGTTCTTCAGCTGTGCCTCCTCGACAGCGTATTAAACCTGCTCATTCTAAGCTGTCTTCCTGTGTGGCTGCTTTGGTAGCCCTGCAGGCCAAAAAGGTTGCCATGGTTCCAAAGGAAGAACCAATGAGTACGTCTAAGGAGACAGTTGCACCAGTAAAAGAAAGTATTAAGGGAAGTCCAAAAATGCCCAAGTCCCCAAAAAGCCCTAGGAGTCCACTGGAAGTGGTTAAGAAGATTATTAAACCCCCTGATAGTCCAATGAGTGTCTGCAGTGACACAAGCAGCAAGGATTCTCCTTCTGTCTGTGCTGGCTCACCTCCTGCTATCCCTAAAGTGCGGATTAAGACAATAAAGATGTCTTCTGGGGAGATCAAAAGAACAGTAACCAGAATTTTGCCAGAAGTGGAATCTGATGACATGGTAAAATCTCCAGAGGATTTGCAGGGTGAGAACTCCTCTGGTGAGGATGTAAAAACCACTATTCCTTTGGAGGATGTGTCTTCCTCTGAAAAGTTAAAGACTCCAGTTAGAACTGCAACACCCACCAACAGTCAGGGACCCAGTGCAACAATTCCCCAGGTAACCAATTCCAAAGGTGAGAAGAAAAAGAGTGTGCCTACTTCAAATCTTAATAACCCTGGCAGCGGCTCAACAAAGACTTCAAACTCCTCACAAACCAAGAAGCAGTCACCAGCTACAACTAAGGCAGCATCAAACCCAACTACTCAGCTTCCCAAAGCAGTCCATCTTGCCAACCTAAATTTGGTTCCTAATAGTGTCACTATACCTGTGGCAGCAAAGACTACACCAGTCAGACCAATACAACCTTTGACTGTGCCATTGGTACACCAAGTTAAGATAGCAGCCCCTGTCATTGTTGAGGCTTTTAATAAACTTCTGCACAGTGCAAATCCTGTACCAACATATGCCCCAAATTTAAACCCACCTCCTGAATGTAATATTCTGCTTCCTTCTTCTGGCTATACATGTCTGGAGTGTGGGGACTCATTTGCTTTGGAGAAAAGCCTTACCCAGCACCACAACAGACGGAGTGTGCATATAGAGGTTATGTGTACACAGTGCTCTAAAACAGTCCAGTTCTACAACAAATGCAGCTTGTTGGGTCATGCCAGGGAGCACAAGAGCAAGGGCCTTATTATGCAGTGCTCTCAACTCATGATGAAGCCCATCTCTGCAGAGCAGATGCTTTCGGCACCCACTTTAATTGCTCCCGCACTCACTGCACAGCTTTCACCTGCCGTTCAACGGACAATAGGTTCAACAGCGTCATCAACCACGTGGTCTGGGACTTCGTATGCACCCGCCATGCCTCTTTATGCAGACCCATATGGACTGATACGCCATGGGTTCAAATGTTTAGAGTGCAGCAAGCAGGTGGAGGATTATACTTGTCTGGCAGGACATTATCAAAGGGTGGCCGAGGAAAAAGATGGACTGGTGAGTGTGGGTCTGTCTTCATTCAAGTTAGGGTGTAACTGTCTTTTGCTTTCAAAATCATGTATTCGTTCTATTATGGTTACTTGATAAGAACTGTGTTTGTGCACACTGACTAGTAACATTACAGAACATTGTTATTAGGCATTTATAAGATAAAATAATTTGGATCTCAAATCTTTTATTTTCGTTTTTGTTTTTCACTTGTATTACATGTATATATTGATTTTAAATTTTAGTTTGGTCTTTGATACAGACACATCTTATCTAAAATAATTATAACAATGAAAACCCATTAGCCTAACCAAATCCAAAATTATAAAGGTGTGTGTGTGTGTGTGCGTGCGTGCAATTTAGATACATTTAATGCAGCAAATTCATTCATGAAACACATGTCCAGTATCACATTGGTGCATCAATGTTACCTTTTTACATCTTTTTTCACTAGTCAGGAGGCCAAAAAAGAAAGTTTTGCAGAATGCTGTACCATAAGACTGCCTCCTAAACCACACTCCCTCACTCTAGAAATATAAACATCCTTGTCAAATGTATGCGCTCAGCCACTCACAATATTGAATGATCTGAATTCTAAAGCATTAGGAGAAAATACCCAGGGAGACATAGTGAGGCTATCATTACCTGACAGTTTGCAGTCATGTTTTGAATTAAAAACCGCTGAGTGTTATAGGGGCTGAGCTGTGTCCATACATTTGATAAGGAAGTCTTTCTGACATGAAGGGCTGTGGCTAAGAAGGCAGGCTTAATGTGCAGCATTCTGCAAAATATTAGATTTTTGTGCAAAAACTATAAAGATGTGAGTGTGCAAAAAAAAAAAAATATATATTATTATGGAGGCCATATGCATACAAGTTGTATTAGGGCCTAGAGTGCCCCTTTAACTACGTAATTAAAGGGACACTATAGTCACCAGAACAACTACAGCTTATTGAATTTGTTCTGGTGAGTAGAATCATTACTTTCAGGCATTATGCTGTAAACACGGTCTTTTCAGAGAGAATGCAGTGTTTACATTACAGCCTAGTGATAACTTCACTGGCCACTCCTCAGATGGCTGTTAGAGATCCCTCCTGGTTCATGTCTGCCTAAAATGCATCCAAACATTCAGTATCTCCTCCCTCTGCATGCAGACACTGAACTTTCCTCATAGAGATTCATTGATTCAATTCATCTCTGAGGAGATGCTGATTGGCCAGGGCTGTGTTTGAATTGTGCTGGCTTTGCCCCTGATCTGCCTCTTTGTCAGTCTCAACCAATACTATGGGGAAGCAATGTGATTGGATCAGGCTACCACTTTTGATGATGTCAGCAGACTTCTTGTTTTTGTTTAGGCAAAAAGCATGCAGATGTACAGCTTCAGGCTTGAATACAGTAAGATTGTGCTATATTTATGGAGGCATGAGGGGCCCAGGGGTGCTAGATGGTGGTTTTAACACTATATGGTCAGGAATACATGTTTGTGTTCCTGACCCTATAGGAATCTTTTAAGAACTAGTGGTGGTTAACCAAATAAGCACCTCACATTTATCAGTTTGCCAGTTAAATAATAAACAATCCTGGTCACAGTCTATTCTCACTAAATTCTTTATACAGTCCCCTTTCTCTTATACATACCCACATATTATGTATAATATTACATAAAGTATTGTATGCAGTGCTTTTTTAAGGTATGATAATGGCTCAATTCAAGTGTATAAACACTGGAAGCAACATAACTTTTTAAAGGGTCACTATAGTGTCAGGAAACAAAGCGGTTTTCCTGACACTATAGTGCCTTGAGGGTGCCCCCACCCTCGGGGTTCTCCTCCCGTGGCGCTGAAGTGGTTAAAACTCCTCCAGCCACTTACCTTAATCCAGCGCCGGGCTCCCTTGGCACTGGTGACCTCTCCTCCCCGTCCAATGTCAGCTACCCTGTCCGATGTCACTGGAGCCGAATGCGCCAAGGGAAGACAGCCACTAGAGGCTGGACTAACCCCAAATGTAAACATAGCAGTTTCTCTGAAACTGTTATGTTTACATGTGAAGGGTTAAAACCTGAGGGACCTGGCACCCAGACCACTTTATTGAGCTGAAGTGGTCTGAGTGACTATAGTGTCCCTTTAAAGATTGCTATTGTGGTCATATTGCCTCTGTTACCACCACATGTTTAATTTCAAACCTTTTTGCAATGGTTTGATAAAAACTAGAGAATTTCCCAGGCCCAGGGGGCGTTCACATATCGGCCATGTTGGTTGGTTGAGAGTGATGAGCAGACATACCCCCAGCAATCATTGATGTTCAGGTTTAAACAAAATTGACCATTGTTATGCAAATAGTTAATTACAAATTATGAATTTGGCGATGAGGATTGCTAGTTTCAGTCACTGAGCACAGCCCTAGTTTATATTGAACTTTTCCTAAACTGTTTGATATTACACCATAGTATGGGACAGGGATACTTTAGGCTACCTAACCACTAGAGCAGGGATAGGGAACATTTTAGTAGTACGGTGTCAAAACAAGATCTTGAAGTCCCTTGGCATGCTGGTTATATTTTTTTTTTTAATTGGTGTGTATGTTGTCGTATTTTGCTTGTCGTATGTATGGGTGCTGCAGTTGCTTTGGAGAGTTTTTGTGTGTATATAGGCTGTTATATGGTACACGTTTATAATGAATAGTTTGTGGTATTGTGTATGATACCTATCAATGTGGGCTGCTTATGGATTTGTGTGTGTGGATGATATGTCACATTGTGTGTTTGGTGTGTGTGTGTGTGTGGATGTATGTGTGGGGCTGCTTGTGGTATTGCATGTGAGAGACTGCTTGTGGGGTTGTGTGCATGTATATGGATTGTCAGTGGAGTTGTGTTTGTGGGGACTGTGTCTGTTTGTGTGTGGGATGTTTATAATTTGTATAAGTGGAAGGTATATTCTGCAGCCCTATGTATATCTTGCAGTGTGGGTGACTCCCAGGGGTCCAGTAAGGACCAAACTGGCTAAGTACAGATCAAGGGTGGGAGCTACAATAGCTGCTGCAGGCTTCTCTCCTCCACTGCAGATTTCTATTCACAAGTAGTCGGAGGAAGTGATCAGAGGTCCCTTGACTACTTTTTGCACTAGCAGATATCTGAAGTTCCACTGGAACTCCTTATAGGCCAGAGACTGTTTGGTTCTGGCAGCCTTGAGTGCAGTGCAAATGCACCTCGAGTGCCATAGATTGATGACCCCTGCCCTAGAGCAAGCTGTAGTGATAGTTATAAATTGCCTTTATTAATTGTTATTGTTAAAAATGATATTGTTAAAAAAATGCCTGTAAATTAAATGGTTATGGGAAAGCCCTCTCTTATGTCATTTTTTTTTTTCTCTCTTTTCTGTTCATCTACTATCCTAACTAGAAATGGATAGCCTTGGTATCCCAAATGTTTGTATAGTCCTTTTCCCTTGATTACTCAACCAACAGCATGGGAGGTAGCATTTACTAAAACCTGCTGTGTAACAGTTGCTCATTAACACACCTCAACTTTTTGAGCTTGGTACCTTTGTGCTTTTTGCCTGGGCAACACTAGTTGTTTTCTTCTGCATAGCACCTTTGTAGTCTCACTGAGGGAAGTAATTTCACTTTTAAATTTATATTGATATCACTACTTCTTGATCTCACTCTTGCTTCTCATCAGCTAATTGTTAGGTTGGATTATGAATTGGTTATTAGATTTTTAGATTTTTATTTTTCATGTACATTTTATATGACTTCTTAAATGAGGTGTTTACTTTTAAATCCCAAGATCTTTAGTTTATTGAATGGCATCTGATACTGGGCTATATCTTACATATTTGTGTTTTTGTAGACCGGGTTGATACAATACTGCCCATCACCTGGCATTTTAAATCAAGCCAGATCAAAATGTACCACTGATTTGATACAATTTGTGCGTTTTAATGGTGATATTTTTTTAAATCTTCATGTATTGGTATGGAAATAAATTTACAAGATATAATATCTTTGTCAATCTCTTTATATGGTTCCTTAAATGATAAGGGTGGTGCAGTAGACTTATTTATTGAATAAAACTCCACAGGTAAATTTGTACGTACTACCTGAAAAGAATATATGCACATGTCTAGGGTGCAATGTTTTGTGTCATCTCACAGTATTTTTATTTTATTGTTTAGGCTGGGGGGGGAGAGGAGGGGGAGAACACTTTCCTTTTTTTTTTTTTTTTTTGAGCAGTTCTGATTCTCACTAACATGATAAATGTATGAGTGCACAAGTTGTATTCCTCCCCTCAATCATTTTATTTTGTCTTTCCTCTTCCAGACATGCCAGGTGTGCCAGATGATGCTTCCTAACAAGTGCAGTTATGGCGCTCACCAGCGCATTCACACACACAAGTCTCCGTATTGCTGTCCAGAATGTGGGGTGCTCTGCCGATCTGCCTATTTTCAGACCCATGTGAAGGAGAATTGTCTGCATTATACTCGCAAGGTGGCATTTCGGTAAGTCTTCCTATCAGCTCAGTAAAATATCATCCTCGGTTGTACAGGCAAAGCAGTGATAGACATTGTGTATGTACTTTGTGTTTGAAATTTCTATCCGTATACCCAATGTATAACAGCATGCATAGCATCTTGCTACTAGTCCAGATGCATGTGAGAAAACTGGTACATTAGTTTATTTTTGTTTTAGTTTCTATACTGTTTGAAGCTCAGCAGTGATTTTCTAGGCATTATCAGTGTAGAACACATCACCACATATAGATGTCACTTTCGGGGATCTCTGCATATTCCACAAAGATCCCCGAAAGTGACTGATCCTGTGTGGGTCTAGTGGTTGCGGGGTGCAGGGGAGGTACATTTTAATGCATGCTGCTGTCCTCTACAGTTCCTGGCACTTAATACGCCAGGAGCCATGTCCGTGCTATACTCTCGCATAAGCGCTAGAGTACAGCTCTGAAGTCTGTGGAGTATCCAATGATTCCTCAGGAGCCTCCATACATCGATGTCTGAATCCCATAGTCATCAATTGTGACGACTGCTGGGATTGGACAAAAGTCGAGTTCCGCCTTTTGTCAACCTCAGATATATCATAAGACAAAGTAGTCCCTAATTTGTTTTATATCTATTGATTGTGTTGGAATTTCAGTGAAATTCTAAAGCAGTCTTGATCCGTATTCCATAAGGATTATGAAGAGTATGAAATGCTTGGCAACGTAATGTTAGATATTCAAATATCTGTAGTTTTCCTTACTTTGTGAGATTGCCATCAAAATTGTATTTTTATTTTTTATTTATAATTGATATTGTGAATCATACCAATACATAAATATGCTGAAATAATAAGACAACAAGTCTGCATTGAAATGTCACACAATTTAAACATGTATACAATGCATTTTTATTAAAGGAACACTATAGTACCCTAAACAACTTAAGCTTTATGAAGCAGTTTTATTCTTTATTTTTTGCGTGCAAGAGTTAACATAGCAGCTTACTCTGCCACAATAACATACGTAAGCGTGGTCATAACACATTGATTTTAGAATTATGGCATTTAAAGTAGTGCACATTTTTTGAATATAGATGCTCAAACAAAGCATAGACTACTTGATTACAAATTGCAGTTGTATGAAGTAGTTTTAGTGTATAGATCATGCCTCTCAGGTTTTACTGCTCAATTCACTGCCATTTTGGAGTTAAATCACTTTGTCTCTGTTTATGCAGCCCTTGTCACACCTCCCCTGACTCTGATTGACAGAGCCTGCATGAAAAAAAAAAACTGGTTTCAGATGTAATTTACCTTAAACAATTGTATCTCTTGCTCTGTAAATTGAACTTTAATCTCATACAGGAGGCTCTTGCAGGGTCTAGCAAGCTATTAACATAGCAGGGGATAAGAAAATCTAAATTAAACAGAACTTGCAATAAAGATTGGATAAACTTTAGATGACTCTTTGCAGGAAGTGTTTAGGAAGGCTGTGCAAGTCACATGCAGGGAGGTGTGACTAGGGCTCATAAACAAAGTGATTTTAACTCCTAAATGGCAGAGAGATTTGAGCAGTGAGGCTGCATGGGGCATGTTTTATACACCAAAACTGCTTCATTAAGCTAAAGTTGTTTTGGCGACTATAGTGTCCCATTAAAAAAACAAAACAAAAAAAAACCAGAAAGCAAAAGTATATTTTATTTAAATTGAAACCCAATTCATATTACTATAGTAGGATGCCATTTTGTATCAAAGTTAAATATTTATGTAATGATCTGGAAAAAAACTTTCACCAAAGTAATCATCTCATGAGTTATTCACTAAAATCTGAAAGGCCCTGTACCGAATGGAGCAAAATCCAACATTGTTCACAGTATTTACGTGACAGGATTTGGGAAACCAAGCTCTGAATGAGCCTGAATTTGGTCCAGGTTTCAGCCAGACTGAATGTGGATCCAGAGTGTTAAAAACCAGACCCAGTACTTAAAATCAGAGTCTGGGTTTAAAAAAAAAAAAATGTGATCCATTTGCACTGCCAATGGGCAAATATTAGTTAAAATTATCATTCACTTGTAAAAAGCAGGTAATGAAAATCTGAGAATGTAAAATTGTGTTCTACCAGTTGCATTCTTTTTTTTTTTTGTTTATCAGTGCTTTGTAAATATTTTAGATACTATCCTTTTGTATAGGGTTTGGATGCACTGATTTTTAAATCAAACACCGAATGAATCTTCGGATCATCGGATTTTGTGTAGATTCGGTCAGGTTGACCAACTTCTGACCAGAGTTGGCTTTAGCAAATATGAGATATGCTATTTTGGTTGGAATTTGTCAATTTTCTCTGAAATCTTCCATCTGGATAAAATTACATGTTAATATGAATAATCTTGTATATATTTTTTCCTTTTCTGTTGGCAACATATTATTGTTGGATTGAGAAAAGTCCCTCACAGATCAAGAACTACGTATTTTTATATAGAACCATATAATAAAAAAAAATATATATATATATATATATATATATATATATATATATATATATATATATATATATATATATATATATAAAAACATTTTTTTTTTTTTTCACTTGCTCTTCTCAATGACGAACTAGTGTAAGGCTGAGTGCGTCAGCTGATGTCCTTAGCCTATCACTGGCGCCTGGTCCAAGGTTTCCGACCTAAAGCCTCAGACATTGAGCTGAAGTGCAGTGCCAGAGCGATCTGGTGCCAGCTTGCATTAACAGATTAACCCTTTCAGGTAATAGGGTGCCTGGGACCTGATTACACTACAACAAGTTAATTTTGTTGTTGGTATTGATATATTATTTTAACCAACAGATTGCTTGCACTGTAACCTGTTTATTTTGTTATTGTGAAAATTTCAACTTAATGACAAGGCCACTATGTTAAAAGTGTACTGCGTGAATTATAGCTTGTATACGGAAACTACTAGTACCATATAAGCATTTTGTGCTAAAGTTAGGAAGAACTCGCTCTGGCCATACCAAAAGAGCTCTAGTGATTCACCGCTGCCAGATTGTCCTTGGCCTAGTGCACAAACACACACAGTGAAATTTAGTCATTATAATATTGCAGTAAACCATAGTTATGATGCTTGGAAAATGTCTACATAAAAGCAGTTTACAATCATAATGGACATATGTACAGCTTTTAAAATGAATAACAATTTAATCAAACTAATACACCTTTCTAAATAACTAGTGTAATGATCCAAGAAATGGGCTAAATCTGGAGGCTATTTAAAGCAATTTGCTTCATGTTCAAAGGAAAACATGAATCTTGGTCCTGGGAGAACCTTAAATTACCTGTGTCATGTCTTAATGGACAATCATAAAGTTAACAGTAACCAACCCATAGTTTATATCTAAGTTATGTATTCATTGAATATCTTGAACGGTAACATATGTTTGGAACACCAAGTTATGCTCGAACATAGATGTCAAGCATACCTTGCTGCAGTAATCTGGTAATTGGCTTGTGAAAATCTCAGTTGCCTATTAAATGAGCTATTTATAAGAAACATAATATAATTACAATTTTATTTTATTTTTTTGCATAAGATGATGATTGGAGTGTCTGGGGAGTCTTTTTGGTTTTCCAAGCAGAATTGACTGCAGTATGTGACAGATCTAGTAGCAGGCCATGTACATTGTAAGTTGGTTGTCATGAGGAAAAAATATGCTATATTTTCTGTTTGTCAAAGAGCACAACAATTGAAGTAGACAGGAGGGATTTAAATGCCTATATTAAAATGTATAAAACTTGTAAAAACAAAGTATGACAAAAGACTTATTTTTCAACTAGCTGTAAGCTCAGCAGATTGTAACCGGGTAACTGATGATAGAGTCTCAATATAGATGTGTTAGCATTAAGAAGTGTTTGAGAACACACTGAAAAAGTGAGGGGAACCATATATATGTAAAAGGTCATAGGCCTGAATTTGTGGGAGGAGTTTTCCCTATATAAACTCTACCCCCTTACTTACCTATGCCGTTTTCTGTTCAAGCGACCAGGCTGCCACTTCCGTTCTGGTCCTTCCCTCCAATTTTCAACTCTCGGACCCAGCAGCCCACGGACCCGGCTTCCGTGTCGCAAGACCTGACACGCTTACGTATGTAGTCGAGGGAACCCATTTGCGGTGTTCACACATTCGGGCATACCAAACACAGGGATTGGCTTCCATTATGTTCTCATACACGTGTACCGTTAGTTTGCTTTCGTTTAAACTCTCCTGTGCTTATTACTCACATTCACAGGTTTTCGCTTGTTCCCATACAGCTTGTTCGTTCACTTATGTTCATTCCTCTGGTTCAAACCGTACGTTTGTTTTCTTTATTCCGTTAGTACGTTGTTTGAACCATGCATTCGGTTAAATCTCATCCTACTTAGATGCTGACACTTAAGCTTTTGTTTCATCCGTTCGGTTGGGCTTTCTCAGAAATTAATTGTTCGTATAACCTATAAGGGTTGGACAGGGTTTACTGTTCGTTTCAGCAGGCACTTTATTTCACTCCATTCGTGCAGGCCTTTCTGTTCGGTTTCTTTCCTGCACTTATTAATGGATATTTGGTTTCCCGCTCACTACCTCCATCTGTGCATTTCATTGCTGTTCACAGTTCGGTACTTTCCCAATGTTCTGAAATATATGGCACATTTTAACTTCACATATCCATTTGTAAAGATATATGCGCAATAGGCTATATAGTCTATTAAACCTCGTCCAGTTCATCTGGGATTCCTGTCCACAAATCAATATCACTAGATGGTCACATACGCTTGTTTGTAATAACGCTAGGTTAAACACAATTTTAGTGCATAGATCTCTATTACATATATATTTCCCAACTCACTTTGTTCTTATTATACCATGTACTTTAGGTGCCCATATCAATTTTAGTAGCAAGCATATTAGGAAAACCAAGAACAGCAGTGTTCATTCAGCAATCTTGTTCCAGGTATTTTTCCTTTCGTTTATATATTTTTCATTAAACCTTTATAATAAGGCCTCACTCCTGCCTTTTTTATGTTACACGTTTGTGCTTAATTAGGGGCTTGTCTCATTGTATCAGACCCACGTTTAGGTCCTTAAAACATTTACGTTCATACAGTGACTTCTTTTGTACTATCTGTTTTCCAGCCTTTACTATTACTCCACTAGACAAACTAGGATATGGAAGTTATATTCTCACATCTATCAGGTATTTTATAAAATTTTCTCTTTATACTCTTCTCCTAAATTTGTGCCTTCTTTCTTTGCCCCCACATATCTTCAATTATTCATAGGTGCACTTAACAGACCCCTCTCTGGTTATAAGTATGCTCTCACCAGCTCCTTAAGGGTACATTCTGTTTATATACACAAACCAGTATATCACGTGTCACAGTTTGTTGATCTTTATTTCAGATAGGTATCAGTTCAACTATATCTTCCGACCAGCTCTGTCTTCCTTCTGTTCCTATTTCAGTCTATTTAGGTACATACGTTTACAATTACGCAATTTGTTATAAGACAAGCCCCTTCTAGGGATAGAGTGTTGGGAGCTGGCTTTATTGTATTAACTTTCTTTAGGATCCCGCGAGGCCAACTCCCCACCTCTCTCGGAGGTATTGCCCACACGGCCCTACGTTTAGATCAACTTGCCTCATATCCCCTTCTGCAGGGGTTTTAGGATGTCACATGCCATGGCAGTAAGCATTTTGACTCTTTACTGTCACTGAGATGCTGACCCCCTGCCACACCAATAGTGGCCACGATCACCCACGAGACAAATCATAGGTAGAGCCTATCATGGACACTTGGCAACTAGCAGGGATTCACCTGTCACGGGGTAGTTAAGTTCTACACCACCGGCACTAGCTAGCAAGCCAGTTCTAAATATGGATATCATCATTAGCTTTCAAAATAGCTTTATTTAGTTATTTCTTTATAGGATGTCGCAAGAATCAATCCAAGGAGACAACCTGTCTCTCCAGGGCACTCCTTCCAGGCCCAGCATGCCTGTTAGATCAAGCTCACCTGCAGAATCTCTCATTCCTGCTACCCCTGGGTCACTGAGATCCTGAACCATACCCAAACTAGCCGCAGAACTACGCTGTAGAAGCATCTCTTTCCCGGCCAGAGCTAGGAAAGTGGAGCTGTATAGGTTGCTCGCAGGTCACTCCAGTGATCCCAGCCCCGGCACAAGTTCACAGGAGTTCCATGCCGGCAGTTATGGACAAGTTCAGGACACCTTGTCATCTATCTTTTCTACCCTTCAGTCGCTTAACGAAAGGATGATCAAAATAGAAACCATCATCCTTACTATCGCTCCCACTCCCACCACTTCACGCGTTATTGCCCCTGCACACTCCGTTTCCGCTTCTATTAAGAAAGACATTCTTGATGGTAAGGATGTCAGCCTAGTCTCTCTCCTTATTGCTTCGCAGGACGTAGTTGAAAATAGAGCTTTTAAATAGAGATATTTCGTTGATCCTTGTCACAATAAAAAAACTCTCCATCCCCGAATTCGTCCTCTTTGGGTTATTCAGAGATGTAATTTGCTTTGAATACCCCAGAGGTGAGAGGAATTCGACCTCTATTTACACAAGGTGGTGGACCTGGGGCACAAGTATGGGGGTTTCGCTTTCTACGATTACCACAAGTCTGTATCAGCTAAAGCAGCAGCAGCTCTGGCCCAATTCAACACACGTATCGATTGAAGTCAGTTGGACACAGAGCTGTTCTGCAGGCATTTCACTGTCTTGAGACCCCCTTCTTGTGGGTTATGTTCCTCCACCACTCACTCCTCCAACTTGTGTCCCTGCAAAGCAGACCCCTCTACCACCCCCTCTCTGAGTCAGGATAGGGGCCAAAGAGATAAGCTAGGCAGACCGGTCGTATTCTTGGGCAAGGCACAAGTGTGCAACAATTTTAACGCAGGGACTTGCAATTACAACACTTGCAGATTGTTGCACATTTGCTCCATCTTCAGGGCACATATAAAATCCATGTGCCCCTCTAAGTTTTTCCCTAAGAAATGACTAACTGAGATTAACATCAACACTTTACCACCTGGTGCAATTCTTGATAGCAGGATTTTAAAAATGGTTTTCACACAGGGCTAGTAGCACTCTCCACAGGCACTCTAGAATGCCCTAATTTACTCTCAGCTATAAACGACCCATCTGCAGTTGACGAATTGCTGCGGAAAGAGACCACGTCACGTTTTATAATTGTTCTTTTTCCACATGGCGGACAAACCCTATTGGAGTGTTTACCAACAGCACCTCTAATTAAAAAAAATAAAAAATTTAATCCTCGATCTGTCCGCGCCTCATTCTTTGCACAACTCAAGTTTAAATTAACTGATACCTGCCGAAGAATTTTCACTCCACTAAGCCACTGTGGATCATCCCGTACAAGCTAATCTACTGGCTGGTGGACACGCCTGGCTAAGTAAAACAGATATTACAAACGCATTCAAACTATTACCTATTCATCCGTCACTGTGGCATATCCATGGCGTCAAATAGAGGGAACATTCGCCACCAGACTCCCTTTTGGCTCCAGGAGCAGCCCAAAACTGTTCGACATCTTTGCAGAGACTCTCTGCTGGCTGCTCCTAAACGTGGTCAATTGTCCCATGGTTATATACTATTTGGACGATTTCTTACTGGTTGAGGCAAGTTCCCACACACCACGTAGCATCCTGAGCACCACAACACTGTTTTTAACACCAGATGTTTCATTGTTCCCTGACAAAACATTTGGCCCCATGACAAAGTTGGTGTTCCTGGGTATCTCACTAGACTGTATCAATCCAGGCACGCCTCCCTGATGTGAAATTATTAAGCATTAAGCAAGAACTGGACCAATTCCTTCAAAAAGGTTCTGGTACACGGAGGGATCTTCAGTCTTTACTGGGATACCTCAATTTCGCGATGCATATTATTATACAGGGGAGATAATTTATCTCCAGGTTGCTCTGCCTCCTACCCGGCGTGCCTGACGATGGCCCCATAGTCCTCAATCCCCCATCCATGGCTGATTTGTTCATGTGGAAGCATGCTATACCAAAACAGAACCTACAGAATATTGATTTGAAATCAAGCTAATCTGTGATCTATTATTTTAGTTGTGCAGTTCTATACAGTAGAACCAACTGTAGCATAAACTTATCATAAACAAGACATAAATATATTTTCCAGTAACAAAAATAAGACTTCAGAATATCATGCTGAGATTGTGGCACAGAAGGCTTGTACATAATTATTTGACTAACCAAATGCGCTAACTGTAACCTGCTATTTATGGTGTTTTAGGATTATAAAAGTATACAGTGATAATTAACGCATCACCTGCACATTTTATATTGGTAAAATAATTTGTGTTAAAAGACAGAATTCTAACATCTAGATCCATCCAGGAGGCCCCCAGACTGCTCAGATAGTGTAATGATGTCTAGAGAAAGCTGAATAAATATGAGCGAAACTAAAAGGAAAAACCAAACAGTTACACCACATAGACTTATTTGTGCAGTAGTGATGAATGGCCATATGCCAACCAGAGGCCAGCCTGTGTCTTCCAGGGGTAGAACAACAGTTTTGCACCAGAGAGAAGCTCTTCAGGCCTAGTTGGAAAAAAATAAAATAAAAAAAGTTTAAAAAATTAAAATATCAGGAAGTATTACTTTACTGAGAGGGTAGTGGATGCATGGAATAGCCTTCCAGCTGAAGTGGTAGAGGTTAACACAGTAAAGGAGTTTAAGCATGCGTGGGATAGGCATAAGGCTATCCTAACTATAAGATAAGACCAGGGACTAATGAAAGTATTTAGAAAATTGGGCAGACTAGATGGGCCGAATGGTTCTTATCTGCCATCACATTCTATGTTTCTATGGCCAAGTGGAAGTAGGTGTGTTGTTCTGCTGTAATATTGGGATAGGCCCATAGCTGGCAATATGCCCTTCAGCGACCTGGCCCGTCATGAAATCTTGCAACATGCCTCTTGCGGACTGTGTCCGCACAGCCCCCTCCAAGGCTGGTTTCCCTGGCCTATGCATACATGTTTGAGCGTTTTCTTTGGTGAAAGCAGGCATTCACTGGGGACTTAGAGGCAGTCTCTGAGATGGGTGACCACTCTACTCCTGTGGTTTAGGTAGGTACCTTCTGTCTCTGCCAAAATATAGCAAAGCTTGTGTCTAGCCTATGCATAGTACTGGAATACTCGCTGCTGTAGTCCGGGAAGCATGCACTGCCCGCCATAGCATGCACTACTCTTACTGCAGCAACACATGGCTCTGAAATGGCAGGAAAGCCTCTGGGGGTGGGGGGGCAACTGGGTCAAAGTAGGACTCTGTAATATACAATTTTTACACTTTTTTTCAGATTTGTAGTTGAGAATAATATAGGATTATATTGTGTTTTGTTTTCTTTTATGAAGTTTAGTGCATTACCATATAAATATCAACACAAAAAAAATGTCTTTTACAAGAAATATAGATTTTGTCGTTGGGTGACATGTCCACTTGCATGGTGGTGGCCATGGAGAGATAAACATACCTTTTTAGTTTATACGCAGAGAGCAGTTCCTTCTCATCTTATAGAATACCGTACTGTTGTGTTATCACTCTATACACTGGCTAAGATCTATCTATGGGGAAAGGAGAGAACATTTCCTATAGAGATTAAATTGATTGCAACCCAGATTGTGTTCATTAATGCCTGATTTTATAATCCTGGTATGCAGTCTTATAGTAGCAGTGATTTTTTTTTTTTGATTTTTTTTTTTTTACAAATTACTCTTTGTCTGTTACGAAACGGAGTTCAACATGCAAGCTGCAAATGGTGCTTGGACTGACACCGTATCATGTGATTTCAGCCATGTGAAGATATTGGTGAAATTATTATATGTGTAAAAAATAGTGAACTACAATATATAAAACTAATTCTTTCTCCTTTCTTGCCTTGTCAACAGGTGCATCCATTGTGGAGTGGTGTTTATGTCTCTAGGAATGCTGAAAGTTCACATTCAAGACAAGCACTGCGAGGTCTTCCACAAGTGCTCTTTTTGTCCAATGGCCTTTAAGAGCGCAGAAAGTACAGCTGCTCACATCACTACCCAGCATCCCACTGCCAACCATAAGAACGCGCAGTAAGTCCAGTTATGTGACATTCCATGTAATTCTAGTAGGTTTTTAATTTGTGTGGGAATGCATGTGCACATTTTTGTATATATATTTTGGATTAATTGTATTCATGAGATTTTTGTTTTAATTTGTGTGTGCATTTGTATGTGTATTTTGCAAAAAGAAAATAACTATAAATATTTCTTTATTGGGAAACATTTTTGAGAAAAGAGACAGGATAAGGTTCGAAGGTCTAAATAAACATAGGCATCTGATGGTCGTGCAGGACCCAAGATGTAGACAGGACGTGGTAAACATAGTAAATCCAAAGGGGAAAAAAGTGTAATAAAAGCAAACATAGCCTTGTATGCAATTATTTCCAATATTTATCAAACCCTAATAGTGTGCCTCCTTTTTTCTATACCAGCATTTATCTTCACCCCCTTGCACCACAACTAAAAACCAGAAAAAATATTAACATATAGATGACTATAAACAACAAAAATGTTTTAAGTGATTAAATAAAGATTATAAAGGCCTATCCTCTGGCCCATTAATTATTTAATATTTAAATCTATAGCCTCAAGAAGCAGCCCTAATTCTCACCCAGAATTTGGCAATATATTTATCATTCCCCTCCATCCCAGCATAAAGTAACTGCATTATAAAATATTTTTTTGATATCCTAATATAAATCATTAATATATCATTTACAAAAATTTCATTAACATAAATAAAAATAAATTTTTTAAAATAAATTTTAAAAAAAGGATAAGGGGAAAAAATATAGAGGAAAAAGAAAAAGAAAAAAACTGTACATACTCATTTCTGGGCACATGTGTCGGATCTCTGTGCCCTTACTCAAAAACCTGCTCTGACATCCCTTTTTGACAAAAAAAAACAATGTCCAGGTACTAAGTCTCGATGTGTTTATCTCTATCTACCAATAGTTCAGCCCGTAGTGCCTCGGCGGCCTGGATCTCTTCCACATTTGATAGCCATTGTTCTATTGACGGGGTGGCTGTTTGCTTGCAAAGAGCAAGTATCAAGGATTTTGCTGCATTAATCAAATGTCGGAGTTTCGACTTCTTGTATTTGGAGAGATAGTTGTATTGCATGTAAAAGGGCATGGTCTCTCTCGAACGGGGGTGCCTCTCCAAGGATATGAGCTAATTTAGCCGCAATCACATCCCAAAATGGTGTGATAAAATGGCAATCCCACCATAACCTCTTTACCAGCACATATCTGATACCGAGGGAAATATTCTGTGCAATAATACCGGTGTTCTGTACCAAAATGAGAATAATTTATAATTTAGCAAAAACATTACATTATGACTTGAAACTTTAATTTGCTATAATCTCCCTTTTAGTAAGTTTTGTTTTCTAAGCCTAGTGAGTGAGCTTTGCAGATTGTAAATATTAGATTACATGAACTGCACGCAGGATATTTTTAATTTGGTACACCTGTTTGTTTAAGTTTTTTGTTTCACTGTTTAGAAAATATACCTTTAAATGCAACTTTCATGTATTTTGTTCTGCATGTTTTCTTTGGAGGTATATGAAAAAACAGCTTGTAAATGCTGCAGACCTGATGTCTGCACCCGTTGCAAATCCTGTCCTCTTTTACAGACGAGTCGGTCTCATTGAGTGCATGTGCTCAGGGCTCTCTAGGTCCCCAGATTAACAAAGGATATGCCAAGATCTATTGCCTCATACAGTGTCCTTGTTGATGAAGACCTTGACCAAGAGTAAATCTGTATGGCTTTAAAGTGGTTTGTCTTACTTGCGGGGAAAAAGCACCCCTTCCTGCTTCCACTACTGACAAAGGAGAACTGGAAGCTCCTAAGCAGGAGCTTCCATTACTCCCTCTTAAACTAAGCCTAGTACCACTGGACTTGGCTCTGATATAAAACTACAGCATGCTTAAGTATTTTTGGTGCTAGGAGAATCCCTTTAAAAAATATTGCTACCTATTGCAAATTTGCCAAATAACACTTTTTTAAAATAACCAGTCTAGATGGTTTTACATGCATCTGACATGAAAAAAAGGAAAAGAGACAATATATATATTTTACGAAACCGTTTTCTATGGTGGCAGGGGCAAAACGTAACATTTGTTGAGAGTTAATACAAAAAAATCAATCCTACGTCACTTACTCAATGCGGCTAAAGCCCTGATCCCGCTATATTGGAAGAAGACAGAGGCACCCCGAATGGAGGAATGGATTCGTAGGGTGGAGGACATTCAGGGAGCGGAGGCGATCCAAGCCTCACTACTTGGTAGGGGGGACAGACATGCAGAGATGTGGCAGCCATGGTTCGCATTTGTGTCCCTTAGCCGATAGGGCGGGATGGAACGGGTGGGGGGGACGCGCGGGGGGGGCAGCTGGCCTAACTGGGCATGACCAACCCTGCCTACTTTATTCCACCCTACCTAACCTATACTTAGGCCCCGGGGCAACTCTTCTTCCTTCTCTACCAACCTACTTCTGATTTTCACCTGTAACCTTTACATATACACGAGCAAATAGATAAGACACACTCACGCTATAGTGATAAGCCTGTATCTTGTCTGGGATCAGTCAGTGCACCGTAGAAAGACTACACTATAATTACCTCATTCACGCCTATCACGGATTCCACCAATGACTTAAGGACATACGCAAACCCTTAAAGGGTGGGATAGCTGGGACGGACAGACCCATGACAGGCCTTGTAATCACTTGCAACACACACAGGTCCATATTTGTATGTAGTGCAAAGCCTTAGTAGCCACATGGAGCTCCTTGAAAGTCAACTACACCCGGTATGGTTAAGACCCCACCATAGCGTAGCGCCTCTTTAGATACCTAGCACGGAGTACCATGGGTTACAGGGTACACGCAAAAAACATGGCACTCCAAGGGATGGCCTACAGCTACACACATTGGTGCCAGGTGGAGAAGGGAAGTACTGTACCACACCATGTGCTGATTTTTGTTGTGCACTTGTTTAAAACACCCGGCCTCTATGAGCCTGGTATAGATCTACATGATGAACACCTCACCTACTATGTACGCAACCTTACTGTTTTATATGCAACCTGGACCTGCGAGTCCTCACTACTGAAAATGTTTGTATTGACAAAACTCAGTTTCTATACACACAGAAACTTAATAAAACAGATTTAAAAAAAAAAAAAAAAAGAGTTAATAAAGAGTTTAAGGAAGTTAATCACAACACTAACTTTATGAAGGTACCAGAATGCAGTGTTGTCCAAAGAATGGTCCCAGGTGGATTCTTGTGTTCAGTGTGAAACAATTCCCAGAATAAAACATGAAGGACTGGGTTGTTTGGAGGTGAGTTTTGTAATTGGGGATGGGCAAAAAAAAAAATGTAAAACTCAAAAACCATGCAAACATCAAGTGTCTTAATCTAAACACATGGTTTGCGTATTCTGCACAATTAAGGCATGGTGCCTATTCTTTAATGGTGGAGAATAATAACCTGCACAATTCTAAAGTCCAGTAATGCTAAATGGTTCTCGCAGGCAATCCAGGTGTCCGTGTCATTCTTGTGACATTGAGTTATGGAGGATACATGGCCTCCAAGTGCATTTGCAATCAGTTAGTGGGTAATCTCAGCAATCAGTATTTGAGCATAGCCTGGGATTCTGCCTGGGGTGCTAAAAGATGTTCTGATATTCTATAGTTTTAAAGTATTCAAGTAATCCAATGGTTTTTTTTATGGTTAACTAAATTTTTCATTTTCTTAATCCGCTTCTCAAGGAATTTAGTATGCCTATTTTAAGTCCGTTTTTATATTGCAGAATAATCTACAAATGTTCATGTGAAACTGTCTTCAATAAGAAAAGGTTGCTGCACCAGCATTTCTACCAAAATACAAACTCCCTGCTCGTCAGTGTGTTTAAATGTCCTGAGTGCCAGCTGGCTTACATGCAGAAACAGCTACTAGTACAGCATCTCAAGGTGAGGATGATAAATGTCTCGCTATGCAGTAAAACAACTCCCTCAGTGAGATGAAAACATTCACACAAAACCGAAAATTTAACTAGATCCGCAGTATAAATAGATCATAGAATTGCCTAACTACAATGTGTAATTGTATCAACCTCTCAAAGATATCTGAACATAACCAGAGTTTTGAACATCTTCTACAGTTGGTGCATTAACTCATGACTCACCTCATCAAACATGAATGCATCTGTAACAAGTTTATCACATGACCATATGACAGTTCCCAACTGTACCACCTAAAAAGCCAGTCTTTGAGTTAACACTATGATTTGACCATTCTCCAATGCAGAATGTACATGGCCTTCCTAAAGCCTCTGAAGACGCTGCAGCTGCTCAGAAGAAGTCAGATACTACAGAGAAAACCGAAGACTCCTCGTTACCAGGAAAGTCCGGGGGAAAGGCTGAGGTGTCGTCCTCATCCAAGAAAGAGACTGGATCTTCAGAGTCACAGCAGAATGTGAAGCTGTCAGGCTGGACTTGTGGAGAATGCTCAGAATGGATTCTGGACCGAGAGACCTACATATTCCACATGAAAAAGAGTCATGGAAAAGTAAGTTTTATTGTAATACATAACTATTCAGTTGATATATTGGCCAACAGCCAGTCTCTCCTCTGTGATGGGCCTCTTCTATCCTTATACCACCTTCCTATTTACCCAACTTGTTTTGATCCATCCTACCTTGGCTTACATTTTGTGTCCGTTTTTATCGTTTTGATTTTTTTTTTAAATGTCTTTATTTCAATATACAATCTTCCTATTTCCCCAACTGTTTGTTCTGATCCACCCTACCTCAGCCCACTTTATGGGTCAGGTATTAAGTTATTTTTTTTAAAATTTTATTTATTTGCAATGGTCTGGGTGTCTATAGTGTCTTTTTAAATGACCACTATAGGCACCCAGACCACTTCAGCTTAATGAAGTGGTCTGGGTGCCAGGTCCATCTAGTGTTAACCCTGCAGCTGTAAACATAGCAGTTTCAAAGAAACTGCTATGTTTACATTAAGGTTAATCCAGCCTCTAGTGGCTTTCTCAATGACAGCCGCTAGAGGCGCTTCTCACTGTGATTTTCACAGTGAGAAGACGCCAGCGTCCTATGGACTCACTAAATGCGCGCTCGGCTCTTGCTGCGCATGTGCATTCAGCAGATGACATCAGAAGAGGGAGGAGAGTCCCCAGCGCTGAGGGAGCTCGGCGCTGGAGAAAGGTAAGCCTTTAACCCCTTCCTCCCCTTCCTCCCCTTCAGCCGGGTGGGAGGGGGACCCAGAGGGTGGAGGGGACCCAAAGACCCTATAGAGCGTTTTCCTGGCACTATAGTGGTCCTTTAACCTATATTTTATTCTCAAAATTACTTTTTTTTTTTTTTCTTCTTCTTTGTTTAGAATGTCTTCTTACTATGTCTATATATTTTTTTTCCAGTGTATGAAGAGGTACCCATGCAGACAGTGTGAACGATCTTTCAATTCTACTGCTAGTTTAAGAAGACATGTCCGCAACAACCATGACACAAAAACAGATTACTCATGCTGGTAAGACACTTATAGGCCATGCATGCCTGAAGGACTTGGAAAAGGGTGTCTTCAGTGTTTTTCTCTACAGACGTTTTCTTTGAATGAAATGTTAATTTCTACCTACACTGGATTTCATTTGGGCACAGAACACATTTTGCATTCATAGGCAGTTCAAGCAAGCATTTAATCTTCCCTACACAGTAGAATAAATAATAGGGTTGGTAAAAAAAAAAAAAAAAAAATACCAAGTTCTGGCTCGCTACTGCCATCTAAAGCAGTCAACAATACATGTTAAATACTTAATGTTTCTATGGTGGCCATCCACAGAGGTGCACAATTCTTCAACTTATAGTTACTGTTGTTTGGGTAAATGGAAAATATCAGGCTGCTAGAAACAAATTATTTTAAAGTATTGTAGAAGATTGTGGCATAGGTGCCATGCTGGAAGGACATCTTTACTATGAGCTCCATTTTTCAACTGAATTTATTTGGCTAGTAGTTTGCAATCCATTTATTTATTCTACAATATTGGGCTCTGTATGACAAGATTGTTACTAAACCAATATCCGTGTATATTGGCATTTTGCTATATTGGTCCCGAGTGCCATGCTTGGGTATAGCAGGCTAGCTCCACATTAAAAAGTCTAGCTTCTGAGCTTAATTTCAGCAGTAACCAGAGAATCTGACAATCTGCTGTACAGCATACTTTATATTGCAACCTGGAGGTCAGCGTGCCTGGTACTTTCTATATTCTTATTTAGTATAGGAATGTTCTTATTCCTTTAAATGGTGCATTATTCAAACCCCGGCTGTAATAAGTACTACCTAAGTAAAAATAGAACACACAAAAATTGGTGTAGGATATATGTCCTTGGTTCTGAGATCCTTTATATTGTGAAAATGTCTCATGTCTGATTTTTGAATGGGGCAATTTTATCACTCCTAATAAACTATCCTACTTCCTATCAATTTATTTCCAAGAATTGTTTTGCTGCAGACTTGTAGTCCTTGCAATCTGTGATTTATGTTAATAGTTTGAATGACTGAGCATTTTAGTGGGGGATCGTGTAGCCGCATGTGATATACATACACCTTACTTGTAGATATGACCTTTAACCTATTTTTGGTTTCATAACTTTGCTTGAGGTCAGTCATGACAAGTGTGTCTATTCGCCTCCACATCCTGGAACATCGATAACCATATTGTTTTAAAATTCTTAAATTCCATACTTTACTTCATATTATAAATTATAAGGTATTCCATTTTTTCCATAACAGTTTTGTGAAAATACTGAAGATTTTGATTTGCGTAGCTCATTTGTTTGCATAGTTAATCTGTGCATGTTGATAATCATGTTTGTAAAGGTATGTGAGGGTGCTATTTCCACATGCATTAACTTCCTTTTTAGGGGTTTGTGTAGTTTTTGTTTCCCTAGTAAATTGTGTTTCTGCTGTAAACTTTGAGAAGTATAGAGATCCTTTTTATTTGGTTAAAGGATCGCTGTAGGGTCAGGAACACAAACATGTATTCTTCACTCTATAGTGTTTAACCCACCACTTAGGTGACTTGCCCCCCTTTAAAAGTCTAAAACTCACCTTATTTCAGGCGCCGCACGGGTCTGTCGGCAGTGACTCTGCCCCCTTTGTGACACCATCAAAATGGACAATTTTTAGCCAATCCAATGCTTTCCCATCGGGACGATTTTTTTTTTCTCCCATCGGGACGATTTTTAGCCAATCCAATGCTTTCCTATCGGCTAAAATCTGCACAGGGACAGGGCCAAAAGCTGTTTTGGCCAATCAGGACCTCCTCATAGAGATGCATTGAATGCATATACATTTGCAGTGTTTTTTTCTTGCTGCTTTCCATTAGGAGTGCATGTTTGTCCGATTTGTTTGGGTTTTTGTGTGGCATTACCACAACAGAACGGAACACTTTTATTGCATACCCAGGATATACTTGAAAACGAGAGAAATATCAATGTATCTTTCCTGGTAAAATATTTTCTAAATAAAATTGCATGAACACGCTCATTTGCTTTCACACTGCATTCTTCTCATCCTCTATCTTAATGACATCACATGTGTTGTGCATTTACCATTCTAGACTATTTTTGACAGATCTGAAGATATACCCAATCTTTTCTTAATTTTCTATCAATATGCTTGCTAATAATCAGATTAAAAAAGGAGTGACATTATTAGTTTGCATTTACTCTTATGGTTAATTCATTGGTGGTGAAGGCAGATGTTCTCCTTACTTGTGTGTTTTGTTTAATTGATTCAGGTACCAAATTAAACTGGGTCTCAAGCTGTATCTGTCAAATTGCATGTGTATAATATATGCTTAATTATTTTAGAATACATAGAATTATAAAAGTAATTTTTTTTTTTTTTTTCTCTCTCTGTATTCCAGCTACTGCACAGAGAAGCCGAAATTTGCCAAGCCATCCCTGCTGGCCAATCATATCCTCCTAATGCATGGTATAAAAAACCCAGAACTCAGCCAGGTGACAAAGAGTGCGAAGATACCTCCAGATACACCTACGCAAAGTGGAGGAAAAGAGCAGGTATTACGCTTCACATTTATCATATTGTGCTTTAATGATATTACACAGATATATAGTTGTTTTATTCTTTTTCCTTTTTTTTCCCCTCCTTTAGACTAGAGGCACGAAGCGAGCAAATAAAAAGGCACAGTGGGAGTCGGGTGAGAAGGGGAGTCCCGATGCAAAGAAACTGAAAACTGTGTATAAGTGTGCAAAGTGTGGTTTCACTACAGAAACCAGCACAGAATTCTTAGAGCACATACCTCAGCATAAGACTGACAACTCCACTTGCCAGTGTGTGCACTGTGGCTTGTGTTACACCTCCCAGATATCACTGAACAGGCACCTCTTCATTGTGCACAAGGTGAAGGAGGATGAGGAGGAGAATGATCAAAAAGAAGTAAGCTCTGACTCCAAAACCTCACAGCGCTCACGCGGAAAGCAAGATCATGGAGTATCTTGGGAGTGCAACCAGTGCAATTTAACCTTTGACCTTGAGAGTGCGCATGATGCTCACTTACGGACTCATAAGGACAGCTCCCATAGCAATCAAAAAAAGGTTTCCCAGTAGCCTATACGGTTTGGACTCTGTGTAAAAATCAACTTTTGGAAGCAAAACAAATGTGTAAAGACTTAGAAAAAGAGAGAGTTTAACTGAACTATTTTTACTGAGAAATTGAAAAGGGTATTGGTTTAAATTAAAACTAAACAAAAAAACACAAATATCGATTAAGGTACTGTGTATGTTTATATTGTTTATATGGACTGTTAAATGTTTATTTCGGAACCAAGTCACAGTCGTCCTTTACATGGACACACAAGGCCCAATATTTAAAAGGGGGGGATCAGCAGAAAGTATTTTTTCCATTTTTTTTTTTAAAGCGAATGTGAGATGTCATTTTGATTCCTTTTCTTTTAAATAACATGTCTCCCGTTTCAACAGTATTCATTTCTGTCATGTCTGGGTTTTTGTGTTTTTTTTTTTTGTTTTTTTCCAGTAGGGCCTGCAAAATGTGTGTGACCAAAGGGTTAGGAACAGGGGTTTTTAATGCTTTTATTTTAATCCACAGTTTGTTTTTGTTTTTTTGTTTTTTTATATCCTATTTCCTTCTCTCCTATTGCCTGCCCTTTTATATAGCTTGAATTTAAATAGGTTCCATCAAATTGTAAGGAGAGAAAAAAACGGCGTTTTTTTAAAAACAGTAACATTTATTTTTATTTTTTTATGTGCAGTAACCTTTCCTGACATGTGCTGACACTTTCTGCAAAATGGAAAGCTTGGAAGTATTGTTCTCCCTGATGTTAACAGAGAAGCAAGAATGCCTGACACATAATGTCTAACTATAAATTTCTATGGTGTATTCCTCCAGGTACTGGAAGTAGAATCATGCAAAACAATTTTTAATTTGAAACCATTGGAGGTGTCTGGAACATATTATAATAAAACAAAATTAGAGCAAGTAAATGCACACAAAATAACACACCTTGTTTTATGAGAACAAATAGAAACTAATTACTCTTAGAATATCTTATTGATCAGGAATACTAGTTTGCAAGAAATTGTTTTGAAACAAATCTGCCTCTTGCCTGGCTATATGTCTAACTGCTTGACTGAAAGGCATGTTGAATTCTGCCTCTTTATGATCACATGTGTCCAAGTAAAATTACAGTGATTAATTCACAAGTCCTGGGGGTATATACAAATGTTAGTGTAATGTATAAGCTTTACATTGAGAAAACTAACATCAAAGCTAAATTGAGCTGGCAAGTCTGTACATTTTTGCTAGTAGTCATGAAGGCAAATGTACAGATTTAAGGAGCACTTTTGTGTTTGGAATACAAAGACCTATTCCTAACACTATAGGAACCCACTGCCTCCCCCGTGCAATATAAAAGGTTAAAGAACTCTTTAAACACTTACCTGAGTCCAGCCCTGAGTGACATTGTTCTCCTCCTCTGCCAACGTTGCGCATAATAAGCCTTCCCCATAGGAAAGTGTTGACTCAATTCTTTCCAGTGAGGATTCTGAAAACATTGGAAACCCTCATGCAAAGTGTAGAGACACCCAGCGTCTTTCCCCAGAGTTAAACTCTCTGAAACTGCAGGAAGCACCTCTAGTGGCTGTCTAGTAGACCGCCACTAGAGGCAGTCTTAACCCAACAATATAAACATTGCATAGCTAACGGGGACAAGGACACTACCCAGACCACTTCAATGAGACAAATGGGTCTGGGTGCTTATAATGTCCTTCAGTAAATACTAATAATACAATCTTTAAAGTATGCTGTTTTTGTTACGGGCGGCCAGTAGGGATATCCAAAGCTGTTGTGGGTCTATATTTTCTGTAATGCGAAGGCTGGTTTAGTAATTGGAGTGTTTTTTTGTTTTTGTTTTTCCCACCCATGTTGATATTAAGATTTCAGGTAGTCTACACATTACTGCAGTACACAGTCGGGATTCCAATACCCCTCAGTCATTCTAATGTTTAAGCGGCAGATTATAATAAAGTAGAAATATCCAGCATTTGTACTGTATAGCTAGCAGAATGCACCCAATCTCTACTTTGTCCAATCAAATGGCTCTGTACATTGTTGGTTACAGAAAACACTCTGAGTCTTATTGTGGTTGAAATACAAGCCCCTGCTTATATCAGCTGCCTTGGTAGTCAAATTCACATCAAATTATTACATTGGTCTTCCAGGAAGTCCAACACCATAAGATCAGTGTGATAACGATGTGAAATCCCATTATGGTCTGGTTTTTTGGGGGGCGGGGGGAGGTTTGAATCTATCTTTTAACATACATAGTACCTGTTGCAGATGTTGACGATACTGCAGTGTAAGTAGACTACAAATATTTGGTTGTTTTCTGTTGATGAGAGGTTGTCTTTCTACCTGTGCAATTTGAAATGCTGGTTTGGACAAATCAGGGATCCCTCCTTCCTTTACATCTAATGACACTGAAAACAAGACATGTGGGCTGTCTAAAGGCAAATGTTTAAGGATATTTTCCATAACACAAGTGACATTTGCCAATTACCTCTACTACTCATGGTGTCAAACTGTCACGTAATTTGCAGGTACAGTTTGGTATTAAACTAATTTTGGCCCTCTACACCACTATTACGCTGAATTGTTTTACTAGCACGGTCAGATCTTTTGCATGTAAAAATATATCCTCTCAAAAGAAAATATCTTCATAACTAGTGGCAATCACGGTTGGTATTGGACCATCCTACGTTAAGATAGATGTTGCTTAGCTCATTTATCATTAGCAGGGTTATATAGAATTGATTGTAAATTTGAACATTTTTCTTTAACAGGATTATAAAATTGTTCTAGTTTCTATGAGATCATAAAACAAGAGTGAAGCATTTTATTCTCTTGCTTTTAGAATCTTGTTACGAACAGTTGGACTATGATTCCTTGAAAATGTCTGAGAGAGGCAGTCAGCCAAGAGTAAATGCTAACTTTTGTATTCATATTGTGATTTTGCAACACATGATATTTGAGAACCAGAATCAATTCTATGCCTTAATTTTTGGTTTTACAACAAGCACTTATTTTGATATATATGTTATTTTTTTAAATCATTTCATAACCCTGCTTTCTGTTTAGCTGAAGAAAGAGATGGTCTCAGACATGCAATTTAAACAAAATGAACTAAACCATAACAGAAATTGAAATCAAACAGGAAAAGTTTGGCCTGACTAGAAGAACACTAAAGTGACTTAGATTCTAAGCAATGTCATTTTACTCTAGATTTTGAATTCAATTGTCAAAATACCACAATTACTGTTTTAAAGGGACACTAGAGTCCCCATAATAACAACTATAGCTTATTGTATTTGTTCTGGTGAGTATACTCATTCCCTTCAGGCTTTTTGAAGTAAACACTGCCTTTTCAGAGAAAAAGCAGTGTTTACATTACAGCCTGGGGATAACTCCACTGGCTACTCCTCAGATGGCTACTAGAGGTGCTTCCTTCGGCAGTGCCATTCAGTGCCTCCTCCCAATTCATGGGGACACTGAACTTTCGTCATAGAGATTCATTGATTTAATGCATCTCTGAGGAGATGCTGATGGGCCAGGGCTGTGTTTGGCTCTGCCCCTAATCTGCCTTCTTGACAGTCTCAGCCAATCCTATTGGAAAGCATTGTGATTGGCTCAGAACACTTCTGATGATTTCAGCAGAGCAGGCAGATCAGGGGCAGAAGCATCAGCTGCAGACTTGAATACAAGTAAGATTTTACTATATTTAGGGAGGCCTGAGGAGGGGGGGGGGGCGCTAGATGGTGGTTTTAACACCATAGGGTCAGGAATTACATTTGTGTTCCTGACCCTATAGTGTTCCTTTAAGTTTAGACAACTTAAAAGGAGAAAAATAAGTATTTTGTTTATATTGGACATTCCAGGCACTAACCCAACCAAAAGATAAGATTTCCTTTTTAGAATTTCTAATAAATGTGCATGAGCACTAAAGATTGTGTCTACGGCTGTTCCCACTTTATTATTTTCTCTCTATTTCTTTTTATGCCCAAACTTTACACAAAATGTTGGAGTATGCATCAAATACACTAAAGTTTGTTAAAAAATTGTTCTCTGCATTATTACGGTTTTATTTCCCATTTCTGTGCTGTTGATCATCATATTTGCCACTGTGCAATATGGAGACAAAATCTGAACGTATAACATTTGCATGGTGGTAAATTAGTCAGTGTATTTTTCCCCTATGATTATCCCCTCTCCTTTTATGTTCACAATAAAGGTTTAATGAGCAAACATTTAACTTTTCCATAAGGAATCGACTGGGATTTTGAACATGTGCAGCTCACTTGCAATTGACTTTACATTTGGCATGAGAACCCCTATGTAATTCCCTATAGGAAGCACTGCACATGAGTGAATCATTCATTTATTTTGTACCATTCTTATGTTGCATATATTCACCTTTTGATTCAGCTCTCCTGTAACAACCTACAGATGAGATGTAGAATTACTATATGACCAAGTAGTTGAGGGAAGCCACAGCTGTGCCCTTCTCTGTATTTCTCACAATGTTTCCTCTGAGAAGTGACAAAGAGTGGGTATGAGCAGTCACAGAAGACTATTTTGCATATTTTTAGCAAAAGAAACGTAATTTCAGGATGCATTGTTCATTGACTTACATTGTATGAATTATTACACTTGGTGCCTGGAGTGTCCTTCTCATGGTAAATGGCATACATGGGAATATGTTTCACAAAACTGGGGTGTATATGATATATTATCAATTTACATTTATATTTTCTTTAAATGTAGATCATGCGTGTTCTGCAAAAGTTAGTCATTCGAGAAAACACCATTAAGTCCAATAACCTACCCGTTGAACAGAATCCTATTTCTGCTTTGATCTCTTTTAACTATCTATAGGGTGGTAGACAAGTAGAACAGACACAATTACGTTAATCCCCATTACCCAATTGTGTCCGAAGCTGGGAGAAAGTACTCTTTGTGTCAGTGCATTCACATCTGTATTAATTATTTAAAAAGATACACTGGTATTGTTATCATGTGCATGTTGACCGTGGTTAAGTGCATCTCCATTCGGTTGCAATAACTTGTGGTCAGCAAATATGGCCTCTGGTTTTTTAAAGGAAGCATAACTTTTAGAAAAGTGATCAGGACTTAATTGCAAATAGAAGTTATCTCAGCAAAAGTACTGTAGAAGGTTGTAATCTCCATTGGTTGTCTACTTTAACATATTAGACATGTTAAATTAGTGGGCCACTCTAATCTCCATAAGTATTACAGGACATCACAGTGGTCATGGTGCTTGAAGTCCATAGACATTACTTGTCAGAGTAACCATTTCAGAGGGATTCAACAAAAGCTAGGGTCGTTCCCAGCACCCATATCACAACCCCTGCTGGGTAGCAATGATTGAGCACTAGTGAAAGGTTAGCAGACCTTTGTCCCCACCATATCCTAGCTATTCTTGATCTAAATTACAGTAAACAATGTTGTAGAGGGAACTGTCAGTAAGTGCTAGTAAGATCCTTGGTTTGTTGAGTTTTGTGATTGTCAAACTTATGCAAACATTTTGACAAATATAAATAAATGGAGGAAGGGATACCATAGACTTCAGACACTATATAAAAACTACAGTGCGTTGCAGTAGTTATGGTGTTTAGAGCTGCTCTTTAATCTCATGCTTGCATAAACTCGATGTAGGCCAATGTCAGGAGGAGATTCTCCACTATTAGGCAATGTACTTGGGGGATCTTAAAACCTCAAACTCCTTAGTTACTCTATAAAGCCAATACATGCACTTGAAAATAAAGCTTTATAGAATGATTATCTCTAATGTAGGAACAATACATTCTTTATTTTTAAATCGCTCTCCCTTAAAAAAAAAAAAAAAATATAGGTTTTAGCGAAGCCATAAATGTTACATTTGATAAAATCATACATTTCAGTAGAATCCGTTATAGCAAGGCTATAGTAAAGACTGCAGAAAGTGATTGCCTGTTATTCTATGATCTTCGTTGACAAGCTCTAAAGAAAGTGATTACGGTTTTCATTAATACTGTAACGTGCAACATTGTGACTGGTTAACTAAACAGGAAATGTTATGCAACGTTTAGCGGAAACTATACTTAATCCAGTAAAAGGAAGTGGCTGTTTCATCTAAATGCATTAAAGTTATATTTATTGTTTAGCCCCATGATGTTTTAATATGCTTAAATCTCATTCTCCAATTTGGATATTTTATTCCCACCCCACCCCCAAAACGTGTTTGTTTGTTTTTTACTGCCGCAATTTGCAACATATTTCTCTTTCATAACATGTTACATTGTTTTGCAGTTCTTTGCTGCTTTCCTCTCTACCTGTCCCCTTGTTCAGGCACTTAGTAGGGTCACAATGAAAGTGGTGTTCTGCCTATTCCCTTGCCTTGTATAGCCTCCCAATTTGCAATTTTATAAATTACTCATTGGATATCATTTTTATTGTATTTAAATGTAGTCATATTGACTATGTATATATACATACACATATATAAATATATATAAATATACACATCAACTTTTTCTTAAAGGTGCTTTTCCACTTGCCACGTATGGTATGAATATGTGTGGGTGTAGACCGTTTTATCCATTAAATTCACATATGTCTAAAAAAATAAATTAAAACATAGCATTTATACATATATGCTCAACTGGATCACCTGTTATTGTTAGATTCCTACAGCTGAGTTATCAGTATTGCAGACATGGCTATTTGGGGGACACTGTCTTTGTGACTGGTTGCAAGTATTTGACAACATTTTTTTTCTGTGCTTGCAATAAGGCCTGAAGGCTGGCAAAGTATAGTGAGATTTGTAGTTCCTCAGTAGTTCATACTGCCCAATATTTTGTAATGCGTACCTAGCCCTCTGATTGTTACACAAGTTATCCATCCAAGGCACATTTGAATGTTTTAATTTGGCTATAGAGGTCTGTAGTCCGACAGCTGTTAAACCCTGATATTAGAGATATGGTATAACTGCTGCAGAGCGGCTGGCTGACATACAGCCTGCCTAAAGTGTTTTTACAACCCATACATGCTGCTAAGTGGCACTGCACCTTTACATTTAACATGCATATATTATACCTGCGATATGATCCATTTATTTCTGCTGAGCCAAGATTTTCTCTTTTTGTTTACTTGCTTTAAATGATTATATAATTTAATAAAGAGAGAGAATTGCTATTTATCGTGTCACATTTAAAAATTAGAAAATTATACTTTCCTTTCCTTGTGTTTTGATACAAACAGATCTGACTATTTCTACCCCTTTTATAACAATGTGCAGAGTAGCTTAGAAGAATGTACAGAGTAGACTGTCCTCGTAGATTTTATGTTATAAGAAAGTCCTCTCGCGTTTGTTTAATCCAGAGGATTGTATGTATGTTTACTTCCAAATATTTGAAATAAATGTTTTAAACAGGCCTACTGAGTGACAGTCTATTGTCTGTTTGTAAATGAAGTTGCAGGCATGAGCGGGGGTACTAGAGGCTTGTGTTGACCTATTTTAAAGGGACACTGTAGTCACCAGAACAACTACAGCTTAATGTGGTGGTTCTGGTGCCTATAGCATGTCCCTGCTGTCTTTTCAATGAAAATGCTGTCTTTTCAGAGAGAAGGCAATTTTTTACATTGCTGCCTAGAAACACATATAGTGGCAGTCACTCAGACAGCCACTAGAGGTGCTTTCTGGGTCAGTGCTGCGATGTTCTGTCTCTCCACACTCTGTATGGAGGCACTGAACATTCATCATAGAGCTGCATTGATTCAATGCATCTCTAGGAAAAGATGCTTATTGGTGCAGTATTGCGTTTTGCCATGCATACGCAATTGCCTTCCAATGCATTCTTATGGGAAAGCATTGGATTGGCTGAGATTGTCAATTTTGATGATCTCAGCCAAGGCGAAGGAGCCAGCCGTGGTGAACCTGCACAGAACTGTAGTAAAGGTAAATTTTAATGGGAGACGGGCAACCAACTAAATGGTGTTTGTAACACTGTATTGTCAGTAATTATTTGTATTCCTGACACTATAGTGTCCATTTAAAACATAGATGCATTAAAAGTAGGCAAAAACAGTAATTCCATTTTTTTCAAAAAGGGAAAACTAACATTTGTCGTTCCTGTGTTTGCTGCAAAACTCCAGTTTCTGCAATGGTCTCTAACTAAATAAAGTATTTTGGATTTGATATAAATTTGTCAGGAAGATGCAATCCCTATTTTGACAAGGATCATACTACCTGTCTGAATCAATATATAAATGCTTGCATTATTTTAAAACCAATAGTTAAGAAGCATGAAAGAATGACTTGTGAAATTATAGCATGATTATATTAAAAGGGTTCTCTAGATTCCTATCCAATACATCATGCTGGATTGGTTATGGTGGCAGGAGTCTCCTGGTGGCATATGGTAACTTACCTTGCTGTGACTGGTGCCCTTGGGCATTCCATTCTTAAATTACAATGAAAAAGCAGAAGTTGATACTTTGCATTACCATGCCAACCCATGCCAGGCTCAGGTGGTAATCATTGGCTGAGAGCCAGCAGCTGGCACATTCAGGTGTATGCTTAACAGACTGCGCACAAAACCCCACAAAGTCATCATTTGTGATGATATAAATTACTCTGCGTGGATACGTTTTTTTTTTTTTTTGTTTTTTCTCCGTCCTAATTCCCTGCTGGAAAAGGAATTATGGAATAAGATCAGTCCCTTTAGACCAGAATGAAACGCTCCTGAATATAGCATCTCATCCTGGTGTGGGTGGCGATCCACTAAACATGCGCCTAAGTACTATTTAAAGGTATGTAACGTTTTATCTAAATTACTATTTTATTTAATGCCTTCTCTTTAAAAATATACTGGGTGAAATTAACTGAAAAACACTTTAAGATTACTTTTAATGTTATATATAATGAATAGGGTCTATTCACTGACCAGCTATGTACCTGCCATAGTTTCATTTAAAATGAATGTCATCGTATTGATATAATACAAGTGTCTCCCATCAATCCAAGGCAATGCTGTGCATTGGCAGTATGCTGAACATACTTCTATATATTCCCTCCGAACTTACTTAAAACCAAACAAAGGCTGTTGTTGGATCATCACAAAATAGTGAGGTCAGAAGGTTTTAGCTTTATCTACTGAACGATGTAATAAGATCCATTTTTAATGTTCTAGTTGTGGCCTCCACAATCAAATGAAAAAACAGGAGAATCCAAGCACAATCCCATTCTACAAGTTACAAATAACATGTGAATGAGGGTAGGGTTCAGGGACTCATTTCCATATTTGTTATAATATGTGTGGTTCAGTTTGAGTGTAAAAATAGATGTAATGTAATTCTGTGGAGATAAGCGCTTCCACATGTAATGTTGGGTATGAAACTCTATAATTGCTACCTCTGGGAGAACGTTGGTCTATAAAACAGTCATAAAACAAATATGTAGATTCAAGGCTTAATGGAGGTCCTCTAGATAGTAAGAAGCTGCATGATTGTATTGTGTAAAAAGAAAACCACTATGCTTTGTAGATTAGGGTCATTCACGATAGTGAGAATTGACAGGAAATAATTCAAAGTGAATTTCACAATTTAGACCAATATAGGCATACTGGGAGAATTGTCTATGTCAATTCTGTTCTCATTTTGGCTGATGTGGCCTAAAATTCACATTGAATTCCTGGCAATTTTCTCTTTAGTGAATAATCCTGTTTGGTGTTTCCATGCTAGCAACACCAGAAACAAGAGATTTAATCTGGGACAAAGGCAATGTATGGCAAAATTGTTGTGTACTAGACTGGTATCATAAAGTAATATTAACAGAATAAAGATCTCAAATGGACAAAGAGGGACACTTTCGTATTACGCCTGTGGGGGTTGGCCAGGTGTCTTACTAATAACAATTTATACAACTAATGGAATTGAGAATAAGGAGAATGTATTTTATTTACACAGACTGATTTCTAAACACACATAGTGTAATTTAAAGACACACACTACTGGGAGTATCGTTGCTGTGGCGCTCTCTTATACACTGACACGCCAACAATATCGGGAAGGGACAAAGGAAAGCAGCACCTTAAAGGGTATCCTCAGAGTTCAAATCATGAAAAGTCAATATGTAATAACAAGAGGACATTATTAACTAGAAAAGATGGACAGATGGATTTGGGTCTAAAATAGAACAGTCCTTCCGAATAGGGAAACTTGGGAGGAATGTATGTAACAGGGCAGAATCTGATAAATTAGGTCTATCACATGCACTAGAAAAAGTCCAGAGACGAGCTACAAAATTGATAAAAGGAATGGAGCATTTTAGTTATGAAGAAAGGTTAAAAAAAATTAAATCTGTTTAGTTTGGAAAAAAGGCGCCTGAGAGGGGATATGATAACTTTATACAAATATATTCGGGGCCAGTACAAACCTTTATCTGGAAATCTATTCATAAACAGGGCTATACATAGGACACGAGGTTATACATTTAGGCTGGAAGAAAGGAGATTTCATCTAAGGCAAAGAAAAGGTTTTTTTTTTTTTACAGTAAGAGCAATAAGGATATGGAATTCTCTGCCTGAAGAGGTGGTTTTGTCAGTCACTACAGAGGTTTAAACTGCAACTGGATAAATACTTACAAAAACATAACATATAGCGATATAATTTCTAATTAGTGGGGTAATAGCTGCTTGATCCAAGGAGACATCTGACTGCTATTTTGGGGTCAAGAAGGAATTTTTTCCTAGTTTGTGGCAAAATTGGAAGCGCTTCAGACTAGGTTTTTTGCCTTTTGGATCAACAGCAACAACATATGTGAGGAAGGCTGAACTTGATGGACACAAGTCTCGTTTCAGCTATGTAACATGTATGACTTTGTGCGGCTTGTAAACCAGTTTCACCAAAAATATTAAATGAATGCACGTGAAATGGGTTATTGCAAATGTATAACCTTCAGGTGAGAGATGTTCAGTTAAAACTGCTTGCAACATTTAAGCAGCTGTAGTATCTCACTTAAAGATTCAGTATTGTCTTCTTAAAGGGACACTGGCTGCCTAAAAATGTCTCCACCCTCTGCATGCAGACACTGAACTTTCCTCATAGAGATTCACTGATTCAATTCATCTCTATGAGGAGATGCTGATTGGCCAGGGCTGTGTTTTAATTGTGCTGGCTCTGCCCTTGATCTGCCTCTTTGTCAGTCTCAGCCAGTCCTACGGGGAAGCAATGTAATTGGATCAGACTACCACTTCTGATGATGTCAGCAGGCAGTGGGCAGGTCAAATGGAAACAGGGACAAAGTAAGCAGCTCCAGACCTGAATACAAATAAGGTTTTACCATATTTAGGGAGGCATGAAGGGACCAGGGGGGCTAGATGGTGGCTTTAACACTATAGGGACAGGAATACATGTTTGTGTTCCTGACCCTATAGTGCTCCTTTAAGTCAGGGGTCAGATGCTGGAGAGAGACTGGTTTAGGGGAGCAGATGTAATTTTAAGTGGTGAGGGTGACCTGGCCTTAATGCTTAAATTTTTGCTTCCCCCTAAAGAAAGATAATAGAAAGAAAGAAAAAAATAGGTGATACCTACCACTGCTAGCTTAATGGTCAGATTATTATTTTTTTTTTTCCCCTCCCCTAAACTTGCTTTGATGCAGACATCAGGCTCTTCAGTGAATTGAAAACTAAATTGCAAAATGCACATGAATATAAGTGATTGTAGTTCAGGTAGATGTTTTGCAAATCCACTGCTTTGTCCTCAATGTAGCCATTTTAATGTTCAATTTAACAGGATTCACTGTTTAGTGAATAAGTACTTTAGGTGTTGGATACCACCAACTGTATCAATGTGAAACCAGTTGGTGATAAATCCTGTGAAGGAAATATTGCCTCAGGCTATTAACTACGCAGTTGTAGAGCTATGATTGGGTTTAAAGAAGAATAATCAAACATGGACACCTGATAGAGCTCCTGCAGAGGTTATAATCCGTCTCAGGAATTAGTAAAATAAAAAATATTGGCTATATGTTTTAATCCTATACCTTACAAAATATAGGTATAGATAAAACTGTTTGATAAATTCAGTATGAAGAGCTGGAGTTGTTGCACAATGGTACTGAAGTATGTGCCAAATATGGACATAATTCTGCTATTTTATTTAGTGAATGCCAACCTTCTGCTCTGCTGAACGAGTCTTCAGAACATTTATAGGAAAACATTGCATATGAGATGATCCGGGTCCAAAGGGTCTTAAATCACAGCCTTGAAAGTGGAACAGTTTGCAGAGCTTGAGGCTGGATTTCGTTTATGAGAATGATTAGTTTTGGTTCAGGGAATGGAATACTTTTGTAAAGGAATGAATCATCGTTGTGGAAGCCTACTGTTTATACAAGGAAATACTATAGAATTTTCAACGACCATGTATTGTGACTGTTCAAGAAGAAGATTCTAGGAAATCCATAATCCTAAAATCATTGCAATCTTTCCAGTAGTTGAGACTTTTTTTTGTACTACCCAAAGTCCTGTTATTTAAAGGCCCTTAAACATTCTGGAAATCAGAATGGGTTTTGGACCACGACCCTCCTGTCCCCAGGTTAATTTTAAAATGTCCCGGTTCTGTACTGGAAAAAAAAGTTAATCTCTACAGCTGGTAAGGATGAATGTGTCAAATTATATACTAATACAAATCTTCTGCAGGGTATTAAAGGGACACTATAGTCACCAAAACAACTAGCTTTGGTGTATAGAACATGCCCCTGCAGTCTCACTGCTCAATTCTCGTCCATTTAGGAGTTAAATCACTTTGTTTATGAACCCTAGTCACGCCTTCCTAAACACTTCCTGTAAAGAGTCATCTAATGTTTATACTTCCTTTATTGCAAGTTCTGTTTAATTTAGATTTTCTTATCCCCTGCTATGTTAATAGCTTGATAGACCCTGCAAAAGCTTCCTGTATGTGATTAAAGTTCAATCTATAGAGCATGAGATAAAATTGTACGAGGTAAATTACATCTGATTGAAAGTGAGATCAGTTTTATTTTGTGCAGGCTGTGTCAATCAGAGCTAGGGGAGATGTGGCAAGGGCTGCATAAACAGAAACAAAGTGATTTAACTCATAAATGGCAGAGAATTGAGCGGTGAAACCTGAGAGGCATGACCCATACACAAAAACTGCTTCATTAAGCTAAAGTTGTTTAGGTGACTATAGTGTTCCTTTAACTAAAGTGGAAATTTAAAGAATGTTATTCACTAGACAATTAATTTTGGCATATTGCAATTCAAATGAAAAAATTTAGTACATATATCTGATGTAAAAAAAAATAAAAAAATAAATCTCCAACTCTTCTATAGTTACAGCTTGTCTATTTTTGCCAGAATTTTGTAATTCAGACATTAATTTGCATGAGTGAGTAAACGCCAAAGCCACCCCATAATATAGGCCCAAGAAGCCAAAATAAAAACCAGTTGCCTTAGAGAATATATTAAATAAAGCTATTTTGCATTAAATATAAAAATGAATTTAGATACCCAGACAATTTATAATAAGGTGTGCCAGCTTTGACAAATATGAAATTTTGATGAAAGACCAGCGCCTTTCATGCCTTTCAGCGCCTGTCATGCGGTGCGTATGCAGGCCAGGATGTCCTGCTGCTGAATCGGTTGTATATGATTTTTAAATCAATGAAACACATTACTGTGTGCAGCGGCTGATCTTGTGCACTGCACTTTCCTTCAGTCCTCCTGAAACTGCAACAGAGCTGGTTTGCTAGGTGACAGTGTGATTTGTAATGTTCTCACAACCACACTTCCTTTGCTGTCCTATGCTGATTTTCACCCGCTAGAGCAGGAGAGGTTTCTGTTCTGCTCTGCTCCTCCCGTCCCACCACCTGTTCCCTCGATCCCATTCCCTTGTATCTCATCCACACTTTGTCTCCTTGTCACCTGCACCTCCCATGCCTCCTCCCTTTGTTAGTCCCTACATTGGTTTCCCATAAGATGTAGGGCTCAATTTAAGATCCTGGTACTTGCTTAAAAATCTCTACACAATGCTGCTCCGACCTACCTATCCTCACTAATACACAAATATGTCCCATCTAGGCCCCTACGCTCTGCCGGAGACCTACGTCTAACCTCTGTTAGTACTCCTACATCTGATGCTCATCTTAAAGACTTCTCTAGGGCTGCACCATTCCCATGGAACGCTCTTCCCCTCTCTGTTAGTCTTTCACCCAGTCTCCACTCCTTCAAAAAAAATCTTTGAAACCTTACTTCTTCAGGAAAGCATATCAATTAAACTGGGAATAGCTTTCCCTCCCCGCACCCTGATTCCTCTCCTGCAACTATCATTAAAACAAAACACTAAGCCCTAAATGAACACTATCCTAACAACCTACTTTTTGTACCCTACCCTTACCTTCTGTGTCACATTACCCCACCCCCTCTAGCATGTAAGCTCATTGAGCAGGGCCCGCAATCCCTCTGTTCCCGTGTGTCCAACTCGTCTGGTTACACCCACTGTAAAGCGCTGCAGAATTTGTTGGTGCCTTATAAATAATAATAACAATAATGTTTCCAGCAGCGAAATTACCATGTATGCCACTAGAAGAGGAAAATAATTTATTTTTGACATTAAAATAGCGCCAATTTATTCCGCAGCCATTTACAATATTATTTAATTATATTATTATAATATTTAATTTAATTAAATAAAGGGGTAAATTTTAACAATAAATGAGACAATTGCAGAATGAATGAAGTATGAGCTTACTGCCTAGAGAAAACCAAGCAACTTGTAAAGAAAATATCTCTGGTGTTACATTTGGCATTCAAGTGACAGTAAGTTATGCACTATATCTCCAACTGTCCCTAATCTGCCCAAGTTATGGACAATAAAAGTAGACAATGCCGCCATTTTGAGTTTGGGCAAACATGGGGGGGGGGGCACAATAAATATCTTAAAATTAATAATAGTGCGATTTACTGCTCGGAAAGTGTTTTCCATTGAAGCCAGTTTCTGAGATGTTATTTTTTTTCTTCATACTTACTCATGGTAGACGTTACTACCATCTGATGAATGACACTTGCCCTCACTTAAGATGGCGGTACTTGAGCCGGAAGTTGCGGAAGTTGTGCGCAATGACGTCGCTCCCCCCCCTTTTTTTTTTTCTTCTTTTGATTGTAGCTTCCGGTGCCGCTGTGTCTCCGGTTTGGCCGGTCAGGCAGGGAGGAATTAAACATGATGTCAATGGATTTTCTGGACGATGTTAGGAGGATGAACAAGAGACAGGTGAGATAAATGGCCCAGTGGGAGTAATTACTGCCAGGAATCCACCATGGCAGAGAGAGAGACAGGTATCCACCATGGCAGAGAGAGAGAGAGACAGGTATCCACCATGGCAGAGACAGAGAGAGACAGGTATCCACCATGGCAGAGAGAGAGAGACAGGTATCCACCATGGCAGAGAGAGAGAGAGACAGGTATCCACCATGGCAGAGACAGAGAGAGACAGGTATCCACCATGGCAGAGAGAGAGAGACAGGTATCCACCATGGCAGAGAGAGAGAGAGACAGGTATCCACCATGGCAGAGACAGAGAGAGACAGGTATCCACCATGGCAGAGACAGAGAGAGACAGGGATCCACCATGGCAGACAGAGAGAGAGAGAGAGAGACAGGTGGCATCCACCCTCCATGGCAGAGAGAGAGACAGGCATCCACCATGGCAGAGAGAGAGAGAGAGAGAGGACAGGTGGCATCCACACCATGGCAGAGAGAGAGACAGGCATCCACCATGGCAGAGAGAGAGAGAGAGAGAGAGAGAGAGACAGGCATCCACCATGCAGAGAGAGAGACAGGTATCCACCTCATGGCAGAGAGAGAGAGACAGGCATCCACCATGGCAGAGAGAGAGACAGGCATCCACCATGGCAGAGAGAGAGAGAGACAGGTATCCACCATGGCAGAGAGAGAGAGAGAGACAGGTATCCACCATGGCAGAGAGAGAGAGAGACAGGTATCCACCATGGCAGAGAGAGAGAGAGACAGGTATCCACCATGGCAGAGACAGAGAGAGACGGGTATCCACCATGGCAGAGACAGAGAGAGACGGGTATCCACCATGGCAGAGACAGAGAGAGACGGGTATCCACCATGGCAGAGACAGAGAGAGACGGGTATCCACCATGGCAGAGACAGAGAGAGACAGGTATCCACCATGGCAGAGACAGAGAGAGACAGGTATCCACCATGGCAGAGACAGAGAGAGACAGGTATCCACCATGGCAGAGACAGAGAGAGACAGGTATCCACCATGGCAGAGACAGAGAGAGACAGGTATCCACCATGGCAGAGACAGAGAGAGACAGGTATCCACCATGGCAGAGACAGAGAGAGACAGGTATCCACCATGGCAGAGACAGAGAGAGACAGGTATCCACCATGGCAGAGACAGAGAGAGACAGGTATCCACCATGGCAGAGACAGAGAGAGACAGACATCCACCATGGCAGAGAGAGAGAGACAGGCATCCACCATGGCAGAGAGAGAGAGAGAGACAGGTATTCACCCATGGCAGAGAGAAAGAGAGAGAGACAGGTATCCACCATGGCAGAGAGAGAGAGAGAGACAGGTATCCACCGTGGCAGAGAGAGAGAGAGACAGGTATCCACCGTGGCAGAGAGAGAGAGAGACAGGTATCCACCGTGGCAGAGAGAGAGAGACAGGTATCCACCGTGGCAGAGAGAGAGAGACAGGTATCCACCGTGGCGGAGAGTGAGAGACAGGTATCCACCGTGGCGGAGAGAGAGAGAGAGACAGGTATCCACCATGACAGAGAGAGAGAGACAGGTATCCACCGTGGCAGAGAGTGAGAGAGAGAGACAGGTATCCACCGTGGCAGAGAGAGAGAGACAGGTATCCACCGTGGCAGAGAGTGAGAGAGAGAGACAGGTATCCACCGTGGCAGAGAGTGAGAGACAGGTATCCACCATGAGAGAGGAGTACTATTATTCTCCAATTTAGAGAGAGAGAGAGACTAACAAGTGTCCACTCATGGTAGAGAAAGGGAGGAGAGGTTATTGTCCACTATGCATGTTGTTGGACAGGTTAGGAAAAGTGTATGTATGCAGCTGCCTTTTCTTTAATGGTCTGATTTCTAGACTAGAGCCTATGCATGCCGTGTACAGCAGAATCTATAGGTTTCTCGGAGAACATGGTGACTCTAGTTAACCTAGATTAAGATGATGGAGGGTAGCTCTGCAAGAAGTGAGACCGCCAAATGCTTGAATTAGTGACAGTAAGCACAGATTACTCTGTATAAAAGAGCCTCAGGCGCTAGATCTCCTCTTGGGGACAAGGCCCCTCTTTATCTTTCGTATCGGTCTGTTTATATTGTACTGTTGTTTTCCTCCATTTTAAAGCTCTGTGGAATATGTTGGCACTTTAAAAATGCCAGTAATAATGCGGTAACATTCTCCATCCTCAGAACTGATCATACGTTCTCTGCATTTCCCATTTCCTGCTTCTTAAAGGAACACAGTAACATTCCAAATACATATATTTCTTGATAACATTAGGGTCTCCATATGTTATTGGACCCCACTGTTTTTAAATAAAACATGAGACGAAAAAGGCTTTAACCCTTTAAGGACCAAACTTCTGGAATAAAAGGGAATCATGACATGTCAGACATGTCATGTGTCCTTAAGGGGTTAAACGTACCTGTAATGCAGTGCCAGTCTCCTCACACCAGCCGATAATCCTTGTGAGATATTTAGGATTAATGATCTCTATCCAATGCTTCTCATAGAGAAGAGCACTTGCACAACAATCCCTGTGATCCTCTAGTCAATGCTTTTCATGGAGAAACATTAGGAGTTTGTGTTTGTACTCACTTTTCTAGTTATTTTTCTGTCACTTTTCCCATTTGCAGCCATTTTTTTAATTACTGCAACACATCTTTCATTTACCTGTAGCATTGTGGCAGCCCCACACAAATGTGTCCCTGCCAATGTATTTTAAAAATTAAAAAGTGCAACAATCCACCTCCATTTTATTTTGTCACTGTACTTTTTAAAATCTTACTAAGCCCTTCATATTGTGAATGAAGGCATGAATGCCTGTTCCAACTACCAGCACACAGTAATAGAATGTGGTGAAAATTTTACATCCTCAAGGCATTAGAAGCACCAGTTCCCTTAAAAATGGAGGTATAGGAACAATTGTAAATTGCTAACCTAAGTTTGCAAATTCTAAAATATAAGAGAGCCCTAAGAAACCCATTAGTTTATGCAATCCTTTTTTCAGCGACAGAATGATTTTATCACCCCCGCTTGTTTTTATATGTACTGAATTAGTTTTGTTACAGGTATACATGTATCTGCTCTTATTTTCGTGCAGTGTTAAGGGACACTCTAGGCACTATAAACAGGTGTGGTATGAAGGTAATTTGTTTTAAATTGGCATGTATTGAATGGATAATCACAAATAATACATCAAGTATGACACCGTACGTCAGTACAATAAAGACACGGATACGTTCTCATTATCTGATGGTAATTTGTCAAACCATTTACAAATGATTTGACACTTACCTTGCTGTGTCGCTCACAAGCGATCCTTCTGGTCAGTAAATTGATCATTTGAAGATCATTACCAGATTGAAACAAGATACAGGGATGCAAAAAATTTTTATTAAAAACAATCTACTTTTCCAAGTGGTCACACAATCAACTTGTCCTGACACAAAATAGTTTTAATTGATATTGATAAACTCAGAATTTTCACAAAATAAATCTGAAAGGAAAAATGGTGGCAAAAAGTAGATACTGTGGAACAATTCTCTACCACTGTTATGGTCATGGTCACAACATCGCTATATTTGCCTCAGTTTTGCCAGTTGGAATTCTTTAGCAAAAATTCAGTCTTGCAAATACCCTGAGTCTTAAGATCTGTCCACTATTCTTTCTCACAGTGTGTGCAGTCTGTGTGTGATGTGCCTGCTGAGAGTACTGACTGTGCTTTAGTGCAAGTCACACACACACACTCATTCTCTGACACTCGCACACAGTACAGATTACCACCAGCAGCCTGTTTCATGCTGCTTCTACTCATAAACAAAATCTTGACTGCTTCTTGCACTTCCCTGTGTGCTGCAGAGTGTCACAGTTAGGACATCCCGGAATGCCAGTCTGGCTTTGCACATGCCGTTGAGACGCTACCTGCCTGACACTAATTACCCTAAAACCACAAACGGCAGAGCTAAATAATAAAAACAATCATCCTGCTTGGCACCTGGAACTGCATATCCTGGGCATTGGACAATATACATTCCACATCCCTGATATACATGGCCTGAGAACCATCACCTGATACCCTTAGCCAGTGAGTACTGTCCACACCTAGTATTAGCTGGTATGATAATGCAGCAGTGTGTAGTTCTACTTTATCAGACCAAATAAGAGGAAGGACTATGGGTACCCAACACAAAACAAACTATTCATAAACGTTTTGACAGATTACTGTCAGGTGGCCTCTGAGGAGTCCTGGCACCATAATTATGATACAGTGGGTGTCATATTATTTTATATATTAAACCCAATAAAAGATCTGCTTGAAATGTATAGCTTTGGTTGCCTCAAAGTTTAAAGGGCTCTGCCATATAAGGTCACACCACTATAAGAACTGGCACTTAAATTAGCTGTAATGAATCCAATTTAGAAACAAAGCACATCTTATCTGTAATTTAGATAATAAGCTTACTACAGTCAGTTTTTGTGAGAGAACTACAAATGAACCTTTCCTCAGTGGTGTATTTGAGTATTTATGAGGTGTGCGTTAAAACCAAAAGGGGGAAAAAAGTGTAGGACCGCTTTTGGGAGCTTGTGTCTCCATGTGGAAATCAATGATTGCTTGTTCCAAACAGAAAATATTGCTGGTCTTGGACCTGTGTTGACAAGTAAATTAATGTTTCCTATTTAAAAGTCCCAGAGAGTTTACCTAGGACACCCTTACCAGTAATCTTGGAAAAATTAAAACTCAACTCAATAATTATTTCAGTTTGATGTGATAATCAAACGGAGACTAGATTCATGGTTACCTGTCTATTAAACCTCAGTCATTGCTTTTAGATGGCATCATGTTCCTTGTAGTTGTGATATGATTTCTTGTTTTAAAGGGCTACTTCAGTGAAGTGGTCAAGGTGCCTGCAGTCTCTATGTGCAGCCTTTCGCTTTTAAACTCTGCACACACTGATTTTTAATCCCTCTGGTGCTGGAGGTGTAGCTCCACCTGCGGCAATGTCATTGGAATATTGTCAGCCAGCCTGGAACTAGAGTTCTGGGCTATTTAGAGGCAATTCTGTGCAAATTTTAATGCACAGAATCAAATTCATTGGCTGAGAACATTCAGCTGACCGTCTCAACCAATGAATGAGTGACAGAATTTGTGTCCAGTTTCTACAGTTGCCAGATGTTATAAATCCTGCTCCAGTGGCGACCCAGCACCTGGCAGTACCAGCTAAGAGAGCAAACATTGTAAAGCGGTTTGCCCTATTACCAGGGAATGGTGCCAGGATACTGCCACCATCATATTTATTACAGCAGGCCATAGTATTTATGATGCTTGGAGTAACCCTTTAAGCTAATTGGTTTTTTCTGTGAGAATAGTGACCTATAGTTACCTTTAACTAATTGGGAAACATTTGTTCCTTCTGAATTCCAAGAATGGAGCACTCATTGGGTAGTTCCTATTGAACTCGATAGGAGCTCAAACCATGTAGCTCAATTTTCCAACATTTCCAAATTTTAGTGTCAGACTTTTTTTTTGTGAACAAATCCTTAAATGTGATTATTTTATTTTTCTATAACGCTTCTTAATTTGCAGCAAATCCACACCTTACACCGGTCCTTTGCTAACTTTGAAGCTTTCGTGTGTTTTCCATATATTCTCAATGTGTGGAGAGATTGACAATGAATACTGAGTTTTCTTTTACAGCTTTACTACCAGGTGTTAAACTTTGGTATGATCGTGTCCTCTGCACTGATGATCTGGAAGGGACTAATGGTGATCACCGGCAGTGAAAGCCCTATAGTGGTTGTTCTTAGGTATGACCTTTCATTTTACCCTCTTTATTTATTTTTTCCAGTTATATTTCTTTTGCTTGCAGGTTAATAGCACATAAGAGCAGGGCTTGCTCGGTTTACTTGCCTTATAAATCCATACATAGAAGCCATACTACTTTTATTGAAAAGTTTAGAAAGTGCCATCTTATCCATTGAAGATTTAAAACATTGTGTTAAAATTTTGATAAATTACACTTTCGTATTGTTGTGGTGCAAGGAGGTTATGAATGGATTGTCAAAAACAAAAATCAAAGGATTTTCAACAAATTTTACCCCTTCAGCTTGGAGAGAGATAATGAGGAAATTTCAATTCTGCATTGCTGTTCCAAAATATATATACAGAGAGGGGGGTTATTTGATCCCATGCTGATTTTGAATGGTTGCCCACTGACAAAGAAATGATCAGTCTATAATTTTAATGGTAGGTGTATTTTAACAGTGAGAGACAGAACAACAACAACAACAAAAAATCCAGGAAAACGCATGTCTAAAAAGTTACAAATCGATTTGCATGAGTGAAATAAGTCAATCTTGCTGATTGATAAGTATTTGATCCCCCTATCAATCAGCAAGATTTCTGGATCCCAGGTGTCTTTTATACAGGTAACGAGCTGAGTTTAGGAACACTCTTTTAAAGGGAGTGCTCCTAATCTCAGCTCGTTACCTGTATAAAAGACACCTGTCCACAGAAGCAATCAATCAGGTTCCAAGCTCTCCACTATGGCCAAGACCAAAGAGCTGCCCAAGGATGTCAGGGACAAGATTGTAGACCTACACAAGGCTGGAATGGGCTACAAGACCATTGCCAAGCAGCTTGGTGAGAAGGTGACAACAGTTGGTGCGATTATTCGCAAATGAAAGAAACACAAAATAACTGTCGGTCTGATGCTCCATGCAAGATCTCACCTCGTGGAGTTTCAGTGATCATGAGAACGGTGAGGAATCAGCCCAGAACTACACGGGAGGATCTTGTTAATGATCTCAGGGCAGCTGGTACCATAGTCACCAAGAAAACAATTAGTAACACACTACGCCGTAAAGGACTGAAATACCGCAGCGCACGCAAGGTCTCTCTACTCAAGAAAGCACGTGTACAGGTCCGTCTGAAGTTTGCCAGTGAACATATGAATGATTCAGAGGAGAACTGGGTGCAAGTGTTGTGGTCAGATGAGACCAAAATCAAGCACTTTGGCATCCTTGGAGGAGGAGGAATGCTGCCTATGACCCAAAGAGCACCATCCCCACCGTCAAACATGGAGGTGAAAACATCATGCTTTGGGGGTATTTTTCTGCTAAGGGGACAGGACAACTGCACCGCATCAAAGGAACAATGGATGGGGCCATGTACTGTCAAATCTTGGGTGAGAACCTCCTTCCCTCAGCCAGAGCATTGAAAATGGGTCTTGGGTGGGTATTCAAGCATGACAATGACCCAAAACACACAGCCAAGGCAACAAGAAGTGGCTCAAGAAGAAGCACATTAAGGTCCTGGAGTGGCCTAGCCAGTCTCCATACCTTAATCCCATAGAAAGTCTGTGGAGGGAGCTGAAGATTCTAGTTGCCAAATGTAAGCCTCAAAATTATGACTTGGAGAGGATCTGCAAAGAAGAGTGGTTCAAAATCTCTCCTGAGATGTATGCAAAACTAGTGGCCAACTACAAGAAACATCTGACCTCTGTGATTGCCAACAAGGGTTTTGCCACCAAGTACTAAGTTGAAGGGGTCAAATATTTATTTCACTCATTGACATGCAAATCAATTTATAACTTTTTTGACATGCGTTTTTCTTGATTCTTTTTTTTTTTTTAATTTTTTTTTTTTGTTATTCTGTGTCTCACCGGTAAAATACACCTACCATTAAAATTATAGACTGATCATTTCTTTGTCAGTGGGCAAACGTTCAAAATCAGCAGGGGATCAAATACTTTTTCCCCTCACTGTATGGGTAAATAGATTGTGGTCATATCTAACCATCCTGGTGCCACTGAATTTATAGAAGATGTCTTTAACCCCTTAAGGACACATGACGTGTGACATGTCATGATTCAGTTTTTATTCGAGAAGTTTGGTCCTTAAGGGGTTAAACTTCTTTTCCCTTCCTAAGGGGAGAGGATGGGCTGTGGAGTGCTGAGAAAATGCAGGTTTTTGTTTGTTTGTTTTTTTTAGGTAAATGAGCTGTAAAATCTACTAACGACCCTTCCTACATGTTCTTTGATCACCAATGCCCAAACATGCGTGTCTGAGGTGTATCTTGAAAATGAGAATTTGTTCTTCACAGTTGACAGTGTATTTCTGTAGCTGAAGGTTCAAGCCTTACTTAGCTTACCCATCCAATTGACTTGGAGATCTGATTGTATCGAGATTGTCTGGGTCAAAGGGGAAAACCGATGAAATTATTTTATTAAACAGGAATCTAGATCCCTAAATCTGAAACAGAAATTGAATACCTCTACATTAAAAATATGTATTGTTATTGTAGTGTTCCTTTAACTGTAATGCACTGAGGAGAAACATGGATTTTTTTAATTAATTTTTTTACACAAGCCTAAGGCAGTGGTTCGGTTTTATCTCCAACAATAAAGCAATTTCTTAGTGTTGCAAAAAATATAATATACCAAAATCTTCCAGCAGGCGTAGCAATGTAATCTAGTCTCACCAGAAAGTGTATAGATTAATGGACATGCTAATTTGAACCTGAAGTCTGCTGCTGCTTTCATGATGATGGCCAGTGCATTGGAGCACTTATGTATGTAGCGACTGGACCTGATATGTGTTGTTATGTAACTTGTCCGTCATCCATGTCATGTGATATTCTTTTCTATTATTTTAATAATAATTATTATTTCATGACTCCGTGAAGGCATTCTCCTTCACTGCACTTTGTCAGTGCCTGAGCATTGTTTCATATGGAACAAAACTTAACCATGTGTCTTGCAATGCTTCTGGGTTTCTGATGCTGAATCTCAGTGACATTAGGGGAGAAGGCGTTCACAGGCCATTCTCCTAACACAATCATTATGGCACTACTTCTGCCACCAATATGTTTGTTTTTTATAAATACCGGTAGTTTGCCAAAATCTTAAAATTGGGGGTAAAGAATAGAACGAGAAAAAAACAAGACACTCGTATCCATTTTATATAAAAAGTCTAAGCAGACTCCAAAATAACTTCATTATAGTAGTAATTTGAAGCGTAGATGCTGTCTCCTTTGCAAACAATGTTATTTCTGGAAAATGGCACTGTTTAAATTAACCCCCCACTCTTATACACACACCTCAAATGACTATCGGACCATGGGGATTGCCACTTGTGTCCACAATGCTTCTCTGTGATAAGAGCGCTGTGGAATTTGTTGGCGCTATATAAATAACACAACGTCATCAAACTTTGACTTAACAGGAGTATTGGGCTTCAATGTGGCGTGTTTTCCAGTGCTGAATTTTACAATTATTGTTATGGGAGGGGGGTGAATCTAAACAGATAAAGAAACAGCAGACTTTTCTTTTTATAAAATTTTTTTTTTTTTTTTTTAAATCATTCACCTTTTCTTTGATGCAATAGGGCCATCAAAAAGGATAAATCATGGCAGAACAATTAAGATGTAGAGTATATATACTGCCCTTTCGTGATGCTAGTTATGTTGTGTGTATTGCACCATGTATCTGCTGGTCATAAAAATTAAACTGGATGCATGATCATTTTAAAGGTGGTCAATTCTGGTTTCTTCTGTTCTCCTCTATTTTAGCATGTAGTAAACCTGACAAAGTGTTTTATTTGGATAGAGCAGTCTGGCATTCATTAGGCTTAAATGGGGCCATCACTTATGGATTTATTGCCATTTCAATGAAAATACATAAAGATGATACAATAAAGTTGTTGTAAAACTGGAAAGTAAATTTTGTTCTTTATACTTACCCTGCCGTTCAAGGCAGAAGTTCTGTTTCCGTGAATAACTGCATATGCACCTCCATGCACATGTGCCTTTATTTTATAATGCTGGCTGTTGCACAATTGTGTGATAGTAAGATTGGTAGTCAATGATTGACTGCTGCCTACCTAAAATGGGGAGGTGCTGCCCACCCCCCACAAAGTAAAATGTTTAAATTGCTACTTTATTAAATTATCTAGCAACATGCAATCGTACATTCCAGTGACCTGTCCTCTCTTTTTTTATTTTTTTTTAATATGATTGTTTTTTTTTTGTTTTTTTTTCTAACATTTGCTAGTCATCAAGTATTATCTTGATAGCTGTTAAGTTAATGACCCTGGCTTATGAGAATCTCGACCTCATCAGATGGCAGCTAATCATTATTATGCAAATTTCACAGATAACAGTATTTTTCTTGCGATGATCTCACACAGACCTGTCCTCAAGGTTTCGCTGCTAATCAACTTACCCTTTTGCTTATCTCATGCCCACTTATTTGTTTGTTCTTCCCCAGTCTGCTATATATCTTTATTTTGATTGATAGCTTAATAAAGCAAATACTTACAACACCTGACATCTTTTCCTCAAATTAATGGAGATTACCTTTAAAGGTCACATACTTCTTAGCGCTATTGCCTCTGGTCTTATTTGGATGTCCCCCGGTGTGTGTGTAAATATCAAGAAGCGTGTTTGTAGGATAGTAGCATGCTGGATCTTAAAGAGCAATTGACTTGGAAGGTTGTAAAAGTCAATGGAAAGGTTTTATGAATTTGTCCTTTTACATTGTTTTCTCAATCCAATGGACCAGTATTTTTGAGAAAAAAACAATAAAATATATATATATTTATTTATTTATTTTCTTAACATTCATCCTTTATGTTTAAATAATTCCAGTTTCATTCTACTTCCACAATTAAGAAATTGAACAAACATTTATAAAATATGACAGGGCTCATATACCAGATGGCTATGTGCTGCTACATTGTTTGTCCCTTCCCCCTCTGATACCAGGGAGCATTACAGCGATTCCTTGGGGGTAAAGTCTTGTCATCTACCCACTGAATTGACCGGTTTCAACATGTCTGCCCAAACTTTCTTAGTCCAGGTAGGCAAAGTCATCTTCCAGCTAATCTAGACATCTCTGCCTGCCATCTTCTAGGTCCTCAGTCTCTGTAGCCGGTCCCAGCTGCCTTTGGTCCTTCCATTGGAATCACTGAAAAAGTTAGCCTGAATTTTTTTATATATATATATATTTTTTTTTTTTTTAACTTAGAATTGCCTTTCACAACTCTACATGCATTGTGATAAGAATTGCAAAACACATAAAACATTATGGGGAAACATAGGCAGGCAGATGTTTACATTGAAATAAACCCATGTAGTGCTCTGAGCACGGGCATGCTAACGTGTGGTGTTACAGATAAAACATTGCAGTTCACATGCCAGAGCTCAAAATTTTCTCTAGCCATTGGCAAGTGAAAGTTTAGCCCTGGTGTGTGCCATCCACCATTCACACTTGCAGTGGCGAGTAACTTTTAAGGCCTGACTAGTAGTGTAGGACTTTTCAGAGAAACTGCTATGTTTACAAATGGGTTAATCCAGCCTCTAGTGGCTGTCTCATTGACAACCACTAGAGGCGCTTCCGTGCTTCTTACTGTGATTTTCACAGTGAGAAGCCACCAGCGTCCAAAGGAAAGCATTGAGAATGCTTTCCTATGGACTGGCTTAATTACGTTCAGCCGATGACTGGAGAGTGTTTTAACCCCCTTCCTCCCCCTTCAGTCCGGCGAGTGGGGGCACCCTCAGGGCACTATAGTGCCAGGAAAACGAGTTTGTTTTCTTGACACTATAGTGGTTCTTTAAGCCCTACATTGTGTGCTAGGTATTGTTCTGTTTGCTATATAACTTATCTGGGTTCTGTGTGGTGGCTTCTGTAGGAGAATCTTGATTGCTCTGTAAAGAAAAGCAGGACTATACTGATTGGCTGAGCGCATCGGCTGAGCGCATCAGCTGAGCGTTCTTAGCCAGGGAACGTGGTCCTGCATCTGCTATGCTTTATTCTATTGCTACATCTAGCTTCTCCTACAGGCAGGTAAGTTGTCAAAATATACAAAAATGGTTCCCGTGGCAAGGTCCGGAAGTGGTTCTGGTGCTTAGTGTGTACCTTTTAAAGTCTTGGTTTTAAAATGTACAAACATTTCTTCTTCTGGTCAGACGTGAACGATAAATAGGATTTTGAAACTCATTTGTACATTTCCAGATTTTACTAGTTCCCCTTGTGGAGTGGATTCTGATCATTCCTTTTAGACCATGTACATGCAACACAGAAAGTGCATACATTTTGCAGACCTGAGTCAATATGTAAAACAGTGTCTCCCAAGGCCTCACTGTGTGCTCTTTGTGTCTGGAAATGGTTCTACTGCCTTGAATGAAATATTGATCTGGCCTAAAACTAAAGATTTATTTTCTTTGTATTGAGTCATGTTTGGCTTGTCTTTCATGTCTTTTGTTAATCTGTGTATATTTTCAATATTGTGATAGCTTTCATTTTATGTTTTAATATCCCTTCTAACATTCCATAACAAGCAGAGATATCAGAATTACCAAGTGGTTCAGGGGGAAGGGAGTAGATTTATGTAAGGAACCAAGAAACATTAAAGGGACTGTCAAAACACCATAACCCGTAGGTGATGGAGAAAGTATGTCCCTTGTGGGGTTCTGCCTTAGCAGTGTTTTTCTGCCCAGTGATGCTTGAGGATTCCTATTGAGAAAAAACAAAAACAAAAAAACATATTTTGGGTTTCTGTATTCTGGTCTTTTAAATTGTCATTACATCATCCTCTTCATTCGAGGGGTGAACAAAAATATTCTCTTCTGTCCGCAGTGGCAGTATGGAGCCAGCTTTCCACCGAGGGGACCTCCTTTTCTTGACCAACCGTGTAGATGATCCCATCAGAGTGGGCGAAATTGTGGTCTTCAGGATAGAGGGGAGAGAAATTCCCATTGTGCATCGTGTCCTGAAGATCCACGAGAAGTAAGTGTAGGTCTGAGTACGGGTGGGTTTATGAAAATTACAGTGTGTTTTTGTGCATTTTATTATTTCATTAACGCTTTCTCTTTATGCCCTTTCAGTGTGAACTAATTGGCACAGATTTATTCTCTGAAGGCTTGATGCACTAGGCAGTTAATTGTGGTGACATGAAAACAGATTTGTAAAATTCAAGCTAAAATATTCCATCTCCGTTACTGAATTCTTTAATTCTCTCTAAAATTATTACAATTCAGATTTTACTTCACTCTAGTTATTTGTATAGTAAATTAACCACTGTTTCAGTTCAGTTGGCCTGAAAGCATTAAAGGACCACTATGGTGCCAGGAAAACATACTTGTTTTCCTGGCACTATAGTGCCCTGAGGGTGCCCCCACCCTCAGGGACCCCCTCACGCCGGGCTCTGCGGAGAGGGAGGGAGGGGTTAAAATCTTACCTTTCTCCAGCGCTGGGTGGGGAGCTTTCCTTCTCCTTCCTAGCGACGTCATCGGCTGAATGCGCATGCGCGGCAGGAGCCGCGCGCGCATTCCGCCAGTTCATAGGAAAGCATTTATAATGCTTTCCTATGGACGCTGGCGTCTTCTCACTGTGATTTTCACAGTGAGAAGCACGCAAGCGCCTCTAGCGGCTGTCAGTGAGACAGCCACTAGAGGCTCTAGAGGCTGGATTCACCCTCAGTGTAAACATAGCAGTTTCTCTGAAACTGCTATGTTTATAAAAAAAAAAGGGGTTAACCCTAGCTGGACCAGGCACCCAGACCACTTCATTAAGCTGAAGTGGTCTGGGTGCCTATAGTGGTCCTTTAATGGTGGTTGACCAGTGCTTAAAGGGCTGGAGAAACTCAATGTGGCCTGATTCTCTGATACAAGCAGGCACACATTGTGAATATGCAATCCTCTCAGCTGAGAATTGAATAACCGGTGAGAGATGAGACTAAATATTTACATAACATTTAAAGCAGAACTGTCCATTCCTGAGGTGTTCCTTCACCCCACTAAACACAATTACAGTATGTACTCTAAGTGAACAGAGCAGCAGAGGTGAAAAATAAAATAGCCTTGGTTGCATTTTCCGCCTTGGTTGCTCGCTTGGCATCGATTTGGGGGAAATGTCATACACTCACATGCGCATCCGGCATGTAAACAAGCTGTGCCTTAGGAGAGTTGTTAACACATTAGTGCACTTCGCCCGACAAAGTGTGTAAATGAAAATAAAATACATTTCAGACACTTTTAATATAACTTTAGCTTAACCTTTGGTTACCTTTTTAGGATGTGCTGAAATTGGGGAAGTGAAAGTTCCTCTTTCAGGCTTTTTCATTTTTATTTTTTCTTAATCTTAAGGGAAAATGGTGACATCAAATTCTTGACCAAAGGAGACAATAATGCAGTAGACGACAGAGGACTTTACAAGCAAGGCCAAAACTGGCTGGAGAAGAAGGATGTAGTTGGACGAGCTCGGGGGTGAGTACATATGTTGCAGAAGGTATTATATAAAGTTTACACCACTGAATCAAATCATTTTATCAGTGAAGACCTGTAAATGGGGTAATAGTTTGCAAAACGAGATCGTTATTGGTGCAATGAGAGGAAACAATGGTGGAGAAATGCCTGACTTTCACCTTTACCGTGCCCATCCATTACATCACAGCTACGTTCATCATGGATTTACATTAAATAGAAACCGTTCATTTTACATTTAAATCCAGAATCCAATGACTTGGCAATGGCTTTTTTATAATCTGCATACACAGCAGTTCATTTTAAGTAGAGCCTGTCACCGGCTAAACATGTGATAAGATATACATGTTTTAAAGGGACAATAAGCATATTGATTACTACAACCTAATTCCAGTATTATTCAAGCTGCTTAAAAAAAAATATATATATATTTTATTTTTTACAAAAAGCAGGCTTCATTCACCATAATCCCTAAGATCCACTGGTTATATTGTCAAGTACCGTGTATTGTGCTACGATACATACATACCTCAAGATGTCTTCTCCTAGATCGCTACCTGAGTGGATGCATGCTGTTATTCAAAAAAATACAATCTAACAGATTCTCATGAAAGCTGTATGGATACATTTGACTCCCAGGTCTCCAAGTTATCCACACATGCTCTTTTGTTACTGCATTAACCAAATGGACTGTAACTCAACCATGTCTTTTGACCAGCGAAAAGGTTTACCAAGTCCACCACAAGGTTGAATTAAACTCACTTTCATCACAAGTGGCCTGTTTCTCAACATAAGCTTGCCGTCAGTCTTTCAAAACATAATGTATTGTTTGTTTGTCTGTCGATAAATATCGAATGCATTGTTATTTATACTCCCTATATGGTCATTCTCCTATCATTTCTATTTTTTGGTAAGATTTGTAGTGGGCTCTAGTGAACAGGCACAGATTAGCTGTTTAACCTGCACTCCTTATTTATCTTCTACTTTATCACTCCTGTTCCTCCTCCTTTCATTTTATCATTGTATCTATTTATGGTGATCGGCGTAACATACCAGGATCTCAGATACTGTCACAGAGCTAGAGTAGTAGCAGATACTGTGGGTCTAGCCCATTGGGTCGCTTGATATTGAACCTTTATCTTCGGCCCAGCTATAAATAGGCCCCAAGGCACATCTGCCGATCATGGTTTCCTTCAAGAGATATTGACTCTTATAAACAATTAATAAACACTGGAAATTGGCAGCAAATAGCAGGCTTAATTTGAATTTGTGCTGCTATTGATGTGGACAAATAATTTTGAGTGGCTGATAAGGCAAAGTAAACACTACACTTAATGACATGTCTGCAGTAAACGGCCTTTAGTCTAACTATCTCTATGGCCTCTATCTTTCCCCCTGATCCTTGTGTGAACAGTAACAGAGATATGTACTTTGTGTTGCCTGCTGTTTAATCCAAAGGAGCTTGCTTTGTAATCCATCAGCTGACTTGGACAATTTAACATGTAGTTCATTACAGCTGACTTAGCTCTGAAGTCACTGAGACTAGTTGTCCATGGTGTATAAAACTTCTTGTGACGTTTTTATTATTACCCCCTATTTTGTATACATAGCAAAGATATTGCATTAAAAATGCTAAGCAATTCATTAATGCTCACTGGTTAAAGTTTCCCTCTGTGTATTGGGCTTGCCTCCACAGCTTGGGTTTCTGGGTTAAGTAGTAGTTTAATATGTATATGATTGCATTCGTGAACAAAGACAAAAATCATCAGGCTTGATGCTTCATATATGTTATGCAAGTAAGCTGTTATGTGTAAGTTCTGTCCAGTGGCGTACACACAACCCGTGGGGCCCCGGTGCGAAGACTGATCCGTGGGCCCCCCCGCCCTCTTACTCTGCGTGGGCTGGGGCCACAGCACAAGGCGGCAGGCACCTGGTCACAGGGCTGCGACCGCAGTATGTACGCCAGTGCATGCAGATACACATACACTTAAAGGACCACTACAGACACCCAGATCACATCAGCTCAATGAAGTGGTCTGGGTGCCAGGTCCCTCTAGTTTTAACCCTGCAGCTGAAAACATAGCAGTTTCAGAGAAACTGCTATGTTTCACTGAGGGTTAATCCAGCCTCTAGTGGCTGTCTCATTGACAGCCGCTAGAGGAGCTTCCGCGATTCTCACTGTGAAAATCACATTGAGAAGACGCTGAACGTCCATAGGAATGCATTGAGTAATGCTTTCCTATGGGCGGTTTGAATGCGCGCGCGGCTCTTGCTATGCATGCGCATTCAGAGCTGAGCGGTGGATCGGGCGGAGAGATCCCCAGCGCCAAGGAAGTCCGGCGCTGGAGAAAAGTAAGTGCTTAAGACACACACACACACACACTCACGAACAGACGCATACACACTAGCTAACAGACACACACATTTACTGACAGATACACACTCAGTGACAGACATACATAGACACTCACTGACACACACACTCACTTACAAAACACACACAAACTAACACACACACACACACACACACTCTAACACTAATACTTTTTTTTTTTCTTTTCTTTAATCCCCCCAGCCTCCCTACCTTTTGGAGAGCTGAGGGGATTCCCTGGGGTCCAGTGGTATCACAGGGCAGGCAGGCGGGCGCGCGAGGAAGCACTCTCCCCTGAGTGCTTCCTGTTCAGCTCCCTCGCGCGCCGCGTAGGGATGCCGGCACCAGAAGATGACGTGGGGGAGGGTCTGTGAGATTTCAGGGACCCTTATTCAGTTTTTAAACTGCTTGAAAATCGTTTAACAGTGATTGGAGTGACCATGCCAGGAGACTCTGGGAACTATAATCAATTCAGTAGGAACCTACAGTGTCAGTTTATGTGTTCTGAAGAACCTTTTGAACATAAATGCCCTTGCGAAAGCTTAGACCATGTTGCATGTACAAATTGGCTAAAATGAACACGGCCGTGCTAGAAAACAAAATGTTTACAGCTGGCAGGTTAGCAGGTGCCAGAAGTGAAACTATGTCCCTGTTAGAAAAGCTAAATATCTCAAAACTGGTGGGTGCCATTTCATGCTGAGGCTCTGCACAGATTGGGTCCTTGCACTAACCACTTCACCAGTTAATTAAACCCGTTAGAATTATGGCCTCTATATTTAATATTGTTCAATAAGTTTTAAAAATGATTTCATATTTTTGGATAAGCCTTTAAAATTATTTAATGTTACGAAAAATTTTAAGTCATATTTTCATAATGTTTGCTATGCTAATATTTTTTTATTTATAATTTTATATTTTAATATTGTAATGTATAAAACAGGTGGTCGGGGTGGACCTTAGACTACCAGCTGTTGTAGAATTACAATTCCCATGATGCTTTGCCTGCCTTAAAGGTGTACTTGAAGTACACAAACTGCTACAGATTATGGGAGTAGTTATAGTCCTTAGTCTCCCTTTACAGGGAGAACTTTAAATCTTCATCCGCTAATAGACTGCACTAGATGAACCAGTACTTGGAAGCAATGTGACATTTACTATCCATGCAGTTGTCTATCCAGGTATTGCATGTCTAGGCCAATTATTGCTCTTCAGACACCAACTCATATTTTATAATGTCTAAATAGCCCTGTAACTCTTCAGAATGAATAGGTTATAGGATAATTGGTGCATGTCAGTGTAGCGTGTATGGTAATCAGCACTTCATCTCACTGCACAGTCTCTTAACCCCCTAATGTTACCCACCAAAGCGTTGCACAAGAACTGCCAAAAATTCATCTGATAAATACCGTTCCCATGCCAAGTCCACAGGATTTATTAGTAGTCCTACACTGACATGCGCATAGGTCATTGTCACTGACTCGCTTCATTAACACACCATGAATAATTCTGTGTCTTATCCGCATCATGGAGGCAAGCAAACACATCAATACAGAATACATTACGATCCCCCAAAGTACTGCAGGCTGCTACGCAAATATTGCCTTTTAATATTATGCCGTCCTTGTTATTAATTTCTCAAACGCAATAACGTTCTTCAATTTTCATAGAAAGTCATTTTTTATCATTATCTGTATAGTGTGTTGTGAATATTTGACAGTTTTGCTTCAGTTCGAAAGTCTGCGAGGCATATTTTAAATAAGAAATATCTGAAATATATTAAGCAGAAACCTTACTGCAAGAAGGAGGAATGTGCTTCTTATTTTTTTTTTTTTCCTTTTGAGTTGTGATCGCTGGTTTGTCACACTCCAGGCCCCCAGATGTTAATCGAATCACCCCAAAATTTTGTGAAAGGAATAGATTGACGGAGCATTATGAGTTGTAGCCGAACATCTGGGAGGCTGTTTTTTTACGAGGTTTGTCTATACCTGGTGTAAACAAACTTTTTTTTCTTTTTTTATCTATACTTTTGAAAGTGATTTGTCTATATGTGCATGTTTTGGGGGTGACACATCCGCTTTTATTCAACAGTATATTTTCTAGAGGAAATGTGTATAAATGCTTACAGAAAAATGTATGAAAAAGCTGTAGAGTAAGAAAAAAAAGAATGGAAACTTGTCTCAAAGACTGTTTTATTTCAGGTTTGTTCCCTATATTGGAATTGTGACGATCCTTATGAATGACTACCCCAAATTTAAGGTATGTAAAAATTTACACTAATAGTCTCCCAGGCCTTTTTAAAGTAAACTGGACTCATGATTTTTAAAGGGAGTAACAAGTAAAAAAAAGCTGTATTCTTGCCGAATAATAAATAAGTTAAAAATAAAATAAAAACTTAAGTCAAGAACAAGCAATAATCTTATAAATGCAATGCAGACATGTAGATACACAAGAAAGAGGATCCCAGATTATTTGTACAAATTATGCATTAAATATTCCCATATACATGACCATCGCAGACTGCCTTTCTAATTTACTGGAATAAACAAATGAGGAACTGAGACCAGTAAACCTAAATTAAAGCACTCCATGGGAGAGTCTTGCTATGTCTGTAATTAAGTGCATTACTCAACTGTGTTCACCCTATGTTGTCATCAAGAAAAAAAAAAAAAACCCTCTATTTTTGACAATGACCCTCTGATACTTTATGGAAGGAAAGATAAGAGGACAAAGACCTAAGGAAAATAAGTCTTAGCATGGTCTAGCTCTAGCAGATAATAGAAAGGTGGAGGTGCCGTGGTGGTGGGATTTGATTTCCAAAGCACCCAAGTATTTTGTAAGGTGCACATTGTGTTTCAAACCTGAGCGGTTAGCTTATCCATCAGATGTGTGTCCATTATTTTGATTAGAACTGCTTCCATATTTGGTACCTTAGTATGTAGCCATGCTTGACTCAGTGTTCTGTGGGCTGCTGGGGTGATTTTGTTAACAATTTTCACCTCCTTGAAAGCAGTCTAAAGGTTTTAATAATAAGGACTATGGGTCTTGAGCAGGGGTGCCCAAAAGGTAGATCCCCAGATTTTTTTAAAATTACAACTTCCATCATTCTATGTCATTCTAAAGGCATGCAAAGCATCATGGGAGCTGTAGTTCTATAATATCTGGGGATTTACCTCTTGGGCACCCCTGGTCTAGAGGTATCTACCTTTTGAATAACTGGGTTAGTAAGTTTTGAATTTTAATTTCCAGAACACCCTCACCTTGGGGTAAAAACCACCTTATGGGGGCTTATGAGCCTCTGTGACTGCACAGGTGCCAGCCTGAATCAGAGGGCTTTTTTTCCCATGTGGTATAATTACACAGGAGTTGTGTAGCACCGGAACAAAGTTTTGTATGATTGCTTTTGGGGTGTTGTGCATATAGATGTCATAGAACAGGCCTCACACATCCTCCCTTTCTCCTGCTTCAAACTATCCCTCCCCCTCCGATCTTACTTCCATTTCATAGTGTAGTCCAGGTCTCCTTATTCCCTAGATTCTGAGCCCATGTGACTGCATACGGTGGTGATGAGTCCCCTCCGCAGGGTTTCGGTTAAGCACAATTTCTCGAACAGAGTAGGGCTGGTTATTGCTGTCCCTATTACAACAGGCCTGGCCGCAAAGTCCTTCAATTGTACGTATATGAAAAGAATCTCTGTTACTGAGATCTTTTTCTTGAGTTCTTGGAACAAGACTATGTTGGCATTTAGTTACAAGTGCATGGCTCATTCTAGTTACCTAAAGTTTTGAGCTCAAATGCCCGGTAAAAAGTTCCTATTTTTTGTAGCACAGGCTCATTGGGGAGGCGAAAGGGGCTAGTGAGAATTTGTCTGGATGTGTCCCATAATTGAATTGCCAGGCAAGACATTTTGGTGAGGGCTCTTTGATTTTAGATGTAAAATTGCAAGACTTGCCCCTTTAATAGTGACTACATCTTTCCACTGTCTCGCGTACAGGGGTGAGTGCCATGTTATCTCTTGAGCTAATTGGGCTTTTAGGTATTATAGGTGTTAAATGGGTTAGTCCCAATCCTCCCCTGGCTTTGGCTATAATATATAATTGGGCTATTCTGTCTGCCACACATGAATTTCTGTGGCTATTTGTAGGGTGGACAAATAGTTTTTGGTGATCTTAGTTGGCATTGCCTGGAGGAGGAGTAATATTAATTTTTACCTTATAGATAAACCCAAATCTTGGATTGGGTGTTATCTATCCATGCTTCCATGTCTTTGATTGGTGTTCAAATTAAGGGTGTGTAGTTTTCTGTTAAAGGTTTAGTAGGGTTCGCTGCCATATTGATGCCCAGGGATTTTAAGTGATCACTGGCTATTCGCACTCCATGCGTCTCGATAATGTTCGCCATGTCTGCAGCCGTCAGATGTAGGGGCATGGCCACTGATTTTTGCAGGTTTGCTTTATACCCCAAGAGTTCCCCGAAGGTCTACAGGACAGAGGTCAAGTGTTGCAACAATGTTTTTGGTTCCAGTAGGGAAGAAAATTTCCGTCAGTTCTCTAAACTCTTGGGAGGGATCTGTTTTTTGTCTCTGCGAGCTATAGTGCTTTTAGTAAGCCAAATGAATGTTTTGTTTTTTCTTTTGTGTGGTTATTTTCATAAGATGCCCTCTAACAACTGCTTTGTGGGCAGTCCAGGTTATCAGTGGTGATACGTCAAGGGTAGAGTTGCTAGTAAAAATTACGGTATCTTAAGGAGATGTCTCTTTTTAAATACCATTTTAGTTTTCCTGTATATCTTGCAATCTACACATTCTCTTTTAAAAACCTTGGTAAAATGTTTCAGATTGCTATAAAGTGTGACTCCCTTTAGGGATCAACGATTATCGGTCTGGCTGATATTCGGTATTTTCGGCAATATCGGTATCGGCAAATAGAGATACCGATATTGCTGATAATACATACCAGGACCGCCGGGCCCATGACAAGCCTGACAAGCGCTTACTTACCTTCCCAGCAGGTTCCTTCAGCTCCCCATGTAAATCTCGTGAGTCCCGCGGCCATCAGAGCGTTGCCACTGCGAGATTTAGACAGGGGAGCTGAAGGGAGCTGCTGGGAAGGTAAGTAAGCACTTGCTGCGGGCCACCACTGCACAGTCCATACCACCAGGGAATGCCATATCCCCCATCCATGGCCAAGTAAGAAGCAGGGAGGGGGGACTTAAAAAAATAAAAAATAAAAAATATTTTTAAAAAATAATTAAATGCTCCCCTATTTTACACAAATTACATACCTACACACACACTACACAAACACACTGCATTCACTATACACACACTACACAAACACACACACTCTGCATTCATTATATACACACACACTCTGGTCGATCCCTAATTCACTTTACAGAGCACATGTCTATCCATTTGCTTGCTGTTTTACTATCACCATCTACAAGTGAGGATATTGCACTTACATTTTGTTTGTCTTTCTTACTTCTATGCCATTGCATATCGTTAAAGAATACAAAAATGAGGCCTATAAGCTTGGTCTTGATGTCTCATCAGTCATGCAAGACATGAGGTTACTTATTGTAACACAATAGCATTCATGTGCTTCCCTTATAAGGAACACTACCTAAAAAAATATATATATTTCTATCTAGATATTTTTATTTTTTTAAATGTAGTGTTCCTTGTAAGTGAAGTAAAGATTAATAAAAATATTAATAGCATTAAGATTATATATATCTTTTTACTTCCCTTATAAGGAACACTACATTTAAAAAAAAAATATATATATAATTTTTTTTTTTTTTTGTGTGTGTGTGTAATATACACACACATACATATACACGTGTGTGTGTGTGTGTGTGTGTATGTAAATCAAACATACAAAATTAATCCCTGCTCTCTGACTAATCCTGGTTCCAATACATGCGATCAAAACAAGTTACTTGCACACTATTCCAAATCCCTAAGGACATTTAAATAACTGGAGGTTTTTAACCCATTAAGGACCAAACTTCTCATAAAACGGAATCATGACATGTCACACATGTCATGTGTCCTTAAGGGGTTAAGTATCACTCCAATGACCAACTTTAGCATATGGATGTGGGATCATGCACAAGTAACTTTGTGTGTTTGTAATAGTTTTTTTACAGACATGTTACATTGCTGCTGCTCACCCCATGCATTCTCTTTTAAAAGATCACTATAGTGTCAGGAAAACAGAGGTTTAAAACCCCTTCAACAGCTTACCTTTATCTAGCGCCGGACTCCCTCAGCGCTGGTGATCTCTCCTCCCCTGCCGATGTCAGCTCCCTCTGCCGACGTCAGCGGAGCTGAATGCGCATGCGCGGCAAGCGCCGTGCACGCATTCAAGCTGTCAATAGGTATTTTTCAATGCTTTCCTATGGACGCTCTGCGTGATGGAGGCATAATATGCCTCCAGCGTCGCAGCTGCGCCTCTAGTGGCTGTCCGGAAGACAGCCACTAGAGGCTGGCTTAACCCTGCAATGTAAACATAGCAGTTTCTCTGAAACTACTATGTTTGCATCTGCAGGGCTAAAACCTGAGGGACCTGGCACCCAGACCACTTCATTGAGCTGAAGTGGTCTGGGTGACTATAGTGTTCCTTAAAGGGTTAAAACGTGTGTAGGGTTTTATAAAAAGTCTCATTAGAGATTTTGCCTTCTAGTTGAAACTTACTTATGCCCTCCACCCCTTCCGGGGTATGGGCCACCAAAGGTAGAGCTCCAGAGACTTGTCATGGGCCATTCTTTCTAGTTGACTCCAGGTGTAACCCATCCTTGTGATGTCTGCCTTGAGGTCGCGTCGCCAGGTGTTTCTTGGACGGCCTCTCTTTCTCTTTCCTTGGGGGTTCCACCTGAGAGCCTGCATGGTGATGTTGGTTGGCAGTTTGCATCGGGTATATCCTATCCAGCCCCATTTTCTATTCCAGATTTCTGACTCTGCTGAAAGTTGGCAGGTCCTTTCCCATAGGTTGGTGTTACTGATGGTGTCTGGCCAGCGAATGTGGAGAATCCTTCTGAGACAGCAGTTGATCAATGTCTGGATTCTTCTTTTGGTGGTTTTGGTTGTCCTCCAGGTTTCAGCCCCATACAGCAGTACTGACTTCACATTGGAGTTGAAAAGTCAGATCTTGGTGGTCAAGATTAGCTCTCTGGAAGCCCAGATGTTCTTGAGCTGGATGAAGGCGACTCTTGCTTTGCCGATCCTTGCCTTTACATCTGCATCTGTTGCACCTTGCTGGTCGATGGTGCTGCCCAGTTGAAAGCAACAAGATAAAATGTCAGTGTAGGACTCGCCTAAGAGGTTTTGATTTGATGTGGCAGGTGAGCTTATACTTGGCCATTGCAATGGCCATTAGAGTGATACTAAAAAACGCGCATAGGGATTTGGGATAGTGCGCAAGTAACTTTTAACAATTTTGATACATATACCACAATGAAAACATGCATACATTTTATTTCTGCATTTTCTTTCTTTAAAGTTCTATCTTAAGCAGCTTGCAAAAATTACAGATCTCTTGCCTGCAGTCTTTGCAAGTCTACCCCTTCTTCACCAGAACACACGTTCAATACTCCATTCAGGGGCTTCTCACGGAGACTCCTCTGTGCGAGTTCTCAATGCACGGTGCTTAATACTTTAAATAACTTGAATGATGTTTATGAATTTAAAAATATCAAAATTATTTTGAAAGAGATACCTCAAGTATGATGCTCAGATGTATGTAAACAACTCTTATATGGTCAGTGTCCCTTTAAACACAAATATAAAGTCTGCTAGAGGGAACGAGGAACACTTGTACTAATTATTGCAAGTAGCCAGCTGCACATTAATCTTGTTGAATGATACTGGTTCTTACAAAACCATTTTCTGCTCTTGCTAAACCGATTATTAAATGTTTTATTAACAACATTTGTAAAAGTTGCATAATCCTTTTAGTGAAACTTTGTTGTGTTCGTTTAGATTTATGGTTTCCTTTCGAGCGATATGTAAATTCCAAAAACTGCTATACAACTTAAGCTACGTTGCAAGAGCATAAACAATTTTCATTTTAACTCTTGACTGATTTAATTTCTTTCTTTTCAGTATGCAGTTCTGTTCCTCTTGGGATTGTTTGTCCTTGTACACAGAGAATAACGTGGGGACTATCGGTACAGACAGCAGCAATTCACCTATAGTTTGATCATCTGTAACTCAGCAGAGCAACATACAAAAGGACAGACCTCATCTAGTGTAAAGTTTTTTTTGTTGTTTTTTTTACATTTGGAGACCAGTGTTTCTTATATATATTCTATAAATATGTATACCTTTTCCTGTGTTTACAGGGATAATAGAGTATTTAAAGATGGCCTGTATCTCTGCCACATTCCTCCACCTCGGTGGCAAACAACTGGCCAAAAAGTCATAGCAACATGCGCTGTTTACAGTTTTTTGCTTTTCATATTTTTTTTTATATATCTATATATACTTTGGGTGGATTTTTTATATTAAAATTTAAAGCCAAAGTTCTCAGCGTTTTTGTAATATTTTGAAGCTTTATTCTAAAGTGCCTACTCTAGAATTGTTTTGTGTGTCCTGATATTACATTGAATAAACCGTGGTCTAGATTTGTATATGTGGCAAGAACAGTGTGATTTTCATGTATCGCAACACATACAAATAACCCAAGCAGCATCATTGCGAGTACAAAGCCAATCGTCCAAGCTTTTTATCTGTAATGACTATAATGGTTCTTTAATCTTCTTCTATTAACCAGATGTCCGGTCAACTTCTTGCGAGAATAAACAGAAACTTGAAAGATATTTAGCTTGCTACATATTATTATTATTATTATTATTATTGCCATTTATATAGCGCCAACAGATTCCGTAGCGCTTTACAATATTATGAGACGGGGGATTTAACTATAAATAGGGCAAGTACAAGAAAACTTACAGGAACGATAGGTTGAAGAGGACCCTGCTCAAACGAGCTTACAGTCTATAGGAGGTGGGGTATTAGAAACATTAGGACAGGAAATAGCAATCAAATAAGGTAGGAGAGAGTAGAGTGCTGCCCTTTAGGAGAGAGCAAGAGACAGGTAAGTAAGGTAGAGGTTACTCTGGGAGGCAATAAGCTTTCCTAAAGAGATGGGTTTTAAGGCACTTCTTAAACGATTGAAGACTAGGGCACAGTCTGATGGCGAATAGTCCCTCGGCGCTGGGTCAGGCTCCGCCCACTCTCCTCCCCCGCCGACCGCGCGCATTAGACCTCCCCATAGGAAAGCATTCGTCAATGCTTTCCTATGGGGAAAATCTGACCCTGGAGGTCCGTGAGGACCAAAAGTCCGTTTGGATTCCGGAAGCCCTCTAGTGGTTGTTTGTTAGACAGCCACAGAAGGCAGACTTAGAGCTGCAATGTAAACATTGTTCTCTGGAACTGTAATGTTTTACATTGCAGCACTAAGTGCAAAAGGGTAACAGCAACCAGACTACTTCAATTAGCTTAAGTGGTCTGGGTGCCTGTGTCCCTTTAAGTCACGTTAAAAAAACGCTTTTAAGAAAAAAAAAAAAAATAGTTGCATATAAAAAATAAATACCCTTATGTATATCCTGCTTTAAGACGTAGAACAATACCCTAGAAATGATGATTTCCTACTGGCCTTCCACATTTGTCCAAACACTTTTCCAATGCATATTCTGCCTCTTAAAACCAATATGCTTGGTTTTCTCCTCTGTCTCCAACGAACCTGTGCACAGTTTGGTAATAAAAAAACAAGCAGCCAGACTAGAAACTTTCGAGTATATCTGTTGGGGTGAAATCCTGAGTAAAGATGTGTTCGGTTAGGGTTCCTGTATGCTGCTTTTATCCTCTATTCTATTTCCATTTTTCGCTGCTCGGCTAAATGTTGGAATAGAAATAAGAGGAAGTGGACTATTGAAGGGCATGTGTAATAGTTTGATTGGGATAATCTGCCTCTCAAAATAGGATGAACGTAAGTCAACCTGGTATGTGGTGTCCCTGCACAAAAGTAGTTTACGTCTTATATATTTTGCATTTGAGTTTTGAAAACAAAATTAAACGTTAAAAAGATAGCTAAGAACAGAATGCACCAAGTAGAGAACCAAAGTAACATGGCTGCAATTATTCTCTATTTGTATGTTTTTTTAATTGAAAGAAGAAAAAAAAAAAAACTTACAAGCTACGTGGAATGAAGAGGTAAAAGTTCCTGTGTGATGTGAAAACTTGTTTTGGGGAGCAAAATGTACGAGATGGAAAGGGGTGTATAATTATTAAGTAAACATAAGTTTGAGTATTTGTAAGATGCAAACATTTGTGTAAAATTGGACATTGTACAAGCAAACTAGAGTCAGTGCAACCCTGTTCCCACACTATAGAGGAGGAGAAGATTGATCAGGAAGGGACTGATGTACAAATGGGAACCAATATGGTATTGAATGATTTGGAAAAGAATAATGGCAGAATATGAGCCAAGTCTGCTGATAATGACAGGACAAGCTTATACAGAAGAAGGATATCTGAGATGCAAGAATGAAACAGCACGACTACATACGTGAAATAATATGTCCGATATTAAAAAACAAAAACACATCCAAATATGCAACCGTAAGATGTCCAGCAGTGTCATTAGCTCAGAATTGACCAAAAAAAGTGGAACCCTGGTACAACCATCTAATAGCCAGAGAAGTCTGCTCAGAAGTGGTCTTCATTGGAGACATGCAGCCCAAAGAAAAAAAAGCTATGCCTCTGGCATGTACACAAGGCCAAGCAACTCCACTAGATATGAAAACATAGGAACTGGGGGGGGCGGATGGCAGCAGTTGTCCTGGACTAATGAGTCTAAATTTGAAATATTTAGTTGTAGCAGAAGGCTTGTGAGTTGCAAAAGTGATGTTTGGTGGGGAGGCTCCTTGCAAGTTTTCAGCGACACTTCTGCAAATGGAGTTAGGATTTAGTCAGCATTAATGGTCTGCTCAATGCTGAGAAGTATAGCCAGATACTTTTGCAATCATAGAGACATCTGATTCCCCAACTCGATTCTTCATTATACTAAAATAGTTTGATATACCGGAGCTTCGCGTAAGAGGTAAACAATCCGTGCAGCTTAAAAATCCACCGTGAAATCCCAAATTTTCACACCATAAATATCAGAAACAAAAACACCACATTGATTGTGATCAGTATATCACCATATGACTTTTTATATACTTATAGGTGAATAAATAAGAAATATATCTACCCTTTTGCAGAATATCCAGAATGTTTCTGTATAAAATGCTCACAATAGGGCAATACAGCTAATATTCGAGTAATAAAATATTCTAGAAATCTTTTTATGTTATATCCCACTAACATTTTATTTTAGAACACATTTTCAAGAGCCTGTATACAACTCCAGGTATATCAGCATGGGTGGGATAGAGGTAGTTCTAAGGTAAAAAGACTTCTGTTGATCAATTTCTACCAAGAAGATATAAGGACAAAAAGCACCAGATGAGTGTAAAAATTACAAATTTATTAAACATAAAAATAAATGTCCTTACATATCAGTAAGTATGGCACAGCATAAGTCCTTCCCATTTATAAAATCTATCAACGTGTTTCAGCTCATCCCTTCCTCAGATGGGTGATGTATTCCCATGTGCAGCTCTCCTTTTAAATGCAGATAATATTTGCGCTGGAACAAGGCACTTTCCATAGTATGAATGATGAAATAATAGACTGATTGCTGTAGGAGTATCCATCTTCCCATCCTATAACATGTGGTTAACTTTAAATCCCAGGTAAGAATTCAAACCATTCTAAAATGTGCAAGTGGTTATTCTGATGGCTGCTAAATGGGAGGTGACTTATGTCCATATGTAAATTCGCAATATAAAAAGAAAAGTGGAAGGCATCAAAAATAAAACAAAATAATTATGTAACCACACTGAAATAGAACACCCCAGCATTGTGGAGTGCAGAGAGGATGCATATGTTATGCATCCACATCGCATAGAATGTATGATGACATACATGCACTTCATAAGAAGGGTGTGATGGCATTGTGCAAGAGTAGACAGCACATGCAGACACTCTAAATAGATCGGGCTTATTGAGTTTGGAGTGCCTGGACCTTTTTCTTCTATCTTGGATTAAACTGTTTGTTTTTTTGTTTTGTTTTTTGCTAGCCCCTACTTCGCTGCACCCAATTTTTGCTCAAATGAATTGTGTAGTTCCTTTTGTATTTTGTTGGTATTATGTAGTTGGTCTCCCCTTTGTAGCTAGAACAGCATCCAATCTTTTTGAGAGTGTTTGGAGTGTTTCTGTGGGAATTGTTACCCATTTAGCCAGTCGAGCATATGTGAGGTCAGGCACTGAAGTAGGATAAGAAGGCCTGGCTCGTAATCTCCACTCCAATTCATCCCAAAGGTGTTCGATGCGGTTGAGATCAGTGCTTTCTGTAGGCCGGTCAAGTTCTTTCACACCAAACTCAGCCAACCATGTCTTTATAGACCTTGCTTTGTGCACTGGGGCACAGTCATGCTGGAATTGAAAGGGGCCTTGACCAAACTGTTCCCTCAACGTTGGAAGCCTAGCATTGTCCAAAATGTCTTTTTCAGAAGCATTCAGATTTCTCTTCACTGGAAGTAAATGGCCTAGCCCAAACCTGAAAAATCGCTCCATACCATTATCCCTCTTCCACCAAACTTTACAGCTGGCATCATGCAGTCAGACAGGTAACGTTCTCCTGGCATCTGCCAAATCCAGATTCACTCATCAGACTGCCTAACAGAGAAGTATGATTCATCACTCCAGAGAACATCTGTCCAGTGGTGGCATGCTTTACACTTCTCAATCGGACCCTTGGTATTGTACTTGTTGATGTGAAGCTTGAATGCAGCTGCTTGGCCATGGAAGCCCATTCCGTGAAGCTCCCGCTGCTCAGTTTTTGTGCTGATCTTAATGCCAGTGGAAGTTTGAAACTCTTAAAGTATGGAATCAGCAGAATATCTAGCAGGGATGACGTTTCACGAACTGACTTATTGCAAAGGTGACATCCTATCACAGTACATTGCTTGACTTCATTGAGATCTGCAGAACGACCCATTTTTTTCACAAAAGTTTGTAAATGCAGACAGCATGACAACGACATGGTGCTTGAATTTATACACATGTGGCAATGGATCTGAAACACCTGAATTCAATAATGTATTCAATATAATAAGAGATGTGTTCGGCAAACGTGCCTATGCCATGAGCTCGTGGAAGAGCCTGCTAGCTAGCCTCCTACCCAAGGACTATGGGCCATATACAAAGACCATTTTCTGGTGTTAAACTTCCCCAGCCGCTATTAGTAGCTTGCCCTGGGTACCCCTCGTTTGACACTTTCTCTTCATGCGAATGGAACCGAAACCTGACTCTCTGGCGGCCGTTCGTTTGAACCAAACCCATGAATTGTCCTCAGCACTACTTAGCCGCAAATGTTATGGAACTGTTTTCAGCATGAGGTGAGCGTGCGGTTCCTGGAAACTTGGTTCGCGGTTTGAACCACTTTGAAATCCGCCAGGAGAGCACTTTTTGGAGGGAAGGTACCTGAAACTAAGGGGAACAAACACTACCTAAGAGCCAGCCAGGGGAACCCTGTATTGTGGCCGCAGGAGTCAGGGACGTATTAGCCGCGAGGCAAACAAAGCATTTTCCTTGGGCGGCATTTTCCAGGGCAAATGCCCAGGACAAATGTCTTGTTAGCCTGGCAGCTAACAGTCCAGGCAGGCAGGCGGGTGGCTAGGTAAAAATATGTGCGGACGGCGCTGGCGAGGGAGCACTTCCCCCTGAGCTCTCTGCTCGGCTCCCTCGTGCGCCGCCCGCAGAGTGACGCCGGGAGCCAGAATATGACGTCATATTCCGGCTCCCAGCATCACTCTGCCGGCGGCTCGCGAGGTTGCCGAGCAGAGAGCTCAGGGGAAGTGCTCCCTCGCCAGCGCCACCCACCCGACAGCCCAGCAGCCACTGGACCACCAGGGAGAGGAAGAACCCCCCTCCCCCAGCATTCCCAAAGGTAAGGAGGCTGGAGGGGGTTGCCTAGGGCAACCAGGATACACCACTGGCAGGAGCTCCCAAAAGTCAAAACTTTAACAGAGTGGCATTTCCCCCACACTGCATGGACCTGAGCGCTATTTGGAGAACTTGGGCTCTTTTAGATCATGGCTATTTGGGGAGTATTTTTTGTGGGTGGTTATATATTTTTATGATGTTTTGGGGTATTTTTATGTTTTATATTTTTATGTCTGCCTCCCTGTTCCTGGGAGATACTTAGTTTACCGGTCTTTAATGCAATTATCTCCCAGGCACAGAGATCTTTGGGAAAGGGGCTTGCATTGTATTGTGTGGAGACCCCCTGCTGGGGGATGTGTATCTAAGCAGGCAACTTGGCCATACTCAATCTGGGCTAGTGTTTGGGTGGATCAGCTATGCTTTCTGCAGGAGAGCTTAATCACTTCCAGCTGTACCTAGGACCCTGTTCCAGGGTGGGAAGCGAGCTAGATGGAGGTACCCAGTCGGGCTGCCAGGTGGTCACAGTGTGTCCCAATACTGTTGTCCATATAGTGTATTAGGGCCTATATCTGCTCCATGCCCATTGTCCCATAACCCATAGGCAGCGATCCTTTGTATCCTTCGCTCTCCCGGTGGATTTCTTTGTTCCTCAGTCTGAATATGCATATGGATTTTATATCCTTAAAATTTACAGTTTATCAATCGATTTAAGCCTTTGGGCCTTGCTCCTATTGAGACCTCTTGATGGACTCACTAATGACCATCAGAAGCTGTTTAATGAGCTCACTCTTGCCATCCACAGGGAGCTGGCTGCATCCTGGCTTAATGACACTTCTCGTCCGCTAGCTGCTGTAATAAACAAAATCAAAGATAACAAACTGATGGATGAATTGACAGCACTTATACATCACAATTCCTCTGCATACTGGTTGTTACACTAATGGCGCTTTCTCATGATGTATGCCCGTGGAGAGTTATTGTAGAATGTACAAGTTGTTACCCCATTTTTTTTGTATTATTATTTCCCACTGTTCAGGCTCATAGCCCTTGTATTTGGTAAAATATTAGAAAAAAAATGTGCTTCTACTTGTCAGCTGTCTACGCCTGTATAATTTAAGTGTCTTAAATGAAGAATTTAATAAATAAATACAATTTATAAACAAGAAACAAAGCAGTCACAAATTCAGATTTTGTAACAAGGCACATAGTAATTTCTTGCAAAGTATAACACAAAGAGGAGCTTTCCTGTTAATATGTAGAACGCAGTGTGCTTCTAGTCTGCTGTTTGCACTGTGTCTGGTGGGACTTTGTCTCAAGGTCCCAGCTATGCTGGCAGGGGAAAAGCAGTAGAAACATTTAAAGAAGGGGAATGATTGAACAGTGAATTCCCTAGAAATATTTGGCTAGTTTTACAAAATTTGAAAATTATTTTCATGTGATAAAATTTAAAAAAAAAATCGATGCAAGGAATCTTAGCAGAATGTTGCAAGCAGATCCTTCTTTGAGAGAACCTGCTAGGTTCATAAATCGCCGTCTCCCATTCTTACAATCTGTCGTAATTTACTTTTCTTTGCCAAACTAACTAAACTGTAGCCTTTGGATTATTAACCACTTAATTGCATAGACTGAAGAAATTATGTAGCAAAATTCCAACTATTTAAGTATATAAAACGATTTAATATTGAACCTCACAAACATAACTTAGGCTTAACCCCTTAAGGACACATGACATGTGACATGTCATGATTCTCTTTTATTCCAGAAGTGTGGTCCTTAAGGGGTTAAAGGACCACTCTAGGCACCCAGACCACTTCAGCTTAATGAGGTGGTCTGGGTGCCAGGTCCAGCTAGGGTTAACCCTTTTTTTTATAAACATAGCAGTTTCAGAGAAACTGCTATGTTTATAATAGGGTTAATCCAGCCTCCAGTGGCTGTCTCTTGACAGCCGCCAGAGGCGCTTGCGTGCTTCTCACTGTGAAAATCACAGTGAGAAGACGTCAGCGTCCATAGGAAAGCATTGTGAATGCTTTCCTATGGACTGGCTGAATGCACGCGCGGCTCCTGCCGTGTATGCGCATTCAGCCGAGGAGGAGGAGAGCTCCCCGCCCGGCGCTGGAGAAAGAGGGGCACCCTCAGGGCACTATAGTGCCAGGAAAACAAGTATGTTTTCCTGGCACTATAGTGGTCCTTTAAACTACTGAAACTCTCTGGACACAAAAATGTTCATACAGTACTGTACAAAATATTAGGAAGGTGTTGAATCGTTGGTCATCCCAAATCAACTCAGATGCACAAAGCCGTGCTACTCCTTTGTTATAATCCATCATCTGGAATACTGTTCATTGCATTTCAGCTATACCTATGTTAGCTATGCAGGTTGTCAGGCCTATCTATAATGTAACTGATATATATATATATTCTCTTGCAATGGCTGATATGCTGCTGTGCTTCATGGTTCACTGTATGAGAACATAAAATAAAGATTGCCCAAGAAAAAAAAAAAGACTGCTTTCAAAAAAATAAAAAATGTTAGTAGTGGATTTGTATCTCTAAATGAAATGTAAAGTAAACAGAAGTACTCAAATCAATATTTGGTGTGGCCAACCTTTGCTAATAGTGAACAATTTAATACATAGGTTGAAACACCATCCTTAAGTGAAACAAAAACAAATGTGTGGGAGGAATAAAACTGGGTAGGGGAACAAACTGTGCTAAGAAGGTGAGGTTGCTGTAGAGAGTTTGATATCAAAAGTCATACACCATGGCAAGATTGAGCACAGCAACAAGGTAGTTATACTGCACGAGGAAGGTAGATCCCAGGCAGAATTTTCAAGACAGGGGTTTCCAGATATGCTTTCCAAGCTCATCTGAAGAAACAGGCAACGTTGAGGAACATAGATGCAATGGTCAGCCAAGGGAACTTAGTGCAGCAGATGAAAGATAACTTATACTTACTATGCCGTTAGAGGATGTCCACCAATGCCATCAGTTCAGAATTGGCAGAATCAAGTGGAACCCTGGTACATCCATCTACTGTTCCGAGAAGTCTGGTCAGAAGTGGATTTATACCTCTGACATTGACACAAGGCCAAGTGACTCAACTATTCATGAAAACATACCAACTAGGGATGGAAAATGTCAGCAGGTGCCCTGGACTGATGAGTCTAAATTTGAAATATTTAGCTGTAGCAGAAGGCAGTTTGTTTGCTGAAGGGCTGGAGAGTTGTAGATGGGTGAGTGTCTGCAGGCAAAAGTGAAGTTTGGTGGAGTCTCCTTGCAAGTTTGGGGTAGTACTTCTGCAAATGGAGTTAGGATTTAGTCAGAATTAATGGTCTACTTAATGCTGAGAACTTCAGGCAGAAACCATTATGGAGGCATCTGACTAGCCCCAACTTTTTTTCTGTATTATGACTATGACCTCAAGCATTCGTCCAACATCATTATATCTTTACTGAAATGAAGAACACCCCACAGAGCCATGATTTTAACAGGCTGCCTAAATCCACAGAAAAAAACTACCTGCCATTTAGAACCATTGATACAGTTTTTAAGGTAAAAGGTGGTCATACCAAATATTGATTTGATTTCTATTTTCTTCTATTCACTCGCTTTGCATTTTGTTAATTGATATAAAAATAAGCTATTAGCTTTTCTATTTTTGAAAACATTCTTAGTTTACAGGATTTATTTAGAATCTTCCTAAACCTTTTACACAGTTCTGTATATTGTATACTCTTTATTGTCTCTATGCCAAAATATGCACAATTTAGCATTTTACAAGCTTTCCTCACCTGACCAACCATAGATACCTAGTTACAGACCATAACGATCACAGTTCTTTGAAGAAAAATATAATTTTGCATTTGATTAATTGATTTCTTACTCAAACATTTTCACCACTGCTGGAATAAAATCAATATTCTCAATGTAGCCAGCTTTCCAAGATAAATTACTATAACTTACTCCAGGGTGTGATCACCACTTACATGACATTCCTTTTTAATGCCAGATTATTCTTGCCGCCCACCTAATGATATTTTACTCTGGTTTTATTGATTTGGGGGGTGGGGTGGGGATCTATTTCCGATGCATTTCATGTCTGGGAACACAAAATGCATCAGATACTGATTTGTTTTTTTACTTTCCTGCACCCCCAGGAGTCCATAGCTTGGTGCAAAATAAATGCTATTTTTCTACATTCACTTTGCAGACTTTTTCCGGCATACTCTTTGGGATCAAGTTCTTAATTGTACAAATCTTATCTGGAGAGGGGAAGCTCATGCCAGCCTCCCCAAGACAACAAGCTTTCACAATGTAAGAATATTTATATTATAGATTTATTGTCTGACTGAGCCTGAGCCTGTAAAGAAAAACTCCATCAAAGTACCACACCATTGGTAGGTCCTAATCCACATTAAAATGAAAGATAAATATGTAAGCCACATAAAGCAATAAATCACCAATATAATGTTTCTCCAAATAATATAAATGTTAAGTATATTACAGTACTCAAAAACTGATCCTTTGATTTGAAACATTAAAATCACCTTGTTTGAAAACTTTGCAATGACTGGAGAATGCCATAATAAACTATGACTGGACAGTTATCTGAAGGTTGGACTTTAGCTCCTGCTGGGGCTTTGCTGATGGTCAACACACAAATTTATAAAATTACATCCATCATCTATTTTCAATTAGATTACTGCTATGATGCTGATAATCATGTCCACACAATGAGAGCTGCGTGGTCAATAAAGAGCGGTATGCACGCGCATTTAAGCTGTGACATCATTTATATCAGATTCATGCGTTTTGGCCCGGGGCATTAGGTAAAAGATATTATGTGTGCTTTGAATGTCACAAGCATTGCCTAAAGGAAGCCACATGCAATGACAGCACTTGTTCACATGTTTAACTTGTCCAATTTCTTATGAGGGCCTGATTCCATTAAATTGACGGAGCAGTAAGTAGACCACTTCAGTAGTGCAAGTTCTTACATCTTAACCCCACCATAAAAATTGGAGGTAATACTATTAGAAACGTGTTAGAATTTTATTTTTCTATTTTATTTTTTTAAGTCGCACAAAAAAACTTCATCGTCAACAAACAACTTTTCCTTGTGTTTCTTAAAAAGTTCGTCATTGCTCTTCAAAGCTGGGAAGCATCTTCATTTTTAATAAATTATGCATGTTAATTATGCAAAAAAAAATTACTTCCAAACCCTTTAGGAAAAGTACATCTTAATGTCAGACACATCAACTACGTATTTTCTTGCATATTCGTTAGACAAAAAAATCAGGTTATGCATCTTTATGATAATTGCAACAGCAGAATATCATTTCTTCTCCGCATTTACTTTACATTTTATTTCTGTGTTTTTCTTTAAATTTGCAATTCATAAAAAGACATCTGTTAGTAGGAAAGTATGGTAAAATCTCTCCGTTCTAGCATTTTTAGTTTACTTTTGGGTGAGGGTAAATTGTTATTTTTGTGAAACGCACATTGTACAAGTACAGTGAGGCAATAAAATTACACAAAATCATAAACTGCAACTGTATCGATGTGGGCAAAGCTTAAAAGGGACCCAAACACGCATTCACAAAATAAATTAAACAAATGTCCACAAGATCTAGTAAATAAACAAAGGTCCTATAAAACTGAGTGCAAATGTACATAGAAGAATTGATGCTGTTTTGAAGGCGACATACTGATTTGATTTCGATTTTTCTTTTGGGGAATTTCTGTTTTGTATATTTTATTTTTAAATAAAAGTTCCAAAATAGGTGGTTGATTAACAGATACTCCTGTTGCATGTACGATAAGCCAGGAGTGAAATCAGAACGCAAACTAGGAAAGTCGACTCAAAAAAAAGTAGAGGGGGAGGGGGGATAGGCAGAAGAGGGAGAAAGAGCAGATGATAATAGAACAAGTACTGAGGATAAAACCATTTCAGGAACAAAAGGGCCCGTAGTATAGCTTCAGCCTGATGTGCTTCCATACTTGTTGTGAGGTGTCCACAACATATGCCTAAATAGGGACACTTGGGAGGTATGTAGTCAAATGTCAAAACATTACAACAGTAGTAGAATGGGCTCTTATTCATATCTATGTAGACATTCTTACTGATAAAACAGCAATAGAATGGTTTTACAAAGAAGAAGGTAAACAGGGCTGCTGTATGGACAAACATTTGTGCACATCCGTCAATCAAACATCTCATTCCGGAACCGCAGTCATTAATTATGGAATGGACCCTCCAATACAGCTATAATAAACTTCAGTCTAAATAGGCTCTACACTGGACACCAGAACGATGCTGTAGGGAATTTCTTCAACTTAGCTATAAGATTTTTAATGGAGTCAAGAATGGACAATGAGGTGATTAAGCCTAGATTACAGTCAGTGCTCTGTTCAATTCCATAGATGTTGTAATGGGTGAGGTCAGGGCACACTGTTGAATACATGGCCAAGCTCTACTCAACTCTGTTACTTTGCTCTGTGCATGGATCATGTGCTTGTGTGCTTCTGTATCGCCATGGAATCATGTTGAAACCATTCGAAGTCTTCAGTACATATCATGCTACTGCATTTTTTAGTCTACATGGATTTCATGGCTTTGCATGATCTTATACAACCATCTACAACAGGATGCATACTAATCCACTAATCAGAAGGAATGTCCACAAGCCTTTGGCCACACAGAGTAGGTTCATAAAACTATATGTACATATCTGTTAAGTAATACTATGAGCTTTTTCTAGTGTCTGTTGACAATTCCAGATGGTCTTTTTGATCAAGTACCTTTTATAACACAAAATAAATTGCTACCTATAATATCAGCAAAGAGTTTGGAACCTCAACCTCAGAATATGCCGATGAGTTAGCTAAGCATCGGAACTAGATTATGATGGGTTTGTATGTTTTATTATGACTTTTACAACAATGTGGGTCTTCATGTTTTCATAGCAAAATATAGAAAACCTCATAAAATATCTAGTGAAGAATAGGTGGATTTACAAAGGCAAGCTGACACCAAACTACCAGCTAAAATAAAAATAAATTTCCCACCTTGGTTGAATTAATGACATTTTTTCCAACAAGTCTATTTTGGGCTAAGCTTCGACAGGTGCTGTCCAGTCATCCTTATTTGCTGTTTAGTGAATAGACCCCTAAAAAAGTTATAAAATATACCTTCACTTTGTTTTCAATAAAATGTGTTCTAAAAGAATGTCTGTTGAGATCAAATGCTAGCCGATGCTGTTCTGCCTGACTTTAAATTGACTTGATTTCATAGAACATTCAGGAGATAAAGCTTTGGTCCCTAAAGAGGTGAACATGTGTGTACACTCACCTTTCATCTCAGATGCCTCTCTCTGCCCTTTCAGCTCTGGGAATGTGGAGTGGGTAAAACATTTTTACAATGAAATAAGAAAAAAAGAAGCTTTGAGAAAGAATAGGCTCTTAGATGTGAGATGTTCCAGAAAGCACCTGTGGATATATCCTTAGAGAGACTTCTAACAGAAATATTTGTAGACCTTTTGCGAGGAGAATTTTTTTAATGTTCTCTTTAAAGTTTCAGCACATTTTCAGTACTTCGCGAAATGTACAAAATATATTATGACAAATGTTAAGACATGGTACTTCGCGAAATGTACAAAATATTTTATGACAAATGTTAAGACATGGAGAAAAATGGCAATATTAATAAGTGTATGTATGCAACCGATATTCTGTTTTAATGGTTTTTAGAGAGGTCTTTAACCATTTAGATACGTAATGCCCTTCCCTGTACACAAAAAATAAATATTGCTAACCTTTTTCATTAGCGTTACAACAGTTTTCAAATCTGCGATTTCAGTGACTGCCCAATAGAATACTTCTCATGGGTAAGCATTAGACTAATGCTACTGATGAATGAATGAATGAATCCGGAAGCCCTCTTTTTATTGCCAGGGATTGGTTTCTAGATTAATCCACAAAAGTGCAAATTTATCTTCAAATCAGGACTTTTACCTATAGGGACAAGAGGGTCCTGATGTTCCCACCGAAGGCAATTCAGCAGTCTTAATCGTAAAGGGAAACTATAGTGCTAGGAAAACATCTATAGTGACCTACAATGCCCCCCTCCCTCGCTTCCTTCCCTCACTTACCTGATTCCAGCACCAATGTCCCTCGGCGCTGGCTCAAGCTTCTCCTCTGCTGACCCTGGCAGGGGGGACCTAAACAAAACAGCGACACATTCGCTTTAGGACTGTCCTATAGGAAAGCATTGCTCGATGCTTTCCTAAGGGGTTTTAGATGACGCTGGATGTTCTGATGCATAGCGTGAGGACGTCCAGCGTCAGTTAGGCGCCCAAAAGTCGCCTAACCACCATGGAGTGCCTCTAGGGGCTGTCTGGTAGACAGCCTCTACAGGGAGTGCAGAATTATTAGGCAAATGAGTATTTTGACCACATCA